CATTCTCAGCAAAAAACGACAGATCAATGCAAGCACCTTCCTCGGGGAAGGATTTCCACAACAGTGGGGTCCTCTTGTTGCGCTTACTCTTAGAAAGCTGTTTGTCCCCTTTTTGATTGACTTTCTTTAGAGCTGGAGATGTTTTGCTCTTTGGCGTCCGGCTGTGTGGTAGAGATCGCCGTGCTGTCAGGGAAACCTTCCTCTTTCAAGGATGCGCCTTCGTCACGTTCTTGTGAATCCATTGAAACATTTTGGGTACCAATGATATCAGGGAAAAAGCTGACATCTACATGAGGCTCTGAGTCGGGGAGCGTTTTCCAAAAAGTCTTTGGTCTGCTGCTGGGCAAAGCTGCCTGATCACTTTGTTGTTCTGCCAGAGGACCTTTACTAATGTCATCATTCTCAGCAAAAAACGACAGATCAATGCAAGCACCTTCCTCGGGGAAGGATTTCCACAACAGTGGGTCCTTTTGTTGCGCTTACTCTTAGAAAGCTGTTTGTCCCCTTTTTGATTGACTTTCTTTAATGAGCTGGAGATGTTTTGCTCTTTGGCGTCCGGCTGTGTGGTAGAGATCGCCGTGCTGTCAGGGAAACTTTCCTCTTTCAAGGATGCGCCTTCGTCACGTTCTTCTGAAACCATTGAAACATTTTGGTTACCAATGAAATCAGGGAAAAAGCTTACATCTACATGAGGCTCTGAGTCGGGGAGCGTTTTCCAAAAAGTCTTCGGTCCGCTGCTGGGCAAAGCTGCCTGATGACTTTGTTGTTCTGCCGTAGGACCTTTACTGATGTCATCATTCTCAGCAAAAAACGACAGATCAATGCAAGCACCTTCCTCGGGGAAGGATTTCCACAACAGTGGGGTCCTCTTGTTGCGCTTACTCTTAGAATGCTGTTTGTCCCCTTTTTCATCCACGGTCTCCAGTGTGTTGGTGATTGGTTCTTTTTCAACTGGCATTGAAGAGTCCTGCAGTTCGATATTTTCTGCAGACTTTTTCAGCTCCTCGGCTGCGTGCAGCTGCCACCACACTGCAAATGACATCTTCTTCTTTTTGCGCTTGGGTGGCTTGGGTGGTTGTAACTCCCTTTCCACAATGTTGTCGGATGCGACCTCTTCTACTGTCGGTTGGTTGGACTGCATTGTATCCTTTGGTTTATTCGGGTTGTGAATTAAAATCACTTTTCTAGAATCTCGGTAAAATTTCAAGTTAAGTTTGATGTCAATCTCCTAAAGAAATGAGCACCAAAAGTTGAAGATCTTACTGTGAACTGCTAAACGAACTCTCAAGACGAACGTATCACCAACGGCTGCTAACAGGTTGTGACATCAGTAGATCGATGTGAGGAACTTTTATAAGCTGGTGATGTCAGAATTCTGCCTTTGGAGTCACATTGTGATGTCATAGTTTCAGAAAATGTCAGTGGGCTTTTAAACTGTCACTGGTTGCCATAGTTACCAGTGACTATGGTAACCATGGCAGGGGAGGCAGGTAAGGCAGAGCCTCACCTGTAATAATGGAAAAATATGATAAAATAATTTTCCCCCTGCCAGGGGTTTTTAAAAGTTGACAGAGGAGACAACGAGGAGACAACGAGTCTTAGCACAAGGAGAAGAACCTTACATTGCCTGGCCAAACAAGGTCTGCGTCAGGTGTTGGGGAACCAGAGCACCTTGATGACAAATGGGCTACTGGAACAAGACGGAAATGGGCGAGAGATGAAAATGTGGATCTGTTGGAATGCTACTACTCAAGTAACCCTAGTGAGAGAGGTTACATGCAAAGACTGGGGAAGGAATGGTTACTTCGACATCCCCAGTCAACACTAAGCGCTAAACAACTAGTAGCTCAGTGTTCCAACATCCGCAAACGGCAACTGCTATCACAACTTGAGATTGACGAGATACAACACAAATGCTACGGCAAAAGGGAGGAACCCGGATGTCAGGACTGTGGGGACTTAACTACAAGTCCCCACCCAGTGAGGGGATACACGGCCCCAATGAGCGAAACAGAGCTGAACGAGACAGCTGCTGACCTGAGAGAGAGAATCATGACCCGAATGACAACCAGACCTCCTCTGCGCCAACGGCTTCAACTTTGTTTGGCTTGGATCGATTACAAGAAAGCCTATGACTCAATGCTTAGAGATGTATAACATCAACAGGATTCTGAGAGCCTTCATTGCAAACTCGATGAAGCTGTGGAAAACCACCCTTGAAGCCAACTGCAAACCACTTGCACAAGTGTCCGTCAAATGTGGCATATACCAAGGAGATGTTCTGTCCCCGCTACTGTTCTGCATAGGCCTGAACCCCCTCAGCCAAATCATCAACAAGACTGGCTACGGATACCGACTCAAAAACGGGGCCAACATCAGTCACCTCCTCTACATGGATGACATCAAGCTGTATGCCAAGAGTGAGCGAGACATCGACTCACTGATCCACACCACCAGGATCTACAGCACTGACATTGGGATGTCATTCGGACTAGAGAAGTGTGGTCGGCTGATCACAAAGAGGGGAAGGTCATCCGCACAGAAGGAGTCTCACTCCCACAAGGAACAATAGCAGACATAGAGGACAGCTACAAGTACCTTGGTATACCACAAGCAAATGGCAACCTCAATGAGGCCACAAGGAAAGGGAGCCACAGCTAAATACCTCCAACGAATAAGGCAAGTCCTGAGAAGCCAGCTCAATGGCAAGAACAAAATCCGTGCAATAAACAGCTATGCCTTGCCAGTAATCAGATACCCTGCTGGAATAATTAGCTGGCCAAAGGAGGAGATAAAAGCCACAGATATTAAGACTAGAAAGCTACTAACCATGCATGGAGGGTTCCATCCCAAATCCAGCACCCTGAGACTGTACACGAGCCGCAAGGAAGGAGGCAGAGGACTAGTGAGTGTGAGAACCACTGTCCAGGACGAAACAACTAAGATCCATAAATACATCAGGGACAAAGCCTCAACAGACAATGTGCTCAGTGAATGTCTCAGACAACAGGGAACGGAGGTTGAGGTGCCAGAGATACCATCATGGGAGGACAAGCCCCTACATGGGATGTACCACCAGCAAATAACCGAAGTGGCTGATATCAGTAAATCCTACCAATGGCTGGAAAAAGCTGGACTCAAGGACAGCACAGAGGCCCTCATCCTGGCAGCCCAGGAACAGGCCCTAAACACCAGAGCAATAGAGGCCCAGATCTACCACACCAGACAAGACCCAAGGTGTAGGTTGTGCAAGGAGGCCCCTGAGACAGTCCAGCACATCACAGCAGGGTGCAAGATACTAGCAGGGAAAGCGTACATGGAACGACATAACCAAGTGGCAGGCATAGTGTACAGAAACATCTGTGCAGAATATGGACTGGAAACCCCGAGATCAAAGTGGGAAACACCCCCAAAGGTGGTGGAGAACGCCGGAGCTAAGATCCTGTGGGACTTCCAGATCCAGACAGACAAAATGGTAATGGCGAACCAACCAGACATTGTCGTAGTGGATAAACATCAGAGGAAAGCCGTTGTGGTAGATGTAGCAATACCAAACCAAGTGGAGCACGAGAAACTGGAGAAATACCAGGGCCTCAGGGAAGAACTGGAGAGGGCCTGGAAGGTGAAGACCACAGTGGTGCCTGTGGTCATCGGGGCCCTCGGGGCAGTAACCCCCAAACTGGAGCAGTGGCTACAACAGATCCCAGGAACAACATCAGACATCTCAGTCCAGAAATGTGCAGTCCTTGGCACAGCCAAGATACTGCGCAGGACCCTCAAGCTCCCAGGCCTCTGGTAGAGGACCCGAGCTCAGAGGATAAGAACCACCCGCGGTGGGTGAGAAGGGAATTTTTATATATATATATATATATATATATATATATATATATATATATATATATATATATATATATATATATATATTTATATATATATATATATATATATATATATATATATATATATATATATATATATATATATATCTTTGCTGAGAAGTTTCCCCATGATGAGACGTCCAAAGAGCGAAGAAGATGGAAACGCAGCAGGTTGGTGATGACACACACACACACACACACACACACACACACACACACACACACACACACACACACACACACACACACACACACACACACACACACACACACACACACACACACCTAGGGAGAATTTGGACAGACCAGTTAACCTGACAGTCATGTTTTTGGACTGTGGGAGGAAGCCGGAGAACCCAGAGAGAACCCACGCAGCACAGGGAGAACATGCACACTCTGTGCGGAAAAACCCCAGGCCAGGAATTGAACCCAGGACCTGCTTGCTGCAAGGCAACAGTGCTACCAACTAAATATATAATTTTTATTTATTACATAATTGATAACTTGATCAGTTACTCTGTATTTTTCAACTTTTTACTGTTTTAATTCTTGGACAGTTACTTTTCACTTTTACTTGAATAAAACTTTGTTGAAGTGGAGCTAATCTTGCTCTAGTATGTTGTTACTCTCCCCTCCGAGGCTAATGACTAAATAATCCACACACAAAAAATACTTGGCGGTATTTTATGTTTTTAATCAACTTTAGAAGTAAAAGAGCCATCCCAGTGCTCCCAGTGTGCTTTAGTTTCTTCCCCATTTTCAGGTTCCTGTTATGTTTTACATGCATGTAGGAACAGAGAACCCTGGGGAAAGAGGAACAGAACCAGAAAACGTGACGTTGGGTTTCTTCATGTGTTTGAACTGGTTCTGAAAGCGTGAAGTGAACTGGGACCAGCACATGATCGGCTCTGTGTTCCTGTTTGTGGAGTTTCCTCAGCTCCTTCCTGTCCAGCTCCATATCCTGACGAACGGGCCGCGCAGACACATCCTGACATTACTGTAACCTCACTCCAGCTCTGATGTAACCTTCGATTTTTACAAGACTTTCCTGATTTACGTCGTGGCTTAACTGGCAGGGAGCTTCAGAAAATGGTTCAACATATTTATAACTTCCACTCGCAGTTATATGCATTATAGTTCTTTATTAAAATCCGTTTTCTTGGTCAAAGTGACCGAGTTCACATCATGCTGATGTTTTCATAGCAATCTGGATCCTTACAGCGTTACATTTTTTACACATTTTGATTTTGTTCAACACAAATTCACATGTTTAGAACATGCAAATGGATCATTATGCTAAAAATTACCCAACACAAATTCTTATAAAGTAGTTTCTGGTCCAGTTTTTACTGCAAATATCTTACGCTTAAAATAAAACAAATTTTGTTTTTGTAGTGCATCAGCTCTGACCCACATTCCCACAGTATCATTCTGAAAGGTCTATAGATGTTTCCAACAATGGCCATTTCATGGAAAATTTTGTTCCAATTAAATTCTCTGATGTTTAAATTCACTCATCAAAAGCCAAACATTAGGGGAAATAAGAATAAAAGAAAAATACATAGGTCTTTTTGCTGCCTTTTTCACCTACAAAGAAATGTTTAACCATTCAACACGCTGATTTGTTTAACAGTAGAATCTGAATATGTAAACTCAACAGTTTTTTTTAAATATTTCCACACAATTCTCATGAAATCCATGTTATTTCCCTCGACAGATTGCAGAAGGACGAATTGAATTATGATGCCACTTCTGCAGAAATATCATCGGAGCAAAAGCATAGAGTTCAATGACAAACATTAAATTTAACAAGCATTTCTATAAAATGTTATTGATCAGAAAAAATAAGCACCCACATGTCCAGATGGATTGATGAATGAAATTGTGTTCATAACACATTGTATTTAAAAAAAAAAAAACACTTCACCAGGTTACAGAGAAAGACTGAAATTATATTAAAAATATATATCTAAAAATATTTAGTTCTCATTTACTTTAATTCTTAAAATGGTGATTCACAAGATTTAAAAATAGTTCCTCATTTGTACAGCAGTTTAATCAGTGTACTTTTAAAATCTAAAATTTCAGACAAAAAAATCAATAAAAATCAGGCAGCTTGTGTTTATAGTTAAATTGCACGATGTTCTTCTTCTCTTTATGAAATAATAAAAATAGAAAATTATGTGAAACGTATAGTTCTGTGGCTTCCATCAACACTGTTTACGAGATAAAAACTAAGATTTTTGTAATCTCATCCTGAAACTGGAAGTCTGCAGCGAGATGAACAATAAATACAGAGAAACGTTTTGATCTGTTCAGGCTGAGCTTCACCTGGACTGGTTCTGGTCGTACCTGCAAGAAAACAAAACAAAAAACAAAACAAAACAAAAAAAACATATGAGAAAATTGCATCTTCTTGTTTCTCAGCCATTTTTCAATATGGCTGAATAACATCACGATAAAAGCGTTTCACATCAGTTGATAGATGGTCTGAAATATCTGAAATTCTGCGAAACTGGTGATGTGATCTTTCCTATTTTATACAGTTTTCACTAAATGTTTATTTTTATGTGTTATGAGGCAAAAACCTGAAACTGCTGCTGCGCAAGTAACCCTACAAGATGTTGCTAGGCAACCAAAGAACGAGAGTCAGTTGTGCAGATCTGGATCGAATCTTCGTCAGACATGTTTTCTAATAAATTTGATCACAGGGCTATTGTGATAGATACTATGGATTTGTCACCCAGACTCATCTTGTTTTAGTTTGGAGTTAAGCTGTTCGGTAAATAATCCTTTGTGTTTTTGTGCGTGACTCACTGTGTGACGCAGTCCGGGATCTGCACATGCTCAGTGGGGACGAAGAGAGAAAGCTCCTGAAGCGTGTCGACAAACTGAAGCTTTCTGCTGAACTTGGAGCTGTAAAAGAAAAAAGGATTTTTGTTTTTCGGTCATTTTTTTACCATTGGAAAAAGTGAAGAAGAGGAGGCAGCAAACCTGATGAAGGGTTTGATGATGGTGGCGATGATTTTGATGTACCAGGTGGGATGGACCACGTAGAAACCTTTCAGGTTCTTCCTTAACCTACAAATAAATAACAGATTTTAGAGTCGATTTATCTCCAGACAGATAAATTCATCTGATGTGAAGCCTACACTGTAAAAACAAATATTTTTGGTCTAGATCCTACTGCAAATATATTAGTACAGTTGAAATAACACAAAAATAATGTTAGTTTGTTTTGTATAAATAATTCCTCAATATTGGTGAAAACTTACTAATGTCAGTTCATCTAACTTAGATACTTTTCCAATATTTTAAGTGAAATCCCACATTTTAACTTAAATCTTTCTCATCTTGTTCCACTAGAAGATCATTTCACTTTTTCATAAATATTAAGATAATGACTTAAAACAAGTCAATAACACTGAAACTAAATCAAAAATACTTGGTAAGATTTTGTGTTTTTGCAGTGAATGATGTCAAACAAACTCATCAGGTAAATAAGTTATAATTTACCCACCTGGAAAACATTTAAGATGTAATAAACCAAATCTGACATTAATTAAAATATAAATGAGATAATGTAATTGAGTTTTTTGCAATTTATCCTTTGTGTTTTTCTTGGATCCGTTTCGTTGAGTTAAATTAGCTTTTAATTTTTCACTGTGGAGAAAATACTCCCTCTACTGGCACGATGCTAAAACAACAACAGTTTAAATAAAACCTCGAGACAAAGAGGTGGACTGTGTGCAAAAATATTTGATTATTTTCATTGTTTACTGTAGTTTACTTAGTTCAGTTTGCCCAATTAAAAGACAGACCAACAATATTAAAAGACAAATAACATTGCAAGAAGAAGCAAAAGTCAAATGGACTTAGAGAAATGTCCACAGAAAAGTATAAAAATCCAACAATACAATCCTTCTGATGAGTTGATCTTAAGTACTTGAAATATTTCTATTTTTCCCCTCATACTTAAATCAATATTGTGTCTTTAAATTGTTCATAAGGCTATAATTAACATGTTTTAATGAAACCAAAGATCATATTTCCTCCCATATCTTAAGTAGGATGTTATGATTACTTGTCAGGAATTATTTATTGATGCAAAAATAAAGAAATAAACCCAGAAGGACATATTGAGAACCTCCCAAAGCAAAAACACAAAATCTTATTTTGAAGTATTTTTTTTGTCTTGTCTATAACATTTAACTTTTCCTGTTATATTCAAATAATTTGACAATTTCCAAGTACGTTTCTATGAGTATTAAGGGATTATTCACTTCAGGAAGCTCATATATCTTGCTGAAAAATGACTTACGTTGGTTCAGTCTTATCTGAAGTGTACTAAGATATTTGCACTAGAAACTAGACAAACATAGTTGGTAAGATTCTGTATTTTTGCAGTGCAGAGTCGGCGTCTCTCCCGTTTCGCTGTGTTGCCGTTACCTGCGGTCGATGGAGGTGTAACACTCCTTAAGCCAGCCGATTCCTGGGAGTTTTTCCTTCTGCCCTCCAGCACAAAGATAGACTATCACATAGTTTTCTGCCACCATCAGCTCCAGAGTCCCGATGACAAACCTGACAGCCGGAAACAGAAACCAGTGAGAATCCAATAATCAATCAGTAATCTGATCGGTTTCAGCGTCTCACCTGAACAGGTTGTCCATCACATACTGGTAGTTCTCCAGGCTGTTCTCCGGGAGGTAGCAGGAGGAAAACACGATGATGTCATCCTCACTGTCTCCATAGTAACCTGACAAATGGCAGCCACTGGTTAGGTTGACAGGTAGCCAGTGGCTAGCTGGTTAGCTGGTCAACAGCTAACCAGCTGGTCAACAGCTAACCAGCTATCCTTTTGAAGTCTTTTAAAGTCCATTGAGATCAAGATATAAAGGGCATTATAAATATAATCCATTATTATTATTGCTAAAATAGAATAGAAAATACTTTGTTAATCCACAATTTGTTAACAAGCTACTCCATTCAAAGTGTTAAATATTGCTAAATATACATATATAAAAAAAAAAAAAGTGGGTCGAACCTCCATGTGACAGAACTCTGAGATACGGCTCCAGGACGCTCATGTCGACCCTTGACTCCTGAGGAGGGTCACCTGTTGTGAAGCAGCGCCACCTGGTGCCTTTGCTGTCCACCACATCTTCCCTTTCCAAGGATCCCAGTCCAAACTGGTCAGGCCCTGGTTGAGAACAAGCTCCAGAACCCGACCTGGGTCTGGACCCAGACGCTCTGAGGCGACGGGAGGCCACACCGAGTCGCCGCATGTCATCTACAGACGAAGAAGAAAATGTGAATTTGCTCATGAAGTTCACATTTTGCTCCCTACGGTTACCTTCCAGGTCCAGGTCATAGAGGGGGAAGTGCAGGGATTCGCTATCGGACGGCGTCTCCACGGCGTCCAAATCAAAATCCAGTGTCGTGTCCTCTGCATCCTCTGCATCGTCTGCATCCTCCGGTGACGGGGAGAGAAAGGTGGACTGTAGGTCATCAGACGTTATCGACTCGCTGCCGCCTGGAGGAGAAACGGCATCATTTTAAAACACAGGCTGACACAGAAAGACATAAATAAATAAAAGCAGCAATAAAATATGATGAAACTGTCACCTAATGACAGACTCAGATTTGGAGCGGCCAGCACTTTCTTCTTCGCTCGTTGTTCCCCAGTCAGATTCAGACTGCTGGGCGGAACTGAGGACAGGAATCATGGACAGTCAGGATGTTTACGAAAACAACAAAACCAGGAAGAAATATCCACTTTCAGGTTTTTCTGTTATAGCCAACGTTGAACTTCCCTTCACTGCATAAACAAACAAGTAATCACACCATATATTTTCTACTCTGATATTCAATAAAAGTTAATCAACCCAGTGCCAGTTCCACTGAGATTATTTCACTTGCATGGCGTCCATTTTGTAAGGTTACAGTGATAATTCGCTATATTTAGCCTGTCATAATGAAAAGATGTGGGTGTTTATTTTTCAAACTCATATTTTGGCATTTCTACATGTTCATTAAATGTCAAAGTTCAAAACTAAATATTTAGCTTACAAACCATGTCTTTAGCTTTCAAATTAAGTAGCTTAAATAGTTAGCATCACTTTAACCCAATATTTTTGATCATTGTGGGAAATTTACAATAAACTCACAATTATAGATTAGCATGGAAAAGTGCCGGGAACTGTTGGAATAATTAAAGCAACTGATGTAATTTGGCAGTATACAGACGAAAACTACTTTGATTTAATTGATCTAATAATATTTAAGCAAACAAATGTCATCTTGAAGGTTCCATTTATGCGTCGCATTGAGGCTAGAGGGCCACTAAAACTGCTATGGCGGGCCAGATTTGGCCCACGGACCTCGAGTTTGATGCATGTAAGGTAGAATAACTACTGAAAATATAAATGCAGTAGAAGTCAATAAAACTTAACACATTTTGTGGTTTGTATATCGAAGCTGTATGATGACAGAACGCTGTACCTGGTCTCGCTCTGCTGGGTGTTAACGGTTTCTGCTCCGATTCCTCAGATTGCTCAGCTGCCGAGGAACAAAAGAAACGCAGGAAGTAAGTCAAGAAACTGAGAGGGGAGAAGAAAAAAAGCTGGTAAGCTCACCTGTCTGGCTTTCAGACACCTGCTGGATCCCTCCTGAAGATAAAACAGAATAAAACTGATGAGAAAAAACATTTGAGGTTGGAATTTTAAGGAATCTTGCAGATTTTCTCACCCTCTTCATCGACAGCAGGTGTTTCTACTCTTCCTTCCTCCTCACCTTAAAATAAAGGAAATCTGAAAAACCTACAGATTGTTTTACAGATGGTCCTCCTATCTTCAAAAGGTTGATGAGACTTATGTCTGATCCTTTTACCTGCTGAGTCACCATTTGGCATCGCCACGACACCGTTTCCTCTTCCTCCCGTTTCTCCCACTTCTGTTGGGAGACATTTTAGGTTAGGTTAGATTTTAGTTCAGACAGACAAAAAGTTTGATTCTTTTGAGATTTGCTTAATAGCGTCTTTTGAACTGCAAACATCAAAAGATAGAATAAAATTCTACAGAGTATTTTTGGTCCAGTTTCTACTGCAAACATCTCAGCATGTTTCAAATAAGACAAAAATAACTTCAGAAAGATATTCAAGTTTATTTTAAATCACTTTTCACTTGGAAAAAATGTTAATCAGTGAAACTATAACTGGTTGCAAGGTTACGGTGCAGCCCCCCCATTGATTATGAATTAGGACATTTTTCATTAGCATTAAAGATTTTTTTTACTTGAAATGAGGTCCTATATTTAGCTAAAAAATTGTGAGTTAGTTTTGTCTTATAGATAAGATATTTACACCAGGAACTTCGTTATTTTTGCAGTGCACAACATTTTCTTCTTTTAAAAAAAGAGCAAAAATCTGTAAATTAAAAAGAAATAAAAATTTTATTTGGGTAATCCAACAGGAAAGTTGTATTTAGATGACAACTGGATTTTAATCTCCAGAAAAACGTCACTTTTTGAATGAAAGTTCTTGATGATTTTAGGTATCAGATATTAGGATGCATGTTTTAATAAAAATAAAAAACTGGCTCTAGTAGAGCTCAGTGAACTTTTTATTACAGAAAGATTTTTCTATACGTTTCTGAGTCAACCAGCTGCTATGTGGATAGCATTTCCTGGAGGTCATGGATGAGATTTCTGCTGAAAAGTTACTTTTTAGCTTATTTCAAATACAATAAAATATTCACACTAGAAACTAGACCAAAGATACTCGTTAAGATTTTGTGTTTTTGCAGTGAAATACCGTGATTAAATCATGATTGAAAGTGAATGGCTGATGGACCTGTTGTTGGAGTAGAAATGTTTTCATCTGCAGCGTCTTGGTGGCTGGTTTCACCGTTTTCATCTCCCAAAATTATCCTGCAGAAAGATGCAGTGGGTAAAGTAGGTACTTTGAAAGTGAGAAATTAAAGTATTTCATAAGATTTCTCATAATAAATCAAAGGTACTGAGGTTGACCTCTGACCTGGATGTTTCTCCTTTGTGTTCTTCTCCTATGGACTCCATGTTGCTTCTGTTCATGGAGGAGAAAATGGATGCAGTAGTTTGTGTTTAGGGTTGAGAACTGATGCTGCCGGATCTGACTGGCAGAAACAGGAACTTAAAAATAACAGCTTTGCGCCGCGTCACCTTCCTTCTCAAACCTGTTGTCAGTAAATAACATCTAAACCAGTTCATGCAGTTACATCCACAAAGCAAATAAAGTCATTTTAAACAAGCATTTCCTATTCCTCCTGGGGTTTTAAGCCTTTGTTTTATTTATTCTTTCCCAAGTTGGACTGATTGTACAAACTATCACTAAAATCGGCTCCAAAAATAACATTTTCTTGCACATTTTAAACAGTATATGCATTTCTGGATTTACATATTCCATGCATATTTTTGCTTTATTTTACAATTGAGTCGTACTTATGACACTTATTTCCTGTATACAGATATCCATTTTCTAACATGATCACTTTGTATGGATTAATTAACAGAAGCATGCATATTCAGATTAAACAGCAAGCAAAAAAGATTTTGAGAACCACCCCTCCCCCCAAAACTTACAAATACCCAAGTCTGAAAAGTCCAGAGTTTGGAGCAGTGGTGGGAAACTCCAGGCCTGATGTCCTGCAACTCTTAGGCATCACACTGGCCCAACACAGCTGAATCAAATGGCTGAATCGCCTCCTCAGTGCAGTCAGGTTCTCCAGAGTCCTGCTATTGACCTCATTATTTGACTCAGGTATGTTGAGAGAAACAAATCTAACAAATTTAAAAGCTGCAGGAGGCCTGGAGTTGCCCACCCCTGGTATAGAGAGACGTTTTGAAATTAATCTTTGAAAAGTTCTGGAAAAACATGGAAATTTCTGATTTGTTCTTTCAACTTGGCATGTTTTGTCTCCTGTGACAAACATTTTGGAGACCAAGTTGTAGAAATAAACCAGATTTTCTGATCATTTTGACCAGTAATGGGTCATTCTGACGCTCTTAGACCCTGAAATGAGAAACAGCTGGAACAAACTGAGTTGTTGACACAAGGCTGGACAAATGTTGCTGCTCTTTGCTGCTCACTGGATCCGAACCAGGAGAACAACAAACCCAACCCACACTCTCATTTAGGCTGATCACAGAAACAGGTTGAGCTGAAATGTAAAAACCCAACGCCACCAAAAAGACTAAAATAAAAGTTTACTACAGAGTAGAAGTGGGGAGACTTACAGCAGTTCTTCCAGCCCCGGTAGGTGAGGGGGGACAGGTGAGGACAGGTCAGACGGTGCGGGACTAAAATGGGAAGCAGCTCCACACCTGCTGACTCAGCTGATCCCTTTATGAGTGGACTCTGACACCTGAGCTGTGCTTCACCTGTACTTCCAGGTATATAAAGAAAACGGAGGTGTGTTGCAGCAATAAGAGTCCCACCCCGTTGCTGTGCCAACTGGGACTGTGAGCGGGCGTGGCGGGTGGAGGCGGTCATGTTGCTGCCTGCAGAGCCATTCGCATGGCAAAGTGTGAGACAGCTCGTATTATTACTGTTTGTCAATAGCGTTGCGACAGACGGAAAGGTTTAACGGGTATTTACTTTTTAGGAAACAAAAAGTAAGATTTTTTTAGTTTTGGATTTGATTTCTTCATCTGGAACCTGCGAGTCCGAATTTTGTACCACAAGCAAGTAAAGGTGGCATGACAGCAAAAAAATTAATAATTGAATCCTTGAAAAAACAAAGATGTTTCTGACCCCAAAAGTTGAAATGTTGCAAGAAATTACACCAAATTGGTTTTTTTTTAACATTAAACTCACAAGTTAGAGGAAAAATAACAATTTTAAAAAGTCGAAAATTTGCTTGAAATATTTTTTTGAGAATAAGTTCAGAAATCTTCTAAGAAAAACAGCTTAGTCTTTTTCAGACACACTTTTTTAGTGTGTCTAAAAAATACTAAAATGTGCAGAAAATATACTCATATATTGAGCGTAATCTCAGAAATTTGATAAAAAAAAAAACAAGAACATTTTTTGAGCTCCAGAAGTCTAATATTCACAGTAAATACTCATAAATTGTGTGATTATCTTGGAAATTCCTGAGCTTCAAAAAATAAGCTTAAAAGAAGTTAGGATAAATCGCACAAATTCTCTAGAAAAACTAGTAAATTTATGAGCTCCAAAAATTAAGAATTTGCTAGCAAAAGCTCAGACATTTTGAGGTTAATCCCAGAAATCTAGAAAAAAAAGCAATGAAAAATTTAGGTATTTCGAGATTAAATGTAACTGAATTGAATTCAGTTTGAACTGAGTAATTTCTTCTACTTTTTAAATTGACTTGAGTAAAAATATGCTGAAGTTGTGCCAGTTTTACTTGTTAACAGGTTTTGGTTACTCTACCCACCTCTGTGTAGATGTAAAACTTTATTTTCTCCTTCAAAATCATGACAAAAAGCTGCTTTATTGTAAATAAAGTTGGGAAGGGAGTGACGTCGAGTGACAGTTTCGTCACTTCCGTCATATTCAACATGGAGTCCAACGGTGTAAAGCTAAACTTCTGGGGGAACGGACCAAAGCCCGGACAGTTTTATTCTTTCCCGGGCAGCACCGGGCCCGGATCATCATGCGGCCCGGTTAGACACACACTGTGAGTAGATGTCTGGCTCGGAACCAGAACCTTGTAATGTTCGCAGAAGCCGAACACCGGTTCTGGTTTCGGTTTGATCTCCGCTGCTGTGCTGTATCATCATGGAGAAACGGCTGCTGCTAACCAAGGCTAAAACATTTAGCAGTTTCCCCTCAACATTAAGGTTTACGGCTTTTTTAAAGCAAAGAGACACTTGGAGTTATTATATTAATTAAATAATAGAGATTATCAGGCATTAGGTAATCCATTTAAATCTGTTTTTAGGCGTTTGAAGAATCGTAACCTGTTAGCTAAGCTAGTTTAGACAGCAGATTGTTGTTTGTTCCCAGATTTAAAAAGTAAGATATTTACTTTAAAGACGGTCTGCAGTCTTTAAAGTAATTATTAGGATGATAAAAAGCACAACTTTGAGGAAAAGCTTATGCTTATTATTTTTATTTTTATCCTGATTTCCAAGAGTAGTCGAGTAAAACTATGTTACTGTCATGAAAATAAAGTAATTATAGGTGCCTATTACTTTGCCTGTCACAATTATAAATTTTGCTGAATGATAAATCATCCCGGCAATTATTACAATAAATGATAATATGGTTATTTTCAGACCATTTTTAAGTGATATGTTAATAATGGCATAACAATGCAAGTTCACCCTCTTAAAGACTAATAAAATTACATTTATTAAAGGACACTAAACATTGGAACTGGAACATATTTTAAATATCCAGAATAAAACATGACAACCAAAACCAATTAATAAAACGAAAATAAACACTTTTCACCAAAACCATCAATAAAATCGGTTGTGATGTAAATTTAAACATTTTGCTGAAAAATGAAATGATCTAATTTTAATTGCTTATTGTGACAGGCTTACTTATTACTAACATATTCTGAGATTAAAATTCAAATCAGAAATTATGTCTTTTATTAACATGAAACCACCCAACTGGGGGTTTGAGAAGGCAAACAAAGAAACACAGAACTAGATGTTGCTGTATTTTATATGGTAACAAAAAAGTATGGATGGAAAAGTAGATGTTTAGTAGTTTTGTAAAATCTTTATACGTTTTTAGTTTTACTGTACAGAAACTGATCTTTGGGTGCTGCAGCTACTTTACTCATTAGGAATATTTTCTTCAGGCAATGATATGCAGATTCTATAGACTTTTACAGTCATGCCTATTATTGAGTATTTCTTCTTTCTTTTCGCAGTAACCCGATGGTGACTGGAACATCGGTGCTCGGTGTGAAGTTCACAGGCGGCGTCATCATCGCGGCGGACATGTTGGGTTCTTATGGCTCTCTGGCTCGGTTCAGGAACATTTCCCGCCTCATGAAGGTGACGACCGCTGTCAACAAGAACAAGAAAACAAAAATTTATATAACTGAAAGCTGTCTATAATGTTTTTTAATTGTTTTTTTTTCTAATAGGTGAACGACAACACCATCCTGGGAGCATCAGGGGACTACGCTGACTATCAGTACCTGAAGCAGGTCATTGAACAGATGGTGTAAGTTCCTCATTAACGATTAAATCACAACCTGATTAGAAATAAAGTTTTAAGAGTCTGTAAATAACTCAAAACATGTTTTTGTCATGGTCATTCACATTTACTAAACAGCAAGACATTTCTCATTAGGATGACCAAAGAAAACGACAATAAATGAGTTAAGAGACTAATATGTTAATTTCAGGTGTATGTATTGAGATGTCGTGTTATTGCAGTGCAATTTCAAGCTAGGTGGTTTGTGAGGATTTTGTTAAGTTGGATAGATCTGAAGAAGTTTGAGAAACACTGCTCTAGATCTTACTGGGACAGTAATCCTCTAATCTAATCCTGCAAACGAAGACCGACTATGTAACCATCTTTATGTGACTCTGAAGGTTCAGGTCTGAGCGTTCGGACCTGATCTCTAGTTTCCAGCTGTGATAACTGAACCTGTGCGCTGACTCTGGATCATTCTGTACGTCAATGTTGTTTCTGCTGTTAGCATCGACGAGGAGCTGCTCGGAGACGGCCACAGCTACAGTCCGAAGGCCATCCACTCCTGGCTGACCAGAGTGATGTACAACCGCCGCAGCAAGATGAATCCTCTGTGGAACACCGTGGTCATCGGAGGTTTCTACAACGGGGAAAGGTGAACGCTCCACAGAAATGTCTTTAGTACTTCAATAGAAATAAATATTCTTTATTTTCACTCTGTAATCATGTTTTTAATGTACGCAGAAGGTTTACTAATACTAAACACTGTCAAATTGTCAAAGGAGTTCAAAATTCAGAAATACTTTATCAATTCCAAAGGGAAATGAAATAAAATTAGTAATAATAATTTCATCACTATAATAATAACTTTATTTAATAAAAGTATTACATTTGATAACATTTAATTTTATTAATAAATTATATTTTGTTTAATTTCACAAAATGAAATAAAAATTTAATTAGTAATTGTGATAAACGATAATATTGTTGCTTTGAGACCATTTTTACATAATGTAATGGTTGAGAACAAATTCTCAAAAATCAATAAACTTTGAATTATAATGAACATTTAACACTTAAACTGGGAGACATTTTAAATATCCCAAAAAATAAACAACACAACAGAACCAATAAATACATTTAATTATAGAGTCTTAAAATTATCCTTGAATATAAGGGATCATGGAGACTAAAGCAGCAGACTGAAGAGTTTTGTCATCCAATTTTTGATAGAAAAATAAAATTATTGAGTTTCTTTTCATTTATCATGTGATTAATTGATTTATTGATATTGTGACAGGCCTGCTAATACTGATTATAGTGACTAAATGTGAATCAGCTGCTGCTCTTTCATTCCCCCGCCGCTTTGTGAAACTTTATTAACTTCCTGAATGTTTCGTCTTCTCCAGTTTTCTGGGTTATGTGGACAAGCTGGGCGTTGCTTACGAGGCTCCAACAGTCGCCACCGGGTTTGGAGCGTACCTGGCTCAGGTGAGTCCCCGTGTGATAAGGCAACACGACTTTTTATCATTTAAATGTTAGAAATTCATTCAACCATAACGTAGGACAAGGCGATGAACCAAATTTAGCTTTTTTTCTCCAGTGCATTCCCTCTTTTTCCATGGTAACAAGTGATGTCATCAAGGCTAGGTATTTGGGCCAGTGTAAGTTTTTCTTTCTTCGATGATGAGGATAAAGTGGCAATTTTATGAGGAATCCAGGTTTCCCAGGTGTATAATTTCAAACCTTGAAGCGTTTGATGCGAATCGGGTCTCTGTGGATTGAAAGTGTTTTTTGTTTTTTTTTAAATAAAAGTTTGATTTGTTGTTCTTCCAGCCTTTGATGAGGGAGGTGGTGGAGAACAAGGCAGACATCAGCAAGCAGGAAGCCCGGGATCTGGTGGAGCGCTGCCTCAAAGTGCTTTACTACAGAGACGCTCGCTCCTACAACAGGGTGAGTTCAGCTCACGTTTCCAATCGGACCCAGAACCGAAGACAAACACCAGCTAAACTTTAACCAGGAGCTCCCAAAAGCTCTGCCTGTACTCAGCCACAGAATATAGAAACATAAACTTTTAGACTGTTCTTATTCACTATTCCATAATTACTACATTCACCGAGCATAGAATATACTTCATTGACCCCAAAGTGGAAATTATTTTTAACCCTACTTTTCTATATTAATATTACAAATATAACCATAAATTATGTATATAAGTTTGTAAAGCATATAAACAACTCTGATGTAAATAATTTAAATATGACTAAATATAGAAAAATAAGTTAAATAGGTAAATAAAATGAGAAGCATTTACATGGAAATATGTTATATATTAATCTACAAATGAGTCCAGATAAAATTAGAAAATAATTTTTAAAAAATACCATTTGTTAGATGGCTACGAATCCTGTGGAGGAAAAAGTTTTATTGTCAGATAATCTATTATGACTGTTACGAGGTATTACATTTTTCTAATGTAATGTTTTCTGTTAATCGGATCAAATTTAGTTTTTTCTCCACAGTTCTTGCTTGAGGAAATAAACAGAAACTAAACACCAGAAATAACATTTAAATAAATAATTTTAAGATGCATCTTATTTTAAAAAAACGGATTGAAAAACAAAAATATTCAATCAAAAACATGATTGAATTCATGTTTTTGTTATTGTATGTTTTTTCTCATGTTCTCTCTAACTTTCTGAAGTTCCTAGAGCGCCCCCTGGTGACTCTCCATTATAAAGAAACACTGCTTTTACTGAATGTAGTGATTTACTGTTTTTATTCCAGCATGAGATTGCCATTGTGACCCAGGAGGGCGTGGAAATCATCGGTCCTCTGTCATCAGAAACCAACTGGGACATCGCTCATTTGGTCAGGTACGTCCAGATCTCCTGCCAGACACTAATCCCTGCTGTTAGACCTTTTCAGGATAACTTCGAGATCTTCACAGGGTGAAATTTTACTCCTGCAGTAACTTGTTTTTGTCTGCTTTCTCTGCAGCGGGTTTGAATGAAGACGAGTTGGAGCCATTTTCCTGCTATCTCAGAAATAACATCCCACCATGCAACCTATCTATCCCAGTTTAGTTTCTTTCTGTTTATGTTCACTTTTGTATAATGGAAAAATAAATACAATAAATAAAACAACTATTGCAAATCTCATTTTATTTTATTTACTACCATTTCCTCTAAAACACTTAAAACGTATTAAATAAGGAAGTCAACTCTTTTCTTTAACGTAAAATAAGCACATTTTGTAACAATTTACTACACACATATATATATCTATATTTTACATTGACTGTAACTCTGCTTTTAATCTTATTTGCTTTATGTAAACATGAATAGGTTCTTTATGTAAAGAGTTCAGCACCATCGCAAGACTTGAATACATGATAAACTTATTTTTTCCAAATTGATTTACGTCACAGATTCAGCAGAGTCAGAAAATGTTTCCTTGATTGGCATGTTAAGTGCAAGTAAATATAAAAAAATGTTGCAAATTCCTAAAACTAAGAACTCCTACCATTTTCAATGATAAACTTAAGTGAGATATTTTATTTCTATTAAATAGAGGTGATATTTCTTGTTTGATTAAAAGCTAATATATCTGCTGAAAAAGATCAATGTATGTTTTTTATTTAAATAAATTAGAATTTATTGCGATTGAACAAATCGCAATAAATTCAAAATTTCTTTGTCTTTGTTCTTTCAGACAAAGAAAACTAAATTTTGCCATTGTTCTAGAAAACCGATATCGGTACATCTATTTGATATGTGTACCATAAAGACAAAACTGGAATATTGTCCTTAAACCATTTAATTGTTTGATAAATAATGTTCAAGGTAGAAAAGGAACGATAAGCAGTTGGTATGATGACCGCAGTTATTGTTTTCGTGTTCGTTTCACATCTTTGTCTTATAAGGGAGCTGTTACTAGGTAGATTTCACAAGAGAAATTCATCTCTTTTGTAACTGGGCAGACCAGGACACGTTGTCCAATCAGAAAATTGTCTGACGAAAAAATGTTTCCGCTCAGCCAATGAAATGGTGCCTAATTTGGGTATCCAAGGGGATTTTTGACAGCGGACCAATCGCAATAGACGTTACCTTTGTAGTCAGGCAGACATAGTACAGTCGTCCAATCACAAAAAAATCTGAAAGGGGATTTTTGCTGTATCTTGGTTCAGGTACTTTCTTTTTCTTTTTAAAATAAATACTGCAATGTGAGTCACCCAGTAAGCCATAAATTAATAGTATATTCAATTACCTATTACCTTGAATTATTTTAAAATTCTAAATGACGCTCATAAACGTGTTTGGTAGGGCGTTATTCGCTTGCTAGCTAATGCTAATGACACTATGTAGCTAACTGAGTCGTTAACCGCGTTAGTCGCTCTAATATCCGTATCTTTTTGCTCCAACGCATGTTTATATCCTCTGTAGATTACGGATGTTTGTTAAACGTGTCCTTGATCAACCCAGCTACTAAATGTCTTTGCTTTTGCCAGCATCTGCGATGGATGTGAGTGTTGCCCGCTAGCCAGTTAGCTCCGCAGTAGCATGTACACTTGCGTCTGTGTGTGTTTTGTAGTAAATGGCAGGCACATGACCACAGGCGCTGCGCCTGCTGTAAACACGGCAGTCAGAGCTGGCATGGGAGCTCCGGCATTTCCACTAAAACCCGGCGGGCTGTAAGGAGGGGCCGCGGCCGAGGACGGGCTGCGTTCGCTGCTGGTGTTTATATTCCTTCCTCTCCTGTTGTGATAGTTTAGTTCACCAATACCCCGTCAGCCAGCATGTGTCTTTACCCGGCAGCCAGTGGGCCTTTTTTTATTATTACAGCCGGTCAGAGCGGAACCGGTTTGGATTCTGGGTTTAATGACAGCACGAAGCGATGCTAAAGCGAAGCGAGCGGCATAATTGTTAAGGATGACAGCTGTGTTGCATCAAAAATAAGTGGTTATTTTAACCGAGTTTCTTCTGTCACTGAATCCTGCAGCTCAATTTTGCAGTCTTTGTTTGACAAAAACAATCACAAAACAAGTTCGGCCCAGATTTACATGTCGTACACACAATATAGAGAAATATTTAGGTGTTGTGTTTATTCTTTAGGCCTCCAATTTGCTATTTTCCAGCAGACATATTTGTATTTTAAGCTTATTTAAAAATATATTCTTATATTAAAAAAATAAATAACATTTTCTAATTTATAAGAGAAATATTTTATTTACTGTATAAATGTTTCTCTGTGCTGCTCCTTTTAGTGTTTTAGTGAAATTTTTGATATACATAATAGTAATTTTTTAAAACACTTTTTAGGTTGAGCTAACTCCTGCAATCACTTCTATTTATGTAAAAACCAATCGATATGAACCATATATGAACCATATAGTTCAGTCAGTGAACTGAACTATATGTTGAACAACATGTTTTGAACATTACACAGCAGAAACCGCAAATTGTCAGTCAACAAAATAATATAAAATTAAAAGTAACTGTAGGTATTGCACAAAAAACAAACACAGAGACAATACAAATAAATTTTTTTAAATATTTATTTTTAACCTAACAGTATATCTTTAAAGTTTATACAAAAATATAAAATTTCTAGAAAAAAACGAGAAAAACTTTGTTTCAAGCCTTAAAAGTTTTCGACTTTTGAAAATTTCCAAAAGTCGAAAATTTGATTCTTCAAACTCAGAATTTCAGTGTTCTTACTTGAAAAATGTTGACATTAATTAAAAAATTTCTGAGTGTTTTGTTGCACATTTTCAACTTGTTTTTCTAGAAAGTTTCTGAGTTTTTCATTTTCTTCTTTGCATCTGCAGTGGCTCTGTTACTGCTTTGTACGTTTCCAGTCATGCTGTTGGTTTTTATACTGCAGGTTTTTGTTTTTTCAGATGTTGGTTCTCAGCACAGGTTAGTCGGTCCAGATGTCGGAGGACCAGCAGCACCAGCGGGCCGATGCCTCCCACAGGGACAAGGGCGGCCTGGAGCCGGGGGAGGGCGACACAGAGCCCAGCATTTTGCTGCAAAAGCTGAGCAGCAACATTTCGTAAGTCATATAAGAACTTCCTCAAAATGATCTGATGCTTTTCAAAGCGTTTTTATGTTTCTTTTATTATTCTTGTCAATAAAAGAACTAAAGAAAATTGAGCAGTTTAAATTGAAAGTAAGAGAAATTTAACTCTTAAATTTATGTGAGTTTTAGGCTTGTTTTGCAGAAAATATTTATAAATAGCCAAATCGATTTCACAATTTGAATTAGAATATTTAATCTAAAATGTTTTGGCCATTTAATTAGAAATATTAGAGTAATTTGAGCTTTTCTTTTAGCAGCTGGTTGGATTGGAAGTGAATATATTATCATTAAGAAGCAAACAGCTCTTTTTAGTTTAAATCGTAAAAAAATCTAAACATATCTGAAAAAACTAATATTAGTTGGTAAAAAAATATTAGTGATATTTAATTAGTATGTTTTCAACTAACCTTCTTTCTGTACAACTGAAATTTTAATGACTGGATTTGTTTTTATCTTGCAGAAAGAACGTTCAGACCAAAGTGGATCAAATCTTGGTAAAAACAAAACATTTTTAATCTTAAATGTAGATGTTGGATCTGCAGAATGTGATGCAGGTTTGTTTTGTTTAACAGCAAGACGTTCAGCGCTTCTCAGACAATGACAAGCTGTTCCTGTACCTCCAGCTGCCCTCGGGGCCCAGCTCCGGAGACAAAACGTGAGAATCGTTTATGAACATTTTACGTTTATGGCAGATTTAGGCTGATTGATTAAATGTTGTGTTAAATAAAATAGATATTTGAGACAGGCTGTACTTTCAGCTCTTTATCTCTAATATGTTATTGTGATTCTTGATATGGGCAGATTGGCTTTTGCCCAGGGTGACATGATCTTCATTAATGTCAAAAGATTAAAAAAAAAAACATATGCAGGCTCTGTTATTCCAACTAATTGGAATAAATAACTTAAGACATAACTATGTAGTTTTGGTCGATTATGAGTGGCTGTTGTGCAATTTATAAAGTGCTTTTTTTACTTACAGCTAACAAAAGCTAAAATAACCAAATAGGGTTTGAAACACAAGTAGAAATTTTTATTTTATTTGAAACGTCTGAAATGTTGGGATGGAAAATGTGCTTAAATAAAAGCAGTAAAAATAGTATTTGACATGTAAAGTATAGCTAATTAGGTAAAAAAAATATTAGTCTTCCCAGTAACAGTTGAAGAATTTTTGAATTGTGACACATTTATCGTCCTTTTTTACTATGAAACTAATATGAATAGTAAAAAAAAAAACATAGTTAAAATATTTTTTTCCATATTCTGGCTTTGCTTGCATTCTAACATTGTACTAGTTTTTAATAATAGTTATGGCCGTAGAAAATCCTCCCAAGGGCCAAAAATGGCCTACACGCCACACTTTGATCACCCATGATTCACCCGTGTGTGTGACACCCAGTGGTGGCGACCCGAGTTCATTCAACACAGCTGACCAGCTGCACACCTGTAACTGGATCCGGAGTCACCTGGAGGAGCATTCAGACACCTGTCTGCCCAAACAGGACGTCTATGAGACGTACAGGTGAAGAAACACCCCGACAGACACACCCTCATTACAATAACAAACACAGAGTTTCCATTAACCAAAAAGTTTTCTAAAAATCCGGGCAACATTCACATCCATCGCAGTTGCTGGTAAAAAGCAAAGACATTTAATAGCTAGGTGGATCAAAAACACTTTTACCAAACATCTGGAATCAAAGAGAGGATATAAACATGCAACTAACCCGGTAAGCTATTCAGTTAGCTGCATAGTGTCATTAGCATTAGCGAGCTAGCGAAGAAAGCCCTACCACACACATTTGTGTTATTTGTGATTTACAAATAATAGGTGATCAAATAAACCATCAACTGTGACTCGCATTTGGGTATTTTCTTTAAGAAAGACAAAAAAAAGTACCTCAATCACTACGGCCAAAAATTCTCTTTCAGATTTTTTATGATTGGACGACTGTACTATTGTCTGCCTGACTACAAATGCAAAGTCTATTGCAATTGGTCTGCTGTCAAAAATCCCCTGGGATACCCAAATTAGGCACCATTTTATTGGCTGAGTGGAAAAATCTTTTCGTCAGACTATTTTCTGATTGGACAACGTGTTGCGATACGAACAGATGTATGAAATTTACCCGCTGATAAAATAAAGATATGAAAAGAACACGAAAACAAGTATTACAGTACTCGTACCAACTGCTCCGTATCGAAACATATTTGGAAACAGGTTTTGAATCATGTGATAATACTACTGGCAGAAACGACAAAGAAGATAACAGGAAGTAGTAGGATGACGATGTTCTTTTGGGTTTCTTTGGACAATGTCCACCTCACAGCATCACACAGTTCATAAAAACTTTTGCGTCATTTAAAAGTGTTGAATTCAAAGCTCTTCTGTAAAATCGGCATTTACAAGTTACTCATAATGCCGCATATTGAACTGCCCCCTAGTAATACAACACAGAAGCCTCTTCTAATGGCTGAGTTATGAATATTTTATGTTACTGCTGTGATTTTTAATGACTTATTAACATGTGATTTAAAATTTATTTCTTGTTTAATGGAAACTGGATTTGGGAAATTGTGTTTTTGACATTTGCAGAATATTGACAAAGATTTGCGCAGCCTTTGATGTTCTGATGATGTAATCTGTGTGCTGCAGGAGGTACTGTGAGAACCTGCAGCATCGACCCCTCAGCGCTGCCAACTTTGGGAAGATCATCAGAGACATTTTCCCCAACATCAAGGCGAGGCGACTCGGCGGCAGAGGACAGTCCAAATATCCTTTAAATTGCTGCACGAAGCAGCCTGACTCATTCTTTAGTTTTTTGTTTGAAGATTTTCCACTTAATTTGATTTAATTAAAGATTTTAAAATGCAACAACTAAGTTATTTGATTCAGGGGTATTTTAGGAGGGAGAAAAATTTGATGTACAATGGCTATGCAGGAGGCTGTACTTTTGCTTTTCACAGTTGTATAATTGTGCATCTGTTTGCAGCCATTCTCCCATGACAGTGTAAATGCTGAGTTGGGCAATGTGGTCAGCAGCAGTTTATTTGGATTTAAAGTGACAGAGGCCCTAAAACGGCTCACTCTTAGAGGAGCTCAAAATAGTCAGAACTGATCAGTTGGAAATCTCATTATTTAAGACTATCCTGTTCAAGGAAGCATAATAGTTCACATTTAGCAATAAATCAATATATCAGGTTCAGATACAGAGGTAGTGAATCACTCCTCTTTCTCTATGCGCACATTCAGTTTGTGGAAAGTCTCTGAATAAAGTGAATGAAGGGACGATGCTTTGCCAGATCTCATGAATTTATGCTTGTTATAAAAGTCAAAATTTCCCTGCAGCTGTTTCTGAGTGCAGCTGCAAAATGTCGAATGATGTCATGTTTAAGGTTGAATTTGAGCCCAGAGGCGTCCAGTTTATTGATGATATTTTCATCTGCTACAGTTTAAACCCACCATGCTGGTTATATTATGGTAAGATGCAGCAAAGGAGTTTAAACGTGACACATTATGCTTCCTTGAACAGATTAGTATAGTATAGGGTCCATAGAAAACATGTTCATTACATTTTTGGCATAAGATCATTTTTAGATGATGAGATTGCAGTCTGGTTCCTTTCAGAATGAACTGTTTTAGGGCCTTTTGTCACTTTAAATCCAAATAAACTGCTGCTGGCCACATTGCCCAACACAGGATTTACACTGTCATGGGAAAATGGATGCAAACAGATGCACAATTATACATCTGTACACCTGTGAAAAGCAGAAGTAGAGCCTCCTGCGTAACCATCAAGAACGCAGCAAGTGGCTTCTGCATGGTGAGTCAACTTCAAAACATTTATCTTTTCCAGCAGCCATTGTAAAACCAAAATGTTCTGGAACTCAGTTTGTGTTGCTAGCTAACGACGCTATGCCTGTAGAATGTGACTTAGCAGGAACATTTTGAAACGGCTTCAAAAAACATTAACTTATTGCCATAAACAGCTGGATGGGTTGGTTTACGTTGTTTTTAGAAGCAGTTGAGACCAAAATGGACAATAGAAATGTGCAAAAAAGTGAATTTTTCACTCTTTTGAAGTACATCTTACTTACAGTTAAAGTATTTTTGACTGCAAAAATAGAAAATTTAGCTTGTCATCTTCATAAAGAGACTGAACTTTTGTACGTAATCCAATTGTTCAAGAGCAGCAGCTGATTTAATTTGGGTTTGCATTTTCAGTCGTTTTTGGTGATTTTGGTACTGCAGTCACCAGCTGCTGCTTAGAGCTTAATGTTATTTATGTAACATGTATCAGTGCAGCATCCATTAGATTGTTAGAGTGGATCAGATGCAGTTGCCGGTTGAATTTCTTAACCTGTGTGCCTGATACGTACTGTTATAGTGGCATCAGGAGGAAGACGGTTCTGAACATGCCTCTGCTGCCCAACCTGGACCTGAAGAACGACCCGGTACTCACACTCTTAACTATAAACCAGTCGTACATCTGTAAACCAGTTCTACCAAGTTATTGGTGCCAGGATCTCAGTAACTGGTCAAAAATGATACAGAAATGATCGAGGATTACAACTAACGATTATGTTAGTAATCGATTGTTATGTCGATTAGAAGGTTGGTACAGATAATAATGAATGAAGCTCATTAAACCAATTAATCTTTTTAAGTCTAAAGTCATTTTTATGTAGAAAGATAATAAGATTGGTTACTTAGTGGGTTTATTTATTTTATGTTATTTATACTTTCTTTTCAGCTTTGTTTTTTATTAAGCTGGTAAATGGCAAAAGTCACTTTTGAGCAGAAACAGTTTTTGCTGCAATTCTGAAAATGTTTCTTCTTCGAGTCGCGAAGATTTTGTGACTCTTGACCCATTAAATGTATTTATCTATGAAATAGTTGTTAAAATGTTAAAACACAAATTTGAAAATGTTCAGTCTCATGTTTTCAGGTTTTAGGACAAAAGTAAATAGATAATTGTTACATTTAATATTTATTGTTGCCAAATTACCTTTTTGGGTCTTAATTTGTCCACCGTTTTGGAAAACGATGAGTGTTCTTATTGTAAGCTAATAAATCACTGGTTAATGCATAAATAATCCCAGTTTAACTGATTTTGTGCTCTGTGTGTTGCTCCTGGTCTCCAGTCGGAGCTGACCGAGCTGGTCCAGACCTACAAACAGGAAGTGACGGAGGCGGCCTGCGAGCTGATCTGTGATTGGGCCCAGAAGATCCTGAAGCGGTCCTTCGACACTGTGGTAGAAATCGCTCGCTACCTGATCCAGGAGCACATCGTCAACCCTCGCTGCAACCAGGCCAAGCTCGTCACGTCCGCAGCGCTCGCAGGTCAGAAGTGTTTTATTTCCAGTTTAAGGATTTAAACATATTTTAATGTTAACACTGCAGTGATCATAAAAAGTCTTTCCCTGGGGTTGTTTGTCATCTTTCTTCTGCTCCTCAGGCGGTCCAGCTAAAACCCATAAAGTCATAAAGAAAACTCTGGCGATGTCTCCGGCTGACGGAGACGGAGCCGCAGACCAGAAGGTTTGTTTCCGACCGATCGCGCTCCTCGGCGAGCCGCGCCTGCTGCCGCTCACCGCTGCTTCCTGTCTGTTTACAGAAGGAACAGGGGGACCTGTCCTCGTCCTCACCCAAGATGTCTTCTGGGGACAAATCCACATCAGCCGTCCCCAAGCCTTCCTCAGCAGACGGTCCTCCTTCTGCTCCTGCTCTTCCTCCTCCTCCTCCTCACTCCTCCTCTACCTCCTCTGCCTCTCTGCAGCCAGCAGTGAGTCAACGACCCCACACAATTTCATTTTCTAAATGTAGCTGAGATGTAGATAATGAGGGACATTAAAAGTATTCACATCCTTTAAACTTTTCCCCATGTTATCAGGTTAACTACCCAAATTTTAGTGTATTTGTTTTGGATTTTTTGCAACTGAAAGTCAAAATATACTAAATATTTTACAGTCGGAAATCAGAAAAATATCTGTATATTCTAACAAGTAAATATCCTACATCTGGCCCTAATAATGTGCTAAAATGTACGTCTAAAAGAAGCGATTAGTTGGAAAAAAATCCATATTTTAGAAATATTTCCTGTTATTTTTAATTTAAAAGCAGGGAAAAGATACATTAAAATCAGAAATAGTGAGAAAAGAGTGTAAAATTTCATCTTTTTGCTTAGCTTTGGCAAAACCCATCTGTTTAGTGGAAACAGATGGTGCCACATTAAAGCTGCAATATGTAACTTTTACATAAATATGTTATTTATTTATTTTTTTACATATTTGTTAAAATCGTCACCATGTTGAAATTGATTAATATGAGACAGATAATCTATAAAATCAACTTTTCCACTTCCTCCTAGAGCAGTTTTTACTGTCTGAACAAATGCATCACTCCTGAAAATACAGCCAGTCATGTGCAGGAGGCAGGTTTTAGTGCTGTCAATCAACCTCATGAACATGCTGCTAAATGTGCTTATGATAGAGAAACAATTTACCGTTACAGGAAATCCAACGGGCATGCTAACTAACCTTAGTTTGAACCAGCTGTAGCACAGCAGATGGTAAAGGAGGGTGTGTGAACATCAGAGTGATTGGCAGCACTAAGGCCCTCCTCTTGTCTCTGATGGCTTGTTTCTGACTGACTGGTGAATTCCTGCAGTTAGCATTGGGAGAAAGCGGAGGAGCTTGATTCTTTCTTCACAGTTGATATAAAATTGTCATAATGATTTCAGCGAATAAGTAGAAACATTTTTCTTCATAAAAGTTACATAAACTGTGACGTTTGTGGTTGAAGCTGACGAGGTGTGGAAAAGGTTCAAAGGGTGTGATACCTTCTCAAAGAAACGCAGGTCAGTCTGGGCAGGATTAAATGTTTTTTCAGTGTTTGATGATTCAACATGGCGGCGTGTTTGACGCGTCTCCGTTGGCGCTGCAGGTGGAGGCGTTCATAAAGCAGTTACCCAGAATCCTTCCTCGCAGCACTGTCCCTGACAAGAGCTTCTCCGTCCGCTCCGCTGTGCCCCCACAGGCGCCGGCGGACGCCTCCGCCGTCGGCGTGCCGTCTGCGCACGGAGGCCCCGCCGCCGTCACCGCTCCTGCCAACAGCGGTGGGGTGAAGGTCATCACCATGACGACGCTGCCGCAGCAGCAGGGCAGGACGCTGCCGGTGATGATTCTTCCTCAGAGCTGTTTGTCCTTTGAGGCGGATAAAGTAGCTCCACCCCCTTCTCTGTCTGCCCAGCAACACGCCGTGGCGGCGCCGACCTCAGTGGTCCAGAAAGCTCGGGGCACCGCCGCCAAGCGACCCCAGGAAGGGGAAGTGTCATCCGTCGGTGTCTCAGCCGCTTCCTCTCTCAGCACTTCTCCGGTTAAACGAAAACGTGGCCGGCCGAGGAAACCCCGACCGGAAGATGCGGCTCTGTCCCCATCTCCTCAGCCGCCGCCGCCTCAGCCGCCGATCATTACGCCACTGACCGGCGGCGTCATCCAGAAGGCGACCTCCTCCTTGTCATCCCCCGCGCAGACGGTGGTGGAGCTGGTGATCCAGGAGCCGCCGGGGCTGGTTCTGGGTCAGCTGCCCGCCATGTCCGACCCGGCCCACCGGCTGGTGGACCCCCGTGGCGTGGTGGTGCAGTGCCAGCCGGGCGGCGCCGTCGACCCGGACAGCCAGGTGAGGCCCGTGCTGCTCTTCCACAGTCCTGGGAACCCCAGCTGGGAGAGGACCCCCATGGTGGAGGTGATCCAGAAGGCGCCGAGGCCAAACAACAACAGCGGTGGCGGCGGCGGGCTCGGCATGGTTCCGCTCCCGCCGCTGCCCCCTCCCACGCTGCATGAGGAGCAAGGCGAGGTGGAGATCACGCTGACGCCGGTGGAGGTTCACGTCAACCCGCCACCTGCCTCCACCTCCTCTGCTGCTCCTGCCTCCTCCCTCTCAATCTCCTCCACCATGGTGGTAAAGATTGAGGAGGAGGAAGTAGACAACAGCCCCCTGCCCCACAAAGGAGGACATTAGCTTTCATCAACCACCTACTTCTGTATTCACTCAGATTTTACCTCAAGGCTCCCGCCCCCTCCTCCTTCCATCCTCGTCCTGATTGGTGGAAATCCCAGATTGGCTGGAGCACGAAAGCCAATCCAGAAGGATAAATGAAGCCAGGAAGTCTACACTTTAACTGCATGTTTGTTTGTGAGCGACATGTGGTTTACACTGCAAAAACACAAAATCTCACCAAGGATTTCTGGTCTAGTTTCTCCAGCAGATATTTTACACGTGAAACGAGACAAAACTAACAAGGAAGCTTTCAGCAAGATAAAGGAGCTTGTTTTAAGTCAACAATTCCTTAATTTTCATTTTTAACAAAAATACTTGTTCTATTGGCAAATTTCTTCACTTGTTTCACAGCTGGTACTGTGCTAGAAACTAGACCAAAGATACTTTATTTTTTTATTCTGTGTTTTTGCGGTGTACATCTGAACCACTTCTTGTTCCTTCTTCCTTCCTTGCCTTATTCACTGTATTTTTAATCCTCCCAAAAATTTCTGTGTCGCGGTTTGTTTGTCTGTGCTTAACTTTAAAAAAAAAAAAGAAAAACTGAACAATAATTGTACTAAAGAAATAACACTGCAAAAAAATTAATTCTTACCAGGTAATTTTGGTGTAAATCTCTTGGTACACTTGAAATGAGACGCAATTAAGTTATAAGTAACTTTATGTTGATGAAAAAATGTTGGTTTACCAGGCAGACTATGAAACTAAAATCAAGAATTTTGTTTCATGTTATAAGTAAAATAATTTTACCTGCTTTGTATTTTTCATCAATATAAAGGAATTATTGACTTTCCTTGCTGAACAGTTACTGATAAGTTACTTTTGCATGATGTTACTTGGTGAGATTTTAATTTTTTGCAGTGTAAAAGAGGAAGAACGGAAGGTGCCATGTTTGTGAAAAGGGCGTCAGGTGGTAATACGGGTTAGATCCTTCTAAAGGTTCTCTGTGCTAAATGAACCAGAACCAAGCTTTGATTCACCTTTAATTCATACAATTTATTCCTGAGGAAGTTGTTGAAGTTCTAATAATATTTAAATGTGTAAATGTGAATTAAAGTTTGGTTCTGCTCTGCTCTTCTAAAGAGTTAATTTGTTTTAGCAGGTTTGTGTTTTTAATCTGAGTGAGCTTTGTACATGTCTCTGATTGTGTGTTTGAAAGATTAAAAACTTAAATTTACTCATTATTCAGAATAATATATCAAGTAAAATTAGACATTTTATATAGAAAAACAACAGTTTTATACATAAACTTTGACAAAGTCAGAATTATTCCAGAAAACGTAGTCGGAGAGTTGGAATCGCTCCTGTAGGTTTCAGTAGATTTATTGCTAAAAAAAATAATATCTGGAACATATACGTTTGAAAATGTGAGAAAAGCTGCAGAAACAGAAAATGTTTCCTGTAAATCGAGAACCAAAATGATGCTTTTATTTAACTGTCAGCTAACACGCTTCAGCTGTTTGCATATCTTAAAACCGATTAAATGCTGATGTTCCACTAAAACGTGCAGAATTGACCCAAATGTTGCGGTTTCCTTTAATAAAACATTAGCCCCTTTCAGGTCATACTCTGGTTAGAAACATTCCAATTAAATCTGCTTTTTAAGGGTCATTTACATCACATAAGTTCATCATGTAGGTCATTGTACAATAATTTACAACAAAGACACATTTAACTCATCCAACTACTTTTATTTGTATTAGAAGAAGCAACAATTACTTCCAACTCTTGGAATAGTATATTTAATTCCTCTTGGAATTATAACATTTAGATATTTTAAGTAAATTTGCTCAGTTTTGTGGTGCTTGGCTGGAAGATATGGCTTAAAAATAAAATTTCTGAGTTTTCCACACCATACAATAAAAAAATTGCTAACAGAAAATGTTCTCAAACATTGGCTTTAGTTTCAATAATCCCTTTTAATTGTACAATGGATTGTTAAGGCTAGGCAATTTAAATTCTTGTTGAAATTACAAGAATATTGTTATGATATTAACAGAATAAAGATGCATTTTTATCAGAAGAATGGACTTGAATTATAAGAAAATAGTTTATAGTGGACGAGATCTGACGTGATCCGATCAGTCTCTGTGTCTTTTTGCTTGACAATATTTAGTTTTTAGCAGTTAATGATCATTTGTTGCTGATGAGCTAAAGCAATACATATGTCCTTATCTATAAAAACTGATACCAAAGCATAACATCACAAGATGTTCAACATTCCTCCTTTAATTTTTTGTTTATTTTTGTCCTGATATTACAGCTGTGTTCTTCCATTATTATGACTTTATTGTCATAATTATAAAAAAATGAGAATTGAAAGCCCAAATAAACAGAAGCTGTGAAATACACTTCGCAAATGAGATGGCTGAAACCCACTGGAAACCCGTTTTTCCACATTGGAAAAAAGATTTTTCAATAAAAATCCAGTATTTTTCAAAAACTTTAATCTTTAAAAATTGGATTAATCGATAAAATCAATTTATCTGAAGCCTACGTGAAATTTAACTCCAATAAAATCTGAGAGTGTAGAAATTTTCTCTGTCTTTCTGTTTCTTGGTCTGAATTCTTCAAATAAAGGCAAATATCCAATGACGTATGATCTGAAAGGGGCTACTGACACTGAACAGAACTTGTTAAAATTACAAACAATAAGCAAAATAGGAGAATAAATTATGCAATGCAGGCTGTGAGCTAAAGAAATTTGCAAATGCTAAAAATAAAAGCTTCAGCTCAGGCAATAGAGCAAAGCACAATGTAATTTGTCACACAGCACCAACACATTGAGATGCAGAAAAATGTATTAATTCCTGGGTGATATTTGCGCTGTTGTTGGTTTCTGTGCTGAAGTTTTAGATTACATGTTTAACCTGCGGGTTGCTTCGCCGTTGTATGTTGCCATTGTGACCTTTGCCCCAATTCTAGCCACCTGTTGCAGCTACATCGAAGTCAGCAATGTGACACCATTTTCTTACTTTCTTCGATGGCTGTCGAAGAAAATGGTTTCGCTGCCTTATTTTAACGTGCTTTTTGCTAAGCTTAAGTTCAAATATCTCAAAATATAAGCCAAGTAACTCAGGACTGTTGGATAAAGAATAGAGGAAGAAAAAATGTTGTTGAAGGAGTAAAATTCCATCAAAAAACGCTGAAACTTTTCAGTTGCGTTTATATTCTTTGCACAAAAAAATTGCAGTTTTCACTAATTAATGTCAAAATTGTACAATATTAAAACTTGGAAAAATAAAAAAGAAGTTTACTGAGGTTAAAAGGTCGGATATTTGCGACAAAGAGATTACAATTGAGTTGGTAAGCGTAGAAGCATGTGGACATTTTTCAGAGTGGATTGTAGATTTGATCTCACAGACACGGTTCCGGTTTTAATCGTGGAAAATTTACTCATGTTTCTTCAACGTCAGAGAATATCAAAGCCAAAGTAAATTTCACGTATTTTCTTGTAAACACGTGAAATCAGTCTCAAAACTTCCAAGTTTTCGCGGGTGAAAATTTACTCCTTCTGAACCATTTTATTCGTTCTTTTGACCATTTTCAACGGAAACATCTCAAATCTGTCAGACGTTGTTTTCCCAGATCTCTGTATTTTTCTCACAGTTAATATGCAAACAGATAATTTCTTCTTTCACCTTCTAATTTTTGGAGGGAGTTGCCATGGAAATGTCACATTGCTGACACTCTTCACCTTTACCAAACGTTGTGTCGCTCCACCGGTGGGCGTCTTTTTCTTCTTCGTTGGTGCTACAATGCCATAGGGCTCCATTACTCTGTCTGTCCTGCCTGTTTTTCCACCATGTGACCACAGATTTGTAGAAAAGAAAGAAAAAAGCCAGTTTGTGGACTTGTGTAAAATGTGTTTCTCTCTGTCCTCACATAGTGCTTTTTTCTGTTGGAGGGACCCTGAAAATATTAAGACTGTTATATATATATAAAAAAAATCAACCTTGTTGACGCAAGAAAACCGCTTGATTATACGCTCTGCCCTAAATCCATCATTCAAAAGAAGCACAAGTATTAATATTAGTCGTTGGCCTCAGTTTGGTGAAGTGCCAACATGATTCATCGTCGAACTGAAACAAACGTTGCACTGCTGAGAGTTTAAAGAGGGACTCTGTGTGTATATTATGAGTTTAATGTACTGAGAAAATACTCTGTCAAGTATTTATGAGTGATGTAGTATTCTGCTTAATTCTTGCACTCTGCTAGAGGCCGACATCTGCCGGCTCAGATTTTTATTTCACCAGCGTAATAACGTTGGTTTAAACTTTACTCAGTTTAGAGTTTAATAGTAATAATAATTAAAAAAGGAAAATGAACTCTGTTTTTATATAAAGGTTAAAGTACCTGTAGGGTATTGAGTGGGTAAAAGCAACGTTTCACTTGTGGGCTTTGGTTGCAACAATTGAGATTTTAAAGATTGAGGCAGATTTAGTTCAAAAGCATCCAGTCAACTTGTTTCTCATCTGACAGATTTAGGGATAAAATATCAAGGCTGAGATGCTTCAGCCGACTATCCACAGGCTCTTCTTTGTTTTCTGATTTCATCAATGTGTTGTCCCAAGACATAAACTTATTTGGAAACGTTTTCTTTTCAAATGATAAAAGTTTTTGTCCCTTTTCTCTCAAGTCCACACAGAAATAAAAATCCAAAAACTGTTTTTATTCCTTAAACAGGTTCAGGAGTGAAAATTTTGCCCTTATGCATTTGTGTCAACAGCAAAATCACATCTTTGGTGAAATTCCTGACATACCAGCCTGAAACAATTCCCCTGTGGATACAGAGTTAGATTTCACTCCAATAAACAAATCAATTTTACTTTACAACGGAGAGTTAAGGCAACGCCAAGAAAATAATATATTATGAGAATAAAGTTGTAGTATTACACAAATTAGGACTTTATTCTCTAAATATTATGAGTTTATCATCTTTGTTATGACTTTATTTTCTTATTATTTGACTTTACTCTCGTACTACTTTATTCTTTCAATTCTCATTTTATTGCACCTTAATTCTCGTAATATTATGACTTCATTGTTGTAATATTAACTTTATTATTGTAATTTTATTGTTTTTTTTCTTAACTGTTTTATTAGAAAAATACTAATAATCCTGTAGTCCTTAGATATTCTATCCTATTTCTTTTCATTGTAGTTGAGAATTTTGTTAAAATATGGAGATAAATGTCCATAAAATGCCCCAAATTTGCATAATGCTAAATATAATTGCATTTATTTTCAGAATATTTTGAAGTACCTCTCAGTTGCATTAATTATGGTTAAATCAATCATAATTGATCTAATTATAAAACATGAGACATTGTAACTCAAACTGTAGCACATCTGAGTGACTTTGTGCTTTTTTTTTAGCAGTTTCCATAAAGTAGATGAGAAAATTAAGACTTACCAGATGTTTACAAGTCTGGATCTGCAACAGTTTGGACTAAATTAAACAAATTTATTTCTGTCTGTTTTAATTTGATTAAATAATGATTATTGTTCTGTCAGCGCAAGTTTTGTTCAAGGTGTTGTGAGATTGTCACCAAAGCCCAGTTAGAGACGATGCTGATCTGTAAGTGAAATGTTGCTTTAGGGGATAAGATGTTTTAAATAGTTCAGGTTAAAACCTGAGGATATTCAGCAGCCGATTCCCCCCCAGCAGGACCATTCTGGGCCAAAATGGCCAAACTGGAGTTATGACTCTAATCTAGCTTGGTTTGGCGCTCTCACTGATTTATCTGAAGAGATTTATTTTCAAATGCTGTTTGCAAATGTTTGGAAGGAGAGCTATGCAGTAAAACAAATTTTTCTGACCTGGAGTTTTTACTTCAGGGGAAATAAGAAACAATGAGTTATCTTATAACACGTTGACGGAAAGGTTAGAGTTTTGTCAGCTGGTTTGAAAGTCATCAGAAATGCCTCGAATTTTAAAGAGGAAAACCGAGTTTGGATTCAGGCAGTTCAGACTCCAGTGTGATCTTTTTTCTGAGCAAGTGGAGGTAAAATTACAGCAGCTTTGAATGTTTGAAGCTTAAAAGAAGAGCGAGTATTTGCAGTTTGAGATTTAAAAAAGATCAGGAGGTGGAATTGGTGATGGTGTTGGTAGAAATGGTCTCAAATGTTTGGCATGGCTCGTTTTGGCTAACTGGTCCAGCAAGGCCTTGCTGGGAGTCTTCATGGGGAACCGAGCTTTGAACGTGCAAAGCAGAAGAAAACTTTCACTGTGGAAATCCAGAAACGGGTCAGTTTCTGGGTCAGCAAAGATAATGAATCGGGATTCGGGTATTGGTGCGATGATGCTGAAGAATCAGACCCAGTCACGCAAACGCTCTCCGATGGCGCTTCTTGTTTACACTCTGCAAAAACACAAAACCTTAACAAGTGTCTTTGCTCTGGTTTCTACTGCAAATATCTTTGTACACTTGAAACAAGACAAGACTAACTTACGTGTAACTTTTCAACAAGATATAGGAGCTTGTTTAAGTCATTATTGATGAAAAAGTTCTAGTTCCACTGGCAGCTTATTTCACGTAAAACAAAATATTTTTCCATATATAGAACTAGATCTTTTTCATCAATATTAAGGAATTATTGACCTAAAACAAGCTGCTATACATTGCTGAAAAGTTTATAAGTTTGTTATGTCTTACTTCAAGTATACTGAGATATTTGCAGTAGAAACTATACCAAAAATTCTTGGTAAGTTTGTCTTTTTTTGCAGTGCAGCCTGGTGTCACGTTTAACTCCAAAGTATTGTCACTAATTTTGCTAATATAAAAAACATAGTTGTTAAAGTAAATAAAATGAACATTCAGCCTGCTCAAAATAATATTCAGATGACTGGATTGGCTGTGATTAAAAACATAAAATTTGCTTTTTTTACTTTAAAAGTTGACAATAGCTGCCTTTATTAATATTTTGTTGTGTAATATCTGTTGGAAACAACATAGAATGTCGAGAGGATCAATAAAATCGATAATAAATTGGAAGATGATCAACTCTGCAGTTAATGTAATGACGGTGAACTCTGATGTGAAGGAAGCTGTTAGCTGATAAAAACCCACTCAAGAAAGTCTAAAATTTAGCAAAAAACAATTTAAAAAAGATTCTTCCTCTGGAATTCTGGGTAATGTAGTCCTTGAGTGGGGATTTGACACAGAACAACTTTTTTTTCTTTTGTTTTTAAATTGTCACTCTCCAAACGAATTTGAATAATCCTCGTTTTATTTTGCTGTCGGTCTTTTGTTCTGCGTATTGCTGTGTGTCTTTGCTGTTTCAGACAGTTGTACAGCTTGTTGATGTGCAGTCGTTTCCCTCCTTCTTACGGTTGCTCTAAAAATATTCCTGCTTTGTTTTATTTGTGAAAGACACTGCCAGCTCTTCGCATGGTTTCCCTGTGGCTGTTTGTTGGGTTCTCTTTATTATCTCCTGTAAATGTTGATTTTATTTTTTTCTTTTGTTAACCTGCTGGCTTTGTTTTTTTTTTTGTTTTTTTTTTTTTGCACTTTTAATGTTCCATAATGAGGCTGAGAGGGAGGAAAAATATGTTTTGGCTTGGAGATGATATTTTTTGAGTGAAATGCACCTTTTTTTGCCCTGTTTCTGTTGTGAAATTAAAAAGAGTGACGGAGGAGAGAAGGCAGAACATTAATGTGAATCTATTTTCCTACATTGATGGAATAAAAGACGTGACGTTCATTTATTTTCTGGTTTTTACTTTATTCCCTCCATGATTATTTGTCTTTCTACTCTATTCTGATCTTCTCTTTAATCATAAATTGAAAATGTTTATTTTTTTGAAAAGGATATAAAAAAATCATAAGCGTGGTAACTGAAAGGTTTTCCTGATGGGGTGACGTTGAGAGCTGTGTGGGAAGACAGGATTGTCGTTTCAGTCCAAAACGGAAACAACCAAAAACAGCTGCTTTGTCAAGTCACCTGTAAGAATCTCATACCTGATGACGTCTTAACTTCAAAATAAAAGATTTTCCTTTCCATTCGTTTCAAACTTGACACCGAATGAGAAGAATTATTATAGTATAAAGGTGGGGGAAAAAAAGGAATGAAATCAGTGGAACTGTCTTCATTTACTGAGATAAAAGGCAAAACATGAAAATCTAAACCATTTTATGTCTGGACAACATTTTAATCATTTATTTTTAAATTCATAAAAAATATTTGATTTTTAAAAGTTCTTATGATTCCATATATATATATTATTTTGTTAGTTTAGTTTAATCTATTTCGGTTTAATCGTTTGTATTTTTTTGTATATTAGTATTTTAATGTGCTTTTATTGTGAACATTTTACCGGAAGTTGCAGACTGTACCCAACGGTCGTCTTTACGGATCTTGCGTCACTGCTTCTTTAAAGCAGGGAGCAGTGAACGGCCAGGCCACGGAATCCCGGAGCAGATGGACTGTGACGGAACCTAAAAACACAGACCAGAACCCGCTCCACAACCTGGATTAAATACCGGGACTTAACTGGGGGGTTAAAACAGATTCAAACTGGATAATAACCTTGTGTTTAGGAGCTTTTGATCGGAGTGAAGGCGCTCAAGTAGCCGGGTAAGTCCCCCCTTTTCCTCGGTATTTTCACTACGTTTCACTTTTTCGGTTTTCGTTCCGGTTCTGTTTTTGCTAGTTTAGTTAAACCGCTGTTAGCATTGCGGCTTCTTCGGCTGCTCCGTCGTTAAATCCACGGGTGTGGGCCTTGTGTAGCCCGGTTATAGTCCTCCTTCCTCCAGTTTGTTTTCATCAGGAGGGAGCGGCTCTCCTCCTCCTCCTCCTGTCCTGCTGGCAGCCACTCTCCTGTATCTTCACAAGACACTTTCATTTCAAATTGATCCAACTTTTATTCTCAAAACGACATTTCTATCCTCATTTCTTCATATCCTATTGTCGGTTTGTACGGAACTCTGCATGGATCTTATATTTATTAGAAAAAAGATTAAAAATCAAATCCATAAAAATGAAATATCCATATAATAGTTTTAAGAATATGTATTTTATTTTGCCATTTTTAGTTTGAGTTTTGAAACTAACTCTTAATGTTGACAAAGAAAGAGTAAGTCTTATTTATTTTGACAAATATATACTGACAATTTAATCTCTTCGTAAAAAGGCGACTTTTATTTTGAAGAATATTCACGAGCTTTATTGTGATAGTCCATTTTTAACCGTATCCGGCCGCGGGACGTGGTTACCATGGTTTTTCCCACCTTTTTAACCACTGCAGGTGTGACGGGCAGAATATGCTTAGTTTAAACTCAGTAATCCAAATAAAATGGCCACTACTAAAAACCGCACGTTGCCTCAAAAGACATTTAATTCATGGTGATTTTTATATTTTTACTTTGATTATAATTTAAGATGTGTTGATGTACATGTAAATAACATTTTACGAGCTGAATTTGGTTGCTTATTTGCATTACAGAGGGATTTAACTGAAATCTAGCAACATTACAGCAGTAGTAGAAAGATAACCTGAAGGTAAATAACATTTCCGATCATTTAAAATGAGTTTAATTCAAGGCTGTTGTAAACATCTGCCAGCTACGTGCCGCCATGATGAGCTCCGCCACCCACTTGTGGAGACTGGGATGATATGAAAGACATTTTCCTGTTCGTCCATAAAACTTCACTAACACTAATTATGTAGTGTGCAGTCAATCCGCTCACCTGTATAAATACACCCGCTGTGCTCTTCCCCACTGTTCGCTCTGAACTGGTCACCAGGAAGCAGCTTCTGGAGGAGAATAGATCAGATACCGTACTCCAGTTATTTTAAGGCGCTTATTGGTCCCCTGAAAAACGACATAGACCCAGACATCATCATCAATCAATGAAATCATTCCAGGCCGAACTTGAAAACTGGACGTTATGCTGCCAACACTTAACTTTCGTCAACAACTCGGACAGAAGTGAGAGCTCCGTGCAATGCAAGTGATAACCCGGCCAGAACACTGCGCTAAATAATAACATAATTTAACGAAGTTTCGAGGCACATACATTTTCCTCGAGGAATTTTAATGATCGAGGTACTCGAATCACTCGAGGAATCGTTTAATTGTAATTTTTGTTCCGTCCAAATGAAATTTCAAACTTTAACCACATTATTACAAGGTTCATTTTCACTGCTCAGATGATTAATCGGATTTAAAAAGAGATGCAAATAAACAAATAATTAAATTCCTTTTTAAATAAGAATTTTTTTTATTTTATTGCCAAACTTGCAACAACATGACATTAATTTAGTAAATCTGAACCATGTGACGCTAAAAATTGATGAGTTTAAACATATTTACAGACAAAGTTGTTTAATCGTGAATGCACCATTCAAATAGTTAATTTTCTTAAACTAGTATGTTGGTTGATTTTATTTATTTATTTTTTTTTTAGCAAATGGCCTTTTTTGAGTCTGTGCATTCACAAGTTCACAATTAATTTATTACTAAATTAGTTTATGGTTATTTGAATAGTTGATTGATAACGATTACTCCGATTAATCATTTCAGCCCTGAAGTCAAAATAAAAGCATCATGAGAGAGATGGTAAAACGAACACAGGCTTCTCGCCACAAACAAGTTAAGTTTGTCACTATGAACATGTTTATTTAGGAATGTATGTTTTCTGTGGGTTGTTTAAAAAAGGAACATGGCTGACATGGATTTTACTTCCTGATGCAGAGTGGAAGTGACAGCTGGATTGTTGTGTGGTGGTTCTCGTCAGCGCGGCTGAGATAAACCTCACACTTTGCCCCGTGCTCCCTCCTCCATCGCTGCGAGGACGCTGCGTTCACTGAGTCTGTTCGAATCAGTCTCAGCCCCTGACCTCTGAACTGTTTCATCATTCGCTTCCCTGTGTGAAGTATCAAAGCAGCTGAAATCACATTAACTCTGGATTTAAACTAAGGCTGCATTTTAATAATTGATTATTCATCAGTTATTGTGACGATTAATCAGATAAATTTGGCACATTTTTCATTGAACCACTTTAACCCTTTTACACAATATCTGAAATGCATTAAAACAATTTTATGGATCAATTAATGAACATCAAAAGCTGCTTAATAGATTTTTTTTGTATTATTATTTCTTATACAATTTGAACCAGGTGAAGGTAAAGCTATCCCAGTTGAGTTCTCGGTAGAACATATTTACAGACAAGGATTGTATAGAGTCAGTTGATTATTTAAATAACAGATTAATCACATTTAATTGTTTTAGCCTTAACTTAAACATCTTAATCTTAGACTGATTAAATCTTCTGCCCACAGTTTAGGAAGCTTTTTTACAAAACAAATTCAATCGGATCTAAAATGTAGAATCAGCTAGAAGTGCTTTCTCCCTAAACAGTTCATTTAGTTTTAAAAACTATGAAAAAAATAATCAGCCACTTTGCTTTTAAAAAGCCCTTTAAATTGTTATTTACAACTCCTTCTATCTGGAAAGCTTTTGAGTCTTGCCAGGTTGTGTCTACACCCCATTGTTCTGGCTAATCAAGCAAAGTGAATCCGAGTGTCTGAACCCGAGTTCTGCAACCGGATCGGTCGGCCAGTGAGACCTGAGAGCCTCCTCAGACGTCACAGAAGAGAGCGGAGATCAGAAACAGCTGCAGGATGTGAATCCCAGCACGCATACAAAACACAAATCTGATAGAAACAATTTACAGCGAGTCGGCACTCCCCTGCGTAAACGACGTCACCGTGACAACAGCCTCCACATCTGGAAAGCATCAGTAGTGTGTTAGCTCAACACTATCTCCGCAGTGGGATGACCTCATGCCCAGCTGTGTGTGATCAGGGACTCCTTTAGGAAGATGAAGATCCTGAGGGTGTGTTCACACCGGCTCTGTTTGGTCCGCTTTAATTAAACTCAAGTCTGTTTATTTAGAAAGTCCGATTTGTTTGGGAAGGTGTGAACGCACCATCAAACTCTGATTTAAACCAAAGAAGCAAACTCTAGTCTATCTAAAAACTGGGGATGGTTCAAAAAGCAGAAAGTGGACTGCAGCGCAGCGAACTTTGGGTAATTAAAACCAAAACAAAAACATCGGCATAACCCTATTTGATACAAAATTAGAAATAAAAGACGCAAATAAACAATTCAAGTTCCTCTTAAGAAAATAAAATTTTTATTGGTTATATTAGTTCAGTTTTGGCTCAAATACTAAGTCTTTTTTTTAGCCTGCATGCTGAAATGAATAACTTACTAAATTAGTTGATATTTTAATAATCAATTAATTACGATTAATCCGATTAATCGTTTCATACCTAAAATCAATATAAAAGTTAATAGACAAGAGAGAGGGTAGACAAACACAAACCTCTCAAGACAAAAGAGAAACCCTACAACTGCTAAAATCTGACTCTATTTTTGTTTACATTTTGAGGTTTTTGTGTCGTTTCCTTCAGTGGTTCCTGGTGCAGCGCCCCCACAGGCGAGGAGAGGAATAGACTTTTCAATTAGTTTGGTTTTTTTCACACAGGACAGTATGAAAGTGAATCGCAGCAGCTGAAATTATAACAAACATTGCAATTTTAGCCTCCAATCAAACCGAGTCTACTGAAAACATCCATAGTCATAAAAAACACACAAAGAAAACAAAAGTAAGAGGCGTTCATTGACGATCTTGTCAATAAATCAGAGTTGTAGGTTTCCCTCGGTTTGTAGAGAGAAAGAATTGAGGAAGATTTAAAAATTCAGGGTTTTTTTTCTTTCTGGGTTCTTTCATCAAAAATTATTAAAATAATTAAAAATGTATCTTCAGTGAAGCTGCGTCTGAAAATATGGCTCTAAATGGGACGAAATCAAAATAAATGTTATTTTTTAAGCCTTTCAGAGGCTTCCAAGGCATCGTGGTCTGTAAACAAAAGGAAATGTGAGGGAGCCGTGCGCTGTGACTGATGAAACATTTAAATAGAAGCAAGACGCCTCCTCAGGCTGCAGACACACGGGGAGGATGATGATGGTGATGATGCACATCGCCTGCGTCACGCCGTTGGCACACCAATCCAGCATGGAGGACTTCCTGTCCTGCCTCCTGCAATGTTTGATGCTGCTTCACAGATATGGATCATTTCCTGAGTCAAATAGCAATTAGTTATATTTACTCAAAAAAAATTCACATGTAGGAGTATTTTTACTACGCTGTTATTTTATTATATATCTCTACTCTTATTTGAGTAAAATTTCTGGATTATTTTACCCACCGAATGAAAAACAAACATGTTTTAATCATAAATTCACCAGAAAAGACCTGCTGTTTCTGTTAAAGTTTCATCAGTTTCTTATTGACAGAAACTGATTTGGAAAAATTTAGCTTAGTTTGATTTTGTTATATTTTGTTCATAAATTATTGTCAGTTTGGTCTTTAAAATACCAACATTTCCACCTGAGTTTAGATTTTGATTTGATTGATGAAATAACTTTTAAATATTAAATGATTGATGTTTTGATCTCAGTACTTCAGTCACTTTTTACTCTTTAGTACTTTCTCAACTGGCTACTTTTTACTTTTACATTTTTTGAGTAGATCTATGTTGTATGATTATTTCTGATCCTGATTTGGACTCTTTAGGTGAACAGACCAGTTTTATTCGGATGATGGCAGAAAGTCGGACAGATCTCACATTTCACATTATTTGTTCTTGTTTGAAATAAATAAACCAAATAACTGGGCGAATGTTGCTACTTACTATCCAATAATATATTATACAGGCGTAATATTTACATTTTCTTTTCTTTTTGTAGGCCTTTCTTCCCAAAATGGCCGACACCGAGGTCTCCTTATCCCCGGCCCTCTGCCCGCTCCACATTAGCCCCTCCCACTCTGCCCAGCCGGCGCCGCCAACCTCCTCCTCTCCTACCACTTTCTCCTGTCCTTCTTCGCCGTCCAGTGCCTCCTCCTCCTCCTCTTCCTCTTCATCCTCATCCTGCTCTGAAAGCTCCTCAGACTGCCCCAACCACCACCACCATCACCACCATCACCATCCTCGCCCTCAGCTCCAGCTGCCGCCGCCGCCGCCTCTCAGTGAGCAGCCGTCGTCGCCCAGCGCCAGCCCGCGCAGCTCCAGCCCCAGCGGCAGCATCGGCAGCACCGGCAGCCTGGGCAGCAGCAGCGAAGGCATCGGCAGCAGCGGCGTGTCGAGCGGCGGCGACCAGCGGGGCCCCAGCCCGCTGCTGGACGTCATCTCCGAGGACGCCATGGAGATGGACCTGGTCGTCGATCAAGGTAGCGACTAACAAACAAAGCTTGGAAGTCTGAAGTTTCCGTCTGATCGTAAACTCATTTCTCCAGGATAAAGGTCCAGATTTACGGCTCCAAGCTGATAATTTTTAGCTGTAAACAGAAAGCATGAAACGATTTAATTAGATTTGAGGCAGCTGTAGCTATAAAACCAAATTAATTTAAGTCACAAAAATAAGGCATGTTAAACATAGGGCTGTCACAATAAGCAATAAATAAATTAATCACATGAAAAACTAAAATTAACTCAACAATTTACATTTGCAAGATTTATTGGTTTTGTCTTTTTCTACCATAAGCTGGTAGAAAAAGACCAGTCTTCAGTCTGGCTCTTTGGCCTCAACTTCAGACTTCATAATTCATTTAGTTGTTTTGTTTATTTTATTTTGATTTTTAAAATTTATTCCCGTTTTTGCATTATTTATTTAAGAACTGCTTGCTATATATTTGGCAGAAAACCCAAAAATTGCTGTCTTTATAATATACTTAGTTTGCTAAATATTTAGCAAATTAGTTAAATATTTAGCTAATATGAATCTTAGCTTTCTGAACAGCAGAAGTGTAAACTAAATATTTAGCTCAACTAGAAATGCTAGCTAAATATGCTAAATGCTAGTATACTAAATATTTAGATTCTTACAGAATTGTGAGGTAGATATTTAGCAGGGAACTGAAATATTGAATGCTCTTAAAAGCAAAAGTGTGAACTAAATGTTTATCGTCTTCACTAAATATTTAATTTGAAAGATAAACATTTATTTTTTAAACTAAATATTGGGCTTGTGAATTAAATATTTAGTTTGACGTTTATGAAAGCAGGAATAATGTGATGAAAGTATGACCTTGAAATTTGAGCATTATTTCTCTATGACCTCCTAACTAAACCATATTGTTGCGTTTATATTTAACGTCGCCGACTTCATGAACGCGATGAAGAAGAGTTGCTAACAGGTCTTCATCTACTTCCTCCTCTTCCTCCAGTGATTGACCCTGAGGTGGCTCTCAAGGCTTGTCAGGAAGTTCTTCTTAAAGTGAAGCTGCTTGACAACAAACAGCAGCAGGACGACCAGAAGCAGAACCAGCAGCAAGCGGAGACGACCGACTGCTGCGGCCCGCCGTGGCACGTGAACCCCGACGCCAGCTCCATCAAAGAGGAAGAGGAGGAGAACGACGACGAAGGACAGAGAGAGACTCCTGCCGTCCCGAAGCAGACGCCTCCTGTGGCGCCGTCCGAGTCGCCTTCGCCGTCTTCTTCCAAGCAGTCGTGGCTGCTGCGGCTGTTCGAGTCGAAGCTGTTCGACGTTTCCATGGCGATCGCTTACCTGTATAAGTCGAAGGAGCCGGGCGTTCAGGCGTACATCGGGAACCGGCTCTTCAGCTTCCCGGACGGCGAGGTGGACTTCTACCTGCCGCAGCTCCTCAACATGTACGTCCACATGGACACGGAGGTGGGCGACGCCATCAAACCTTACCTGGTGAGTCCACACACACACACACACACACACACACACACACACACACACACACACACACACACACACACACACACACACACACACACACACACACACACACACACACACACACACACACACCCACCCCCCACACACACACACACACACACATCTGGTGACGCCGCATTACGTCACAACATAAAATGTGGCTTCAAAACGTAATAAAACATCGTTAAAACTTCATTATGCAATAATCAATGCAATATTTAATAAAATCCTTGAGTGTGTTTTATACTTTCTGCCACCTTATGTAATAACATTATTTCATTTATGCTGACATTACAGCATAGATCTGGCAGGAAAGAAGTGCATATTTCCATCTACAATGGGCTTAATATGCTGTCTTACATTTCTGTAAAATAAACTAAAACGCTGACCTCAAGCTATTGATTTTCTACAGCTTTTTTCATTCGCACCATAATTTTGGCGTTGCAGAAGCCAATCTTGTGATCTGTTCCTCAGGTCCACCGCTGCAGGTCCAGCATCACCTTCTCCCTGCTGTCCGCCTGGCTGCTGGGCGCCTACTCCTCCGACATGCACATCTCCACGCAGCGCCACTCCAGAGGCACCAAGCTCAGAAAGCTCATCCTGTCTGACGACCTCAAGCCGCGGTCGGACGAGCCCCGGTCCGTTTCAGGGTCCGTCTCCGACAGCCCGCTGCCCTCGCCGCCCCACCGCCACCGCCGCCACAACAGCAGCAACGTGGACGCCTGCGGCTCCCCGGACGGCCCCGACCATGGGGACGTGTTCGTCTCTCCGTCCAGGAGAACCCACCAGAGGTCCAAGTCAGACGCCACCATGGCGAGCGGCTTCCCCGGCGCTGGGCTCAGGCGGGCGGGCAGCAACCCGAAGGTTGAGGCTGTCCATGAAGAGGTGAGAGATTTTCACGTCAGGACAGGTTTCTGCTGCTATAAATTAACAACAACCAGCAAATCACCACAAACACTTAACCAGTATCTACAGATAATATTCAATAATTTCACTGTACTTCAGAACTGCACAGCATTCTGGGAGTTGCATGCAGAGGAAAGCTTAAACTGTCGGGGCTAGCTAAGGCTAAGCTAAGGCTAAGCTAAGTTGGTAGAATTTACTAACTCACTCACTCTGGTTACCTAGCAACCCACTCATTCCTTGGTTACCTAGCAACACGCTGCGGAGTGACTGGCGCAGCAGCAGTTTACGTTTTCACCACGGTAACTGCCTAAAAACAAAAATGATCTCATGGAGCTAAAACTGACAAGTTTTCAATTTTAGCCGTAAATATTAAAAATACAATCAATAATTATTGATATCGACTGATATGAATCGCTTATAAATGTTTATGAGCCGTATTGTCCAGGCCTAGCGAGCAGTCATCATTTATCGTAAAATTTTATTATCATAAGGATTTTTATTTATTATTGTCTCAATAAATTGTAGATGATGATGCTTTGAAAAACTGACTTTAGTGGAAATTGGTCTTTTTTTAGTATTTTTTCCACGGTTTGTTCCACAACATCAATAATAACTATCAGTAAATTTGAAAATATGATTAAATGTAGTTATTGTGTGCAGTTTGACTTAACTACATTTCCACAATTTCAAAAATGTGTGTGTGTGTGTGTGTGTGTGTGTGTGTGTGTGTGTGTGTGTGTGTGTGTGTGTGTGTGTGTGTGTGTGTGTGTTATTTAACATTAGTGCAATATGGAGGAAGTTTTGCAGACATTTTGTAATGGAAACGCTGCCGGTTTGGATTCCAGATGTTTTTCACGTTGCACAAAATCTGCAGATGATCTAAAAGCACCAGGAACAAACTGATTCTGAAGGAAACTCATCCAAAATAAACCCCAAACAATCCAAATGAAGCAGGAAAATCTGATGGTTGTCTGGTTTTTAGCGGATACAGACGGTTTTAGCTGAAAGTAAACACGAGTCAACTGAGGAAGGACAAACTGGTTTCTATTTAAAGTTTGCAAAGATGTCAAAAGATAAATGTGTGTTGTCACATTCCAGGTTGGCAGCTTGGTCACATCCTGGTTCAGAGCCAGACATTTTCTGTGACGTGATTGGAGAAAATACCGACTTAAAGAAACAACTGCTCTCATTTTTGTTCTCATTTTCCACTTAATCTGAAATTTATTAGTCGATTGCGGTTTGGAAAAGCTGAATCTGAGAAATAAAGCTCCTGCATTCTCTGCAGCTGAACTTTTGAACTGCCGATAAGGAAAAGCTGCTCTGTTTGATTTTGATCTCGCTTCCTTTGCCGAACTGGAAAGAAATTCAGGTGCAGATTACAGAGTAACCAACCGAGGCATTCAACTGAGAAAGTCAAACGTTTTGTCTGAGTTTGGCCGCAGACGTAAAGACGTTAGGAATGTTTGCTGCTTGAAATGACGGACTGCGGCTGTCAGCAGGTACTTTCAGGTTCAGCTTGTTTAACTTGCAAAATAAAAAGGAGAGGGACGGACAGCTGGCTGGGGGACGGACGTGTCCAACTGGATGTTGATGCAACAAGATCCGAGCTGCGTCAAACATTTGTTTACTGTGGGGCTTCAGGAAGGCCCGTTCCCCTGGCATCAAACGAACTCCTGGTTCGGAATCAGATACAAAGTTTGGCTTTAAAGCTTCGCTCTGATTTGGTGCAGCCCTTTCTTTCGACTCTTTGTCTTTTAATGCTGACGGGAACTACAGAACTGTGTTTTCCGTCATCTGAAATGCAGTTCTTCTCTGTTCATCTTGTACCTGAAAGGCGGAACCTGGATTTTTGAAACTTCCTCTTTTGTCTCTTTGCATCACAAAGAGATGAAAGTGGACTGGAGAGAAGTTCAGAGAGAGAGGAACATGAGACGCCGCCGCCGCGCAACATAAACTCGCTGTTGTGAAAGGAGTGGTTGCCATGGAGACGGAGCGGCGGAGGTGGTTGGGTTTTGATAAGACGAGTGTCTTATTGCGGCGGGAAAACGCAGATGCAACAGATGCCAGACTCCATTTAAAATATTCATGATGAAAATGCAAACTACTCTTAACCAGCGAGATTTCTCCCTCTTTTTTTTTTTATGAAAATTAACATTTGAGCAATAATTAAATAATTTGTCAGACGTTAATTTCCTGTTTCTGGTTGTTGCACAGTTTCTTCTTCTTATCATTTGGTGGTGACACTCTGAAGATGTTGCAACAAAAAGGGGCCGAGATAATTATTATATTACAATGTTTGCAGACAGTTATTCTTCCTGAAGTACATTTGAGTTCAGTGTTTGACTTTCAGCCTGGTTTGGTCTGAAACAAATGATGCAAAAACTAAAAACACTTTAACCAGAATTCATTGTATTGTCATCGAGCACGAAAGAGAGCACAAGAAAAGTTTGAGTTTATTTGCTGCAAAGCATTGTACAAATTTTTGTTAATAACCATAGAATATACAAAACTGGTCATGAATTTATGACAATAAATCGCAATAGACACATAATCAATATTAATAGATAATACATCTGATAGAATATTAAATAATTGATCCAGAATAAATTAAATTAATGTACATAATTTTTTTAGATACTTCTGAAAAGAAAATGAGAAATTTTCTAAACAAAAGTTGTAAAAGTTTTCAAGAAAAACATAAAATTTTTCTTTAATTTCATAAACTTTCTGGACAAATTTCAAATGTCAGAATCTTTTAGAAAAAACATGAAAATTTGAGTTTGAAAAGTTGAAAATTTGCTGGAAAAACTCAAATTGTAAGATTGATCTTATAAAATGTTTCAAAACTTTGCCAACTTCTGAAATATTTCTGAAATTTGTCTCAAAATTTGAAAGTTTTATGGGAAATTTTTGAGAAATGTTTTTTATTTGTTTTGGTGGAAATTGACTCTTAAAAAAAAAAAGTTTCCCAGTCAAAGACTTGAAACTGTTGTGCTCATGTGGCGTTAGAGAGGCGTGGCAGAGATTATCGGGTCGTTTTATTGATTTGGTTCCACTTTGTGAAATCTGAACCTGTTTGCAGCCGGAGCGTCTCCGTCCTCAGAGGGAGTTCGTCAAGTCTCTGTTCTGCATCGGGAAGCGTTTGGCCACGCTGCCCACCAAAGAGCAGAAGACGCAGCGGCTGATCTCGGAGCTGTCGCTGCTCAACCACAAGCTGCCGGCCCGGGTTTGGTTACCGACCGCCGAGCAACAGCACCACGTCTGCCGGGTCCCGCACACCCAGGCTGTCGTCCTCAACTCCAAGGACAAGGTCGGTTCAGAAGCCCCCTTTACTCTGAAGTCCCCAAGTAAAATATAGAGCAACAAGAAGTCTGAGGCTTCCTTTAAATGATTTAAACTCATTTTAATTTTGGGCCAGATTAAGATTATTAATGTTCTTAAAGGGCCGGTTCTGCCATAATTGATAAAACCCATTAACACACTGCTATAATATTAACAATTATCTGTCCCTTCATTTAAAATTAAATTATTCTAAACACCTTTTAAACATTAATCAAGGAATTTGTTTTGTTAAAATTACTTTTTAAATCACAGATTTTGTGCTTACGTATGACAGTAAGTATGGCTTTGTTTTACTCACAATATCAATGATGAAACATAACCAGGTCAAAGCTGAAGCAACAGGTAGTTGAAGAAAGAAATACTGCCACCTGTAGATGGGAGTTGGCATCACTTCAATCCAATCGTTTTGATGTTCAATCGCTGGATTTTCTATTCACAGGAAATTGCGCAAATTGAAATGAAGAAAATAAATTTGCGTGCCATTTTAACAGAAAAAAAAACCCATTGTACAAATGTGTTTCAGTCTCCTGTTTTGTAGTGAAAAACTTATTAGATATTGTTAAAATATTAATAAAAGGTTGCATTCAATGGGTCTTTTTTAAAAGTAACTGACATTTTTTCACATCAGTCCCTCCAAGATTTTGTGATTGTTTTTGTAATTTTTGTGGTAATTTAGAAATATTTGCAAAAAATATTTAGCAATATTTGAGCTTTTGTGTGACTTTAAATGTGACTATTTTATTTTTTTGTTGCTCTGCGTATCATTCACAGACTTTAACTCGAACTCAAGTGAGCAGCAGAGTATCAGAAGTAAGAAATAGTGCCACCTGCAGGTGGGAATTGGCATCGTTTGAACCGAGTCATTTCTACATTAGAAGAAAACCTGTTGGAGGTTTTAAAAGATCCAGCAGAACTCGGGCCAAATATCCAGAGGTTTAGATTAAAGCCTAAACCAGAAAAGATTTACTGGAAATAGTTTAAATTTGATGCTTTTTCTAGAATCTGAAGAGTAATGGACTCATTAGATATGAATATATTGGATGTGCCTGCTGCACTTTCCAGCTTTTTTACTGTAAAAATGTGAAGACCAGCATCATTTTCTTTCCACCTCACTGTTATCCAGCACTTTTTGTTCTCCCACATAAAAAACCCCCCATCTGAAATACATTAAAGTTTGTTAGAAAAATGGTAAAAATATAATGAAAAACATCTGTTGTGTGTTTGTTCCTTCAGGCTCCGTACATCATCTACGTGGAGGTACTGGAGTGCGACAGCTTCGAGACGTCTCCGGTTCCCACGCGGATCCCGGAGACGCGGATCCGCTCGGCGCGCTCAGCGGAGAACCTGGACTGCGGCACGCCCGGTAACGGCAGCAGCATGACCTCGGAGCACAGAGCGGGAAGTTTCTCCACCGTGCCGAACTACGACAACGACGACGACGCCTGGGCGACCGACGACATCGGACAGCTGCAGGTGGAGGTAACGGCGTTCAGGCTCCTCTACGACTGCATTTTTCACTAATCGATTATTTTGCAGATTAATAAGACAGAAAAAAATTATTTAACAATTTAGCCTTTTTTTATGCAATATTAAAAATGCATTAAGAGGCAAATAAACAAATAATTAATTATTTCGACAAGAAGATTTTATTGCCTAAAAATTCAATAAAGTAGCTCTTTCTGTTCGTTTATATTTTTGTGCAGTTTTAGTTTAATGATTGTGTTGTGAAAATCGCCTTTTCTGAGCCTGTTTACTCCAGTTAACGATTAATAGATCAGTTGATAATTATTCAATAGTCAATTCATCAGATTAATTGTTTCAGCCTCAGTTTGTTCATGAGGAACTATGAATGTTTTATCTTTTTCAGGGAGAGGCTCAGACCAGCAGCAGCGACAACATCAGTCAGTTTTCCGTCGACAGCATCACGAGCCTGGAGAGCAAAGAGCCCGTGTTCATCGCTGCTGGGGACATCAGGTTCGAGTCAAACTCCAGGCCCGGGGGCCAAACCCGGCCCGCCGTGGCTCTTTATGAGTCCCTCCTGACTCCGGAGGGACTCATAAATAAATCTTTGTTTGGTTTTTAGCTGGACAACACTAAATTTTATATCAATAAATCAATTCTGTGATCACAAAAATTAAGGTAAAATCAACAGATTAAAGCATTTTTTTCATGCTAATGCTTCAGAAGCTGTGTTTCCATTAGAAATGTTCAATTTCTGAGATTAATTTGTGTTCGGCTAAGGTAAACATAAACACAATTTTGAGCTTTTGGCGTTTCTTGAAGGCAGTGAAGAAGCGTCGTTTGATTGGTTGTCTGATTTCTGCCTCCATGTTTGTTTTTAGACGCCGCCTGTCGGAGAACCTCGCTCAGACTCCGACCACGTTCAGGAGAGACCCGGAGGACCCGTCTGCCGTCGCCCTCAAGGAACCCTGGGAGGAGAAAGTCAGGTTGGTCCTCTAACGCAGTCTTTCTCAAACGGTGGCTCCTGGGCGCCCCCTGGTGGCCCGCTAGGTACTGCATGTAAACGACCATTCATTAGCCGTGAGCTCAAGGACAATGACCATTCATTAGCCGTGAGCTCAAGGACAATGCTACAGCTAGCTTACCAAATGATTGTGTTTGATGATAATAATAAATAAATGGAGTAAAGTCGGGTCACTGAAAAGGAAAACTGAAGAAACATTTACATTGATCACATTTACAAAGAAAATTTTCAGACTTTTTTGTCAGTATGAGCAAAGAAGACAATACTTTCTTTTCAGATTGTATACATTTAGATGTTATTGCAGGTCAATTTTAAGTTTGTGTTAAGTAAGTTTGATAAACGCTGCTGGAAGCCAAACTGTCTCCTCACCGGAGTTTTCTTCTTCTGTGGTAACGTCAGGCGGATCAGAGAAGGCTCTCCTTACGGCCACTTGCCCAACTGGAGGCTGCTGTCGGTCATCGTGAAATGTGGCGACGACCTGAGGCAGGAGCTGCTGGCCTACCAGTTCCTCAAGCAGCTGCAGGTAAAAAGGCCCAAGTTTCAAATCTCCGCCTGGATATTTTTGGTTTTGTATGAAGTTCTTTAAAAGTCATGTGAGTAAATATTTTTTGTCCATAACAACTGGAACTTTCAATATCTAGTAGTTATTTTTGCAACTTACCGTCTATTGAAAGCGTTTCATCAGATTAAACCGAAGACAAACAGCGGCGGGAGTGAAATTACCCGATATTGGCAGGAAAGCTCAACGTCTCACCTTTCAGAATCCGTCGGACATTTTCCTACAGTGTCAGAGTTATAGTAGCAGAGTTAATCAGTTAATTGAATAAATGATCAACAGATCAATCCTCCACTTTATTGATGCTGCGTCCAACAGAAAGAGCACTGGTTTTCATGTGTTGATAATTTAAATCTTTTTCAGCTGCAAAAGATGAAATGTTGTATATTTTTAAATAAAATTGAGTTTTTAATGTAATTAATCAACAGAATAATTGATAACTAAAACTGGTTTTTATGTTTTTTTTGTGACTTTCAGTCCATCTGGCAGCAGGAGCGAGTTCCTCTGTGGATCAAACCCTATAAGATCTTGGTGATGTCATCAGACAGCGGGATGATCGAGCCCGTCCTCAACGCCGTCTCCCTGCACCAGGTAGGCTGAACTTTGACCCCCACAAAGCCCAAGTCTGACATTTAACTGTTTCAGTGTTTTTGTGGACAGTAATGTGACCATAAACTGATTTGTGTTCGTTTTGATCAGGTGAGAAAGCAGAGTCAGCTGTCGCTGCTGGACTACTTCCTGCAGGAACACGGCAGCTTCACCACCGAGGCGTTCCTCACGGCCCAGAGGAACTTCGTCCAGAGCTGCGCCGGATACAGCCTCATCTGTTACCTGCTGCAGGTCAAGGACAGGTGAGGAGGAGCAAAACAAATTCAGCTTCAACTTAAAGTAAATGGATTAAAAATGAAATCTCTGAATTTTTTTCTACCATTTCTTATTTTATTTGGAGTTTTTTTGTTGCTTTATTTTTCTGAAAAATACATTATAAACAAAATATTGGCTTTTATTAGCCAGAATATTAGCGTCATGCTGCGAGAATATTTGTTTCATTATGAGAATATAATCAGATTATTAGCAGAATAAAGACACATTTTTACCAGATGAACTTCTTTAATTACGAGGCAAAAATGGTTTTAATGAGGAAAAAAAAGCTTCTGAATTTATTAAGATTTAACACAAATAGATAACTCTGTGAAATAAATTTCTGTCAAATAGTTCAGAATGTGCAATATATGTAACTATATTTCTAATTATAAGAGGAAAAAGCATAGAATTAGACTGAATAGATCGTCACAGACTTCCAATCTAGAATTTAATTCAGTTTCAGGACCGATACAGATATTGGTATCGGATTGGTGCGTCTCTAGTTTTCTTTCCTTTGCTTGTGAAAGTCGGTTCAGGATCATGTTTTGGTTCAGAATCATGTTTTGGTTCTGATCGACCCGTTCTGGTTTTCTGTAATCTGCAAAGACACAATGGGAACATCCTGCTGGACTCTGAAGGCCACATCATCCACATCGACTTCGGCTTCATCCTCTCCAGCTCTCCCCGGAACCTCGGCTTCGAGACGTCCGCCTTCAAACTCACATCAGAGTTCGTAGACGTGAGTGGAACCCTCTGGGAGCTGGGAACCAGTTTATTGAACTGGAAAAGCTTTTAATTTGACAGATTTCCTTTGGTTTCAGGTGATGGGCGGCCTCGATGGAGACATGTTTATTTACTACAAGATGCTGATGCTGCAGGGTCTGATTGCAGCCAGAAAGCACATGGAGAAGGTGCTGCAGATCGTCGAAATCATGCAGCAAGGTAAAAATAAACCGTGAAGCACCTTTTATTGCTGCAATATTAACCACAGTTATGAAGCAGCTGCTTTTATAGCTTCTTTTATTGCACAGCGGCTTGTTTAAGCCTCACTAAAACAACATTTTATGACTTGAGCTGTAAAAAAACTGATTTAATTACTTTATCATCCAAGAGTCAGTTTAGAAATTTGAAGGAGTAAATGAATAAGCTAGTAATAAGATACAACAGTGGTGCAATCAAAATAAAAAGTGAGTTTTATGAAATGTATTTTAAATAAAACTGGAATAAATGTATATTAGCCAGATTGTTTAGAGTAGGGGTGTCCAATGTGTGGCTCAGGGGCCATCTGTGGCCCTGAAATTATTTTATTCTTCCAACAAAGAGCAAAATCTTTTGTTTGTTGTCTCAACATATGTTCATTTTCCAATGTAAGCTAATGAAAAAAATACTTAATTAAATAAATAAATAATAATAATTAAAAAATGGCTGCAAAAAGATACAACCGTGCATATTTGAAAAGCAGAAGTCGAGCCTCCTGCAAAATGAACAAGAATGTAGCAAGTGGTTTCTTAATGACGAGTCAGCAACAAAATGGTCATCTTTTCCAGCAGCCATTGTACAGTGGTAAAACAAATTCTGCTTGGGTTGCTAGGCAACAGTTCAGTATGACTCAACATTCCGGAGATTTTGAAAGGACTCGTTTTCTAGACACCAGAAACAGCTGAGCTGGTTTATTTTAAGCACTTTGGTTGATTTTAGAAGCAAGTGGAAATATAGAAACTGTTCAAAATGTGAATTTTGCGTAATAGATTTTCTTTAATGTTTTGTTGTTTTGGGTCCAGGCTCCCACCTGCCCTGCTTCCACGGCTCCAGCACCATCCGGGGCCTGAAGGAGCGTTTCCACATGTCCCTGACGGAGGAGCAGCTGCAGCTGCTGGTGGAGCAGCTGGTGGACGGATCCATGCGCTCCATCACCACAAAACTCTACGACTCCTTCCAGTACGTCACCAACGGCATCATGTGACCTGTGACCCCGGCGGAAAACACACACAAAAACAACAACACCCGCTGCTGCCACTTCCTGTTTGGGATTCAGGAGTTACTGTGGCAACGACTGGATTTACTGGATTTTGTGATTCTTCTGGAATCGGATGGATCTGATCTGGTTTTTGTTCGGATCTTGGAAAAATGCAGAATCTGGATCGTTTTCAGATCACAAACACTAAACGTGTCGGACGGCACCGGACATGAGTTTACTGTGCTGCTGGACCTGAACCACTTCTACTGGACTGGACTCAGAACCAGAACCCCGGTCCTGGTGTCTGGGCCAGTCGACGGTTTTAAAGCTGTTGCTGTGAAACGATCATTTCATCATGAAGGATTTTGTTGTTTATTTTCAGGAACTTCCTCGAAACTGTAATTCGGACTCCAAAGTTGTGAGACTTGCGACTGAAAGGCGGTTCTGTTTGGGCTCAATCTGGACAAGGAACCGCCTGACCTTGAAACGAATCAAGTGCTTTACAAAATACCACAACTCTACGTAACATCAGCAGATTTCATGACTGGAAAACAGAGGAACTGGGTTCAAAATCATTTTTTAGCCTTAAATGTTCAGAAGTGTTGAAAATAACCAAAAAGGAGAAAAAGTTTCTGCTGCGCTTATTAATAATCTGCAAGAAATTATATCAGCCAGTTGTTCCCTGTAGTAGTAAAGTAAAAAATATCCAGATTTATTTATATGGAAAGTTTTGACCACTTATCAAGCCCTTTCAAGCTGAAAAACACAAAAATCTTCCTGTATTTTTCTCATATCTTGCACAAATATCTTACGTTTGTCTTATTTCATGTGAACCAACTTACAAGCATCGTTTGAGCAAAATATAGGAGCTTGTTTCACTTATTTTGATGAAAAAATACAACTTCCACTGATTATTTCATTCATGAAACGGAGACAATGTAAAGCGAACTGGAACTGGGTTGCTTGGCTGAGGTTGCTGTGAAATATAATCTGCCAGTGGAACCAGTACTTTTTAAAATCAAAATAAATGAATTATTTACGTAAAACAAGCTCTTATAACTTACTAAACAGTTACTTGTATGTTGTTTTTTCTCATTTCACCAAGATTTTTGCACTAGAAACTAAACAAAAAAATACTTTGGAAGATTTTGTGTTTTTTGCAGTGCATGAGAAAATCAAACTGGGCAGCGAACACCAGCAAGCGACCGAGGAAATGAATCGGTCTTTGTTCTTACAGAACAGCAACACTAACGCGGTAAAAGCACATCAGGAGCTGAAGGTTGTTGGTGTTAATTTCTGGATTTGTTCTCTGGACAGAAAAGAGACTTGAATATGTTTTTGTTGCCTTTTAGTTGGTGTGTGGGAGTCATTTTGTCTCAGTGGGATTCCCCACAGTGGTATTTATTTCACCAGACAGACATCACAACTGCAAAATCTGTTACTAACAGTAATGAATTAAAGCATCGACTTCTTAGAAAAGAATCGTATTTAAACCTAAAACGCAAAGTGACTGTAGATGCGAAACATGGCCTCCCTGTCTGCAAAAGGTTTAAAGCTGCATATTGTTTCATGACCAACAGAGGGCGACACTTCACAGGAAAGGAGTTTTTAACAAGCTGAAGATTTTGCTACAATGGCGTATTAGAGCCAATGTAGATAGAAAAAAATATATCTATTATTTTAGATTAATTGTGAAGAAATTAAAAAAGAATTCTGAGTTTCAAAGTCAAATTTGCTTGAAAAAAACTTAAATTCTGAGATAATTCTGAAATTTTGAAGAAAGTAACATTTCAGAAGTTTTTTTTTCTGCTAAATTTTAGTTTTTTTCTAGCAAATTTTTTGCCTTTTCAAACTTAGAAATTACATAGCTTTTTCTTAGAAAATTTCAGAAATTCTTTTGGGGTAAATTTACCGAATTATTTTTTGTAAGTTTTTTTCTATCTACAAAGGCGCTAAAACACCGTTGTTGTTTGCTACGATCTTATAAGCTAAAATAATACTAAGAGATGGTTTAACCGAAATGTTTCGTTCATTTTGGGTGAAAAGTAACAAACCACAGTTTTTTTTTTTTTTTTTTTTTTTAAGGACTAATAACTTTAATAAACTTAATTCACTGCTAACTTTGTAGATGTTAGCAGTGAACAGCTACAAAGTTAGACGTTCATTGCTAACATTAACTTTGTAGTTAGATGTTAGCTACAAAGTTAACATCTAACTGCAAAAGTTCGTTGTTCGTTGTCGGTCCAAACCAAATTTCAGAAGAATAACTACGAAATTTTTAAAAATTCTTATCAGATTTATTCTGTTTTGGGGAAAATGCTAACATTAGCTAAAATTTAAAGCATTGATTGAAAGAAAAGATGAAATCAAAGCTCGCTCTTGACTCTTGTTTACCTTCAGTTGATGCTAGCTGCCTGCTACGTCAACAGATAGCCTAGCTTGTTACAGTTACATTAGTGTTGTAAATTTAAAGCTCCACATTCTCTTCCCTGATTGGTTAAAACGCTTTCCTCTAACCAGAGCTGAACAATCAGGAGGATTGGTATTGAGGAGCTAAAAGGATTTTTAAAGTGACGAGGGATTTTCTGGACATGTCTAAGTGTTTGTTTTGCTTTCTTTTAGTAACTGTCCATGAAAATGTTGTGATATTGTCTATTTTCAGTGTTGACAAGCAGAAACTTCAGGCTCATCTAATGTTAGCCGGCTTAATTCAGAGTCCAGAACACAAAGTATTTATACAACACAACAAAGTTTCCTCATGTGGTTCAGTATTTGTTTCGTTAAAATGTGTAGCTTTACCAACATGAATGAAAATTTGAGAAGTTACTCGACTTGCTAGCAGATTTTGGGCCGAGTTTGAATATTTCTCTCATTCACTGTAAAACAGACTTTAGGCCACTTTTAAATTTTGTTAGCATGTTGCATCAAATATAAGAAAACATTAATTGTAGCAAATTATTAGCATACATTGCAAAGGTTCATGGTCAGTTCATAGTTCATATTGTTTATAATTAGCATATTTAAGATTGTATAATGACATTTTCCAAGTCAATTTATGTCTTTACCATTTTAGCCCCTTACTACCTCTACAAGCAATCAAATTTATGTCCGTTGTGTACAAATTAAATTCTTTGTTTATGCGGATGAGAAGTTATAAAAACCTGAAATATAATCCACTTTAATCATATGTAATTGTAGCTTTTATATTGTCAGCCATTTTTTTCCACTAAGAAAAGCTAAAAACTCCAACAGTGCAAAATGACTAAAAGTCGTTTTCATGGTTAGACATTTTTATGATCAGTTCAGAAAAATGTCCCAAATTTGAACAACTACATTTTATTCTGAATGAGTGAACAAGGTGAGCTTAGCCCAAAAGGTGTTAGCATGTTTACCATGTTAGCTAGCTAGCTGTCTGAAAATCAGCTTTCATCGTGAAGTCATGAAACGGCTCAACGTTGATATTTAACAGTTTTATAATCTGGATGAAAGTAATGAAACTGAAGACATTGTTACAAAAATGATAATTAGCATCCATTTGCTAACAGCAGTTAACATTTGTACATTTGGTTTATTTATTAAATGATAAAACATTTTTCATGTTTTCACTAAAACTTCTATGTGGTAAATTGATCTTGTTGTTGATAAACAACTATTCTCTCTATTTTCATCATAGTCAAGCTAGCCCTTTATTTGGCTAATGCTAAATTGCTAGCAAGAATAAAGTTAACTAAAATTTAGGTTTGAGGTACCAAATATGATTTAAATTTCCACTTTAATGAATCAAACTCCTCAAAACTTTTTGAACTTTAATAAAATGAAATTCTTGCTAGTTTATCTCAGAAATTAATTTTGAAATGTTATTTTCGTTGTGAAAACGAAGACTGATGCTTGCTCTACTACACGTTTAGGTCACTTTGTGTGTTTTTATTTATTTTTCCAGCCATATTTTCTGTGAATCTCTTCCAGAAATAATCAAACGTTTCTTTCTCTGGACGAACATCGTGGCATAAAGCCGATGGTGCTGAAAGGCGACTGAAATTCCAGTTTTCCTGAATGTTTTTTGTTTTTGTTGGTTCAACCACTATTGAAGGAAAAGCACAGATTTGTTGTGAAAGCAGCATCATGTTACTTTCTGCTAACCTTAAGCCTCTTACTTTATACATAGCTGTGACTAAAGTTTACCAGATAAGCAACTGAAATAGCAAACCGTCTTTGTGATCTTTTTTGTGTGAATATGTTTTCATGTAAAAAAGAAAAGTAAAAAAATAAGAAAGATGCCTTGATATGTACAGAGCAAACAAACTTATCAATGCAACCAGAGGGACGAATGTTTTTAGCCCTCATAAGTGCTTTTATATGGGATATCTGAGCGGATCGGAGCCAGTTTTGCTACAAACTCGCTCCAATGCGTTCAGAACCTTTCATTGCCTTCGTTGTTCCTTTCATCAGCTCTCCACACTTTCAATGTGAAACTTTAAGTGCATTTATTCTAAATATGTTTTGTTTGAAAGGATTCCTCGTTGTTTCTAACTTTCTGTCATGTCACTAAATATATTAAAGACATCTTGGTCGAATCTAAACATTTTGTTCTGAGTTTGACTAGAAAAGTTGCAAATGTGAAAATCTTTGACGGTATTTTACTACAAAACAGATTAAAACATTTTTCTTGTTTTTGATGTTTTTTTGGAAACAATATTTTGTAAAAAAAAAAAAAAAAAAGAAATTCAGTTTGTGCCAATTATACAAGTTTATAAGTCATGTTGAAGAAAATATTTTATTTTTAGCCCAAAATTGCAAGAATAAACTCGTAAAACTTGAACTAGGACAAAGTCGCATGTTGACTTTATTTAGTGATACGACTTTTTCCTCATTTCAACTTTATTCTCGTAATATTGACTTTTTCTTGTTTCACATTTCTAATACTTTAAACTTCTTATTTTACATTATAATTACCAAAAGTGTTTCTATTTGCTAAACACCAAAAATAAAAATCTGCAACATTTTGTATTTGTAACTTTCCTCGAATGTAGCATGATCTTCTTTTAGTGAATTCTTGATTATTCATAGAAAATTGTTTTAAAAAAAACATTTTTACAGAATTTTTACAATTGAAGCAAAATTTTATTTACAATTTAAGTGCAAAATGTCTTTTTTTCTAGTTCATGGCTTAATTTCTGCTCTTTTATAGCAAATTGCCTTTGAGTCTGTATTCTCAAGTTAACGATTAACAAAATTAGTTGATAATTTTAATAATTGATTAATCACAATTATCAGTTTAATAGTCATACAAAATGAAGCTGCTTTATGTAAATACTTATTGGAGACGAAGCGAAGTGAAGAACTGCACTTTTACACCGATTCAGATTTTATTGACAGTTTGACAAAATGGCAAATTACACAGACCGTTCCCGAAGTGACGGCGGTTAAAATATCATGAGAGACATACAGACAGGAAAGCACAGACTGGTTCCCAGAAGCCACCAAAACAAACATGGCACTTTGATTTGGGCCGCCCGGTTCTGAAACCACAACAAAAACAACCGGATTCCTCGAAAACCTTAACGGAGAAGATATTTAGAGCTTTTTAACGGGAAACTGCAACAGAGCACAGAAACAACGGAGCTCAGACGGTTTCATCGGGACTTTACTCCACCTTTCATTTCGCAGCTTGGAAACACGACACCATATTAAATATTTCTCTCTTTAAACAGTCGCAAAAACCAAAATACTACCAAGTATTTCTGGTTGAATTTACAGTTCTAATACTTTAGTACATCTGAAATAAAACAACAGGTAACTTTTCAGCAGCACATAGAAGTTTGTTTTATCTAAATAAAAAGTGTTGACTGGCAGATGGTTGCATTGTTGCGTTACCTAACAAGCTCCTATTTCTTGCTGAAAGGTTTTTATAAGTTCATTTTGTCTTATTTCAAGAATACTAAGATATTTGCACCAGAAACTGAACCAAAATACAAAAGTAGGAATTTGTGTTTGTGCAGCAGGAACAGAGTGGATAAAGGCTTCATGATGTCGCTACGGTTCAAACAAAAATATAACATCAGAGTAAATTAAGGTTTAAATCATCTCTGGGAAATGTTCTCCAGATTTCAGCAGAACCCACAGAATCACCTCAGTTCATTATTCTTCACTTCAGCAAACACAGGAAGACTCAAATTGAAGTTAAATCCTTTGACCCAGTGTGGAAATCACATCTTTTAGATTTCAGACTTCTTATTGCTTTACTCTGATTAGTTATAATTATGTTTACTGACATAAATAAGGCTGAACGTCGTCTAAGACTCAATAATTCAGCTGGAAAAGCAAAACTTATTTATAGACACATTATTTACAGACTGATTCATTAATACTATATCCTCAAGATAAATAAAATCTAATTTTTAGATATCAAATTGGTATGTTTGGAGGCCGAGACAGTTTTGAAAAGTAAGCCACGAAAGATTCAGAACTGACAAGACAAGTTCTGAATCCAAGCAGAAAGTTAAGTGGAAGGAAGAAAACTGGTTTCCAGAGATTAGAGCATCAACAAGCGATTAACGGATGGTTTCTTTTCCCAGAGCAGGTTTTGTAACGGAAACAATTTTTTTAGTGCAAAGAACGAAATCAGAGATCATCTGACATCCACCGGTTTGGACCAGATTTACCAAACAACAAGTAAATTTTCAGTTTCTATAAAATCTCCTTCGGTCTTTTATACGATTCTCCACATCTAAGATAAAATCTTTGGGCTTCCAGCTGGAATCAGAGCCGCAGGAATCTGGAGTTTGGCAACAAAACAAACAGAAAAACGTCACGACTGTGGATTGAACAGGATTTCTTTCTCATTTATGACACTAAAGTGAGAATTTTCACTGCAAAAACAAAATCAAAAACAGTATTTTTAGTCTAGCTTTCATTGAAAATATCTTAGTACACTTGAGATAAGAAAAAAACAACTTACAATAAATTTTTCAGCAAGGCTTGTTTCATGTAAATTATTCCACTTATAGGGGAAAATTGTGTTATAAGTCTAATAATCTGCCAGTTTAACCAACACGTTTTAATAAATACGAAGGAATTATTGACTTAAACAAGCTACTATCTTGCCAAAAATGCTACTTGTAAGTTGGTTGACTTAAAATAAGACAAAACTAAGACATTTGAACTAAAAGCTGGACTGAAAACACTTGGTAAGATTTTGCTTTTTTGCAGTGAAAAAGATTAAATTTGTGAACTTTACAGCTTTTTTAACTGACACTAAAGTCACTTCAAAAACAAAATCTTGCCCTGGTTTCTAGCGCAAATATCTTTATATTTCTGAAATAAAATGTTTGCAAAAAAAGTTTTTCCCATTTTGTAAGTGAAACTCGAGCTGGTTGCTAGGCAACGAGCTGGTCTTGGCTGGTGTTGCTAGGTAACACCAGCTATAAAATAAGTGAAAAATTATTTTTTTTAATTTTTTTTTAACAATATTAAGGAATTATTATTTGCTCTAAAAACCAGGCCAGAAATACTTGGTGAGATTTTGTGTTTTTGCAGTGTTAAGAGTTTCTGACATTTAAACGGAATAAAAGGAGTCGGAGTGAGACCTCCTGCTTCAGAACCCCAGCTTTGCTTCCGATGCTTTCAGGAACCAAACGGAGCGGGAAATGAAGCCCGGCGCAATGTTTTCAGTCGAGTTCTATTAAGCGAGACCAGCTTCGCATTCTGGAGCTCGTAATTAAACAGTTCATGACCTTTTTTGTGCAGCAGGGGGCGCTGCTGAGCAGAGTTAGCTTTAGCGATTCCCACCCAACATATCAGAGGCGTTTAACATTATTCACACAGAAAAGGTCCAAGATTCACAACTTCTTTGGTAAGTTTCTATCAACGTTTAGAAAACTGAAGCAAGTTAATTATTCCAGTGGAAATATAGTGATACACCTTGAGGTTTTGTTCATTTTAACAACTTAAAACCACAAACTTTACTGTATGCACTGCAAAAACATAAAATCTTAAAATTTACGTTTGGTCAAGTTCGTAGACCAAGTTGAAATAAGACAAAACCAACATACAAGTAACTTTTCTGCAAGAGGTAGGAGTTTGTTTAATATTGATTTTAAAAAGTAAAATGAGAAAAAGGTCTTGTTATAAGTGAAATAATTTGCCAGTGTATCTGGCGCTTCTTTAAAAAAAAAGTCAACGTTATGACCAACATCTTGCTGAACAGTTGCATGCAAGTTAATTTTGTCATATTTAAAGTTTACTGAGATATTTACACATGAAATTAGACAGAAAGGTTTTGGTAAGATTTTGTGTTTTTGCAGTGAATCAATGGGATTTTATGCAACAGACCAACACAAAGCAGCGTGAATTTGCTTATAAAATGGTAAAAATGTTTACAGCAAAATAACCCGACGGTGGAACTAGTAGTTTTTCTTATCAATACCAATGAATTATGGACTTGAAATAAGCTGCTATATCTTGTTGAAAAAAATACTTTTAAGTTAGTTTTTTTTATTTTATTTTAAGTGTACTATAAGACATTCACACTTGAATTTAGACCAAAAATACTTGGCAAGATTTTGCATGCAGCTAGGGGAGTTTAGATCAAAGAATATCATTGTGTTAGGATGGCCTAGTCAAAGTACAACTGTGTCAACACTTCATTTAGAATGACTTTGAACATCAGTTTTTCAGTCTAAATGAGTTTGAGCTTCTTTGTAAAGACAAACTGGCAAAAGATACTATTTCACTTTCACTATAATTTTGAACATTTGTCTATCGCATAAAATCCCAATAAAATTGAGAAATTCTGTTTTTAAAGTGCCAAAATGTGAAAACGTTAGAGCTCTGAATACTTTTATGGGAATAAGTGGGGGAGGTTTTTGACAAATAAACCAACCACTGACCTCCAAACTGTTAGAAAATGTGTCTGAACGATAAAATAAAAATGTGCGGCTTCAATCGCTGTCAAAAGTAATTAAATATCTGACCGAAGGCTTAAAATATTGGCAACAGTTTCTCATTAATGAATAAAACCGACCGTAAAGCAGCAGTTAGACAGTTTATAGGTAAAACCTCGGTTACTGCGGTGAGCCCTTCATGGAGGCGGGTCCGTTCTTCAGCTGGACCCTTCCGGTCCAACGGACTCCCTTTGTTTACGTTTTCCCGACTGGAGGACACAGACCCGCTGGCAGCCATGTTTGGCGTCCAGCTAACTCAGTGTGTGAGACACGCGAGACTCCGAGAGGCCGCAGGCCCTAAACAGGAAGCGATTATAGGAGGACGCAGTCCGACTCCTTCTCTCTTCTTCTGGCCTGCTGCAACCCCTGACCTCTGACCTGGAGAAAACATAGACAACAGTCACATTTGGAAAACAACAAAACTACTGAAAATCTTTTTGTTTTTTTGTTTTTATTACAAATCAGGAAACTCACGGCTACCAGCTATAAACTAAAATAAAATATTAGTTGTGCTGAAGAAATAATCAAACATTAGTTATGCTAATGCTAAAGCGCTACACCAGCATGGTATTTAGCAGAAGCTAATGCTAAAGCGCTACATCAACCTGGTATTTAGCAGAAGCTAATGCTAAAGCGCTACACCAACATGGTATTTAGCAGAAGCTAATGCTAAACAGCTACACCAATGTGGTATTTAGAAGAAGCTAATGCTAAAGTGCTACACCATCACAGTATTTAGCAGAAGCTAAGGCTAATGCAGTGAATACCCACATAATATGTAGTGAAAGCTAAAGTACAACATCAGCACAGTATTTACCACAAGCTCATGCTAACATGTTACACCACCAGAACACTTACCGCATTGTACTACATCAGCACAACATTTAGTGGAAGCTAACACTAAAGTGCTAACTTCAATAAGACGTTTGAAAGACAAAAATCTTCTAACGATTTTTATACTAGAAACCAAATTCCTTGGTGAGGTTTTGTTTTCATTGCTCTGAGCAGCTGATACCTGCTGCGGCGTCTGTGCTGGCCCCGCCTGTTGCTGCTGTTGCTGCTGCTGCTGCAATTGCTGCTGCTGCTGGTACTCCTCCTGCTGCAGCTGCCGGGCCAACTCCAAGTCACTGAGAGGTCCAGGAGCGCCTTCCTGCTGCTGCAGGGAAACCGCAACCAGGTAGTCCTGAAGCGAAACAATCGATCAATAACAATAATCAGGGCAGCAGGTACGCCGTCCGGCGAAGGAGTCCTGACCTGGTCGATCTGCCTCTGCTGCTCCTGGCTGCCGGCCGGCAGGTGGGCGGCGGCCGGCGAACGCTCCGGCGCGTGGCTCAGCCTGAAGTCCGAGTTGCAGAAGTTTCCGTCTCCTTCGACGTTATGGAGAGATTCCCAGACCATGCTCTCCTCCTGCAGGAAGCCCTGATCCGTCACCAGCAGGTACAGGTGGCCCTGAGGAGGACGCAGAGGGCAAAGGTCATTTTCACCCTCAGGACAGCTAAATAAAAACAAACATTATCTGACATTTTTTATTTGTAAACATCTACTGCAGGAAATATGTAATAATTTTGAAAGGGAAACAATTTTATTCCTGTTAATTAATTTATTCTTCTCTTTATTTACTTATCTATTTATTTATTATTGCGTTATTAATCGCAATTACTGAATTCAGTTTTGTAAGCAGGGTGTCTGTCTCCCTCTAGCGGCGTGTGGTGGTACTGCAGGGTGTCTGTCTCCCTCTAGCGGTGTGGTGGTACTGCAGGGTGTCTGTCTTTCTCTAGCGGTGTGTGGTGATACTGCAGGGTGTCTATCTCCCTCTAGCGGTGTGTGATGGTACTGCAGGGTGTCTGTCTCCCTCTAGCGGTGTGTGATGGTACTGCAGGGAGCGTTTCCTCCTCACCTTGTGTTTGATCATGGTGCTGAAGTGGTTGTTCCTGAAGAAAACGGAGATCTCTCCCTCTTTCGCCGTGGTGTTGAGCTCACAGAGGCCGTGGTACGACAGCTGGGTGGCCGTCGACTCCAGAAACTGCTCTGCCACCAGACCTACACAAACATAAAATTATTTAGAGCAGCAGAAAGTGGGCAAAAATGTTTTTCTTCTACTTTGAGTAAACTAAACACAAAATATTTTAATAAAATAAACAAAGCAGTTGGATTTTTGTAGGCATAATTATGTTGCAGATTTGCCAGGTTAAGAAAAGAAAAAAAAACAAAAAGATGTTACGTTTTCAAATTTTTTGTTGGTTTTGTAAAACAAACTTGCTTCTGCAAATCAGTCCTAATCAACAAAATCAGGCTTTTCTGACAAATCTACAAAAGGTCCGTATTAAATGTGGATCTGAACCAACTGTCTGAACTGGGAAACCAAAATTGGGCTATTCTTGAACTGGGATCCACCCAGAATCGCGCAGGGGGACGTAAATGGCCTTCGGGCCGAATTTTAGACCCTCTTAATTTAGAGACACATTTAAAGAACATCAAAATTTGGATGAAATGTGAAAAGGCTCTATTGTTTTTTTCTTTTTTTTTTAAAGTGAGTTAACAGGAAAAGCTGATTATTAGTGAGGGGCAGCTGAAGAGGCCTGCACTCGAACCGGCGGCAGCAGCATTGAACACGTTGTCCTACATGCCTCTTCAGGTCTGTGTGTGTGTTCAATGTGTGTGTGTGTGTGTGTGTGTGTGTGTGTGTGTGTGTGTGTGTGTGTGTGTGTGTGCTCACCTTCGCTGACTCTGCTGCTGTCTGCAGAGTGCTTGCAGTCAATAATTTTCTCCACCAGCTGGTTGTAGCTCAGCTTCCCCACAGCAGCCACAGACTCTGGACTCTAAATACACAAAGCGGACGGTTCTTCAACCAGACGAGTCCAGCAAGAGTTTCTGCTTCTATACTTCCTCATATGATGAATTTACAGAAGTTGCAAACTAATTTTCTCCATATTAGCTTACTGCTAACTAAGACTACTGCTAACGATTATTTTAATAATAGACAATTAATAGGATTAAAAATTGCTATATTTTACAAATTTTTAATTTTAATACTAAACTTCACACAAATCAATGCAAATTAAATGCAAACTGTACATATAATTGGTAAAGTTTTGGCATAATTATTGCTCTGAGTGTGTTGCCTGGTTAATGATTAATCGGTTACTAAATTAGTTGACGATTAATCACGACTAACCCGATTAATCGTTTGAGCGTCACTGCTAACTCTGGGTTAGCGTGTTACCTGCGGGTCCACCAGCCAGCCGTGGTACAGCGGGATGTTCAGCAGGTCGAATACGATGCACTCCGGCGTGTATTCAAAGTCCGTGACTCCCGTGAAGCGAACATTGACGTCCAGACCCGTGGACAGCTTCGGAAGAACCGCCATGGCGTCGCTCATGTTCTGCAGAAACAAAGCTGTCATCAGTTCATCAGCATTACTGCTGCAAGTTTAAATCAAGCCCTGATCAAACCAAGAAACACTAAGATTTCTGTCCGAAATATTCTGAAAGGCGACTCAGGAAGGAAGAAACCATCAATCCAAAAACAACATAAGGAGTCGCAATTTAAGACTTTTAAAGGCCATTAGCAATGAAACTTAAGACACAGCAGAAATGTCCTAAAGCAAATTTTATGTTCTAATTTAGTAGTAGTGTAGCATCATGTGTTGGAAACAAAAGTGAGCCAGTGGTGAAGGCGAACATCACACTTTCCCAAGACAGATAAAAGTTATATAACTAGCCAGCTAGTATATTAGGAGCTAGTTAGCAGTAGCCACAACAGCTCTGAGTCACAGAACACAATAATTATGTTTGTAGGTGACTCAAACATTTGCCTGGCAGTGAAATCCCTTAAAGAAACTCCAAAAACCTACAAGATTAAATACTCCTGATAAAAGCCAACTTATATTTCCTAAATGAATTTAAAACATTTTAAGGTCTTAATTTTAGGTACGTTAACATTTAAAGGATGCGCGGACATCCTGGCTTCTGCTGTGTGAAAATAAAATTCATTTTCATCTAGTTTCTATTGCAAATATCTACTTAAAATAAGACTAAACTAACTTACAAGCAACTTTTAAGCGAGATATAGGAGCTTGTATTGCCTAAATAATTTCTCTCACCGTTACCTAGTGAAATAAAAAGGAACATTTCTTAGAAAAAGAAGCGTTTTTGTTTTCAGTGTGTCGGTACCTGCTGGAAGTTGAGCTCCATGGCGTTCGTCTTCTCTCTGGGTGTGACTGATAAAACACACTCTCCTATATGACACACACACACGCACACATACACATACACACACACACACAAGTCGGTAAGATTACTAAATCAAACAGCTGCAAGTTTTTGTGCTTGTTGTTCACAGTCACTATGGAACCAGCTGGTTGTGAAAACAGAACATCCTGGATATTAGACGAAGTTTTTTTAATCTGTTTGATAAATAATCCTAATCCAGAAAAAAGCCAGCGTAACATTTGTTTTTCTGCTTCAGAGAAACGCAGAGATGTAAATCAGGAACTCACCCAGGTGAGCCATCAGCTCCTCAGTGGTGACCACTTCCGTCTGAGCAGGAAGTTTGGCCTAAATAAACAGCATAACGAAGTTAAAATCTGCTCAAATCCACAGCTTGGCTAAGATTTATTATGCCGGCAGCCTCTAAATCTGCAGAAACTATCAAATTCATGACCATTCATTTAATGATAGAAGTTTTTAATAAAAGCTGAGAATTCATCCTCTGAAATACTTTAATTTCTTTTCAAAAAATTATAGATTATTCTGACAAAAATGACATTTAAGGCAATGAATTGAACAGTCATTAATATATTTACACCAGGCTTAATTATTATGAACATAATTTGTTCACTTTGAATGAACATTTATTGTGTTTTTGTTAAAATTAAGTTTATTTTCTATTCTGTAGGATCTTATTGTTATATTTGGACCAGACTAAAAACACAATCCAGCTTCAGTAAAATTATGAAGCTTGTGAAGTTACTTTGGTTTCATAAATAAATCAACAGCAGACTGTCCTGGTAGTGATAATAATCTGATGTTTGCTACAACTTTATGCTGGTAATGTTATGAATTATTATAATATAAATTCAAATTCAAAAGTATTTTTTAGTCCGAAGGAAAAATTAAATTTAAAATATATTAAATATAAATTATACTGAGTACATATAATTAAATTAATTGTATTTAGACTAAATAGTCAGATAGATAGACTAAATTATATTAAACATACAACTTTATTACCGATACTATTCTGACTTTCTTCTTGTACTATTATGAATTTATTCTCACATTACTACGACTTTATTCTCATTAGTTTGTCTTTATTCCTGTATGATTTTATTCTAGTAATTTTATTACTTTATTCTCTGTTTCTAAAACTGAATCGTATTATCAAGAGCTTTAAAGGACGGTTTGATTCACCTTCCAGCGCAGGAAGAGCGTGTTCATGATGGCCAGCAGGGGGCAGGGTCCGTTCTCGCTCTGAGTAACGATGGGAGTCTTCTTCTCCTTCCAGGTGATCCACTTCACCAGGTAATAAGCCGGCATGGCAGGTCCTGGCTCTGCAGGAGCTACTGCGGCTACAGCAGGAGCTGCAGCGGCGGCGGCAACAGCTCCCCCTGTGGTCAGGATGAAAAAACTTAAACTTAATCATAAACTTAAACAATTATAACAACATCAATGGCTGTAAAACATCTGTGAAATAGTGATGAGATTAAACAAATCTTTTTTTAAAACTGCTGTGTTTTCATCCAGCAAATCTGTTTTTGTAATTCCAACTTGTGTATTTTTATGCTAATGAGCTGCGTTTCCATTGGATGACGCCATTGCATGTTTTTAACAAATTAAGTTCATTCAGAAGTGATTTTTGCTGCGTTTCTTATTTAATGGAAACAACACAATTGTGAAATTGTGTTTTTTTGAGCTTAGACAATGAGCTTAGACAAAGATTTGCGCTTATTATAATGTAAATGCAGCTAATGACGGTTAAATCCAGAGGGATGATCTCACCTGCCGCTTCCAGCGCCTCGTCCGCTTTCAGACTGGGAGCCTCGGCGGACGGAGAGCCGCCTTCGGCGCCCGGAGCGAAGCAGGTGGATGACAAGCCGTCCTCGATGTCCAGAGAGTTTCCCGTGGTCGTGACGCCGTCGGAGAGGTCCAGGCTGGGAATGGAGAAGGACGCCGAGTCGGAGGATTCCCGCTGCTCGTCGGAGTCCGCCGCCGTCATCCCAGATGAACTTTCCTCCAGGTCCGGGTCTGGAGCTGGAAAACAGAGCGAGAGAGAGAGAGAGGATGATTCAGGCTGATTTAAGTAACAGGAAGGCAACAGAACAAAACAGGAAGAAATTTCATTACTCAGAGGATTTGCTCTGACATAAAAATCAATCTAAAACATTTCACATGGCTGTGGATGCACGACACAGCGGCGTTAATGTCGGCACTTCTTAACATATCGTATCAGTTCGATAAATAAAACCAGGCTGATATGAGAAAACTGTATTTATTTTTAATCTTGTTTCTGACTGTTTCTGGTTGTTTTCGAAAAAGGTGTTAAAACTGTAGTGAAAAAAAATAAACATCAGATATCGGCCATTACAGCAAAATTAAATTTGGATATCAATATCGGTACAAATTTTAATATCATATTTTGACTGATAAAGTCAAAATCTGTTAATGGCAGTAAAACACAAACTTTATGACATTATTAGAAATTTGCAGCTTGATTTTATCCTATTTTTACTTTAAATATTATCTTACGAACCTGCAGAGAATCCAGGCAGCAATTTAAATGTTGCACCTTAAAATTTAAATCTGTGATTTTTTTCAAACAGATTTGATTTTAACCTTTTTTTTTGCTTGCTTTATTTTCTAAAAATAAAATTAAAGATTTTTTAAAACGTAGTTTCTATTTTGATCCCTTCTTGTGAGTTTTGTGACAAAGTATTTGAGCCAGTCAACGAGAATCTGTTTAATTATGAGAACACAGTTATGACAGTAGCAAAAAAAGACTCAATTTTACAAGAAAAGCCTTAAAATTAAAGAGAAAAGTTACTTTAATGTGAAAAAGTTGAGAGGTAATGTTATTTTTTTTGAAAAAGACACAGTGGCTTGTAAAATTGTTTCAAAGTTACTGGTAATTTGGTGATGATGTGTTGAAAAGAATTTAGGTGTTTACCAATGTCTGGTCAGCAAAGTTTACATTTTGTGGCTATTTTTTATGCTGGCGTTCCCATAAACTTACAACTTTATTCAACTTTATTCTGGTAATTTATCATTTTATTCTCACCGTTAATACAAAAGCCTCAATATTTTATTGTGTAATTTAATGTCCCAGAAAGCAGAAGCTGAACTTGTCAGACAAGATGGCCACCCAGGGCGTGATGACATCACTCTGAAAATCAGGAAGTAAAAAAAACAAAACAAACAAACAAAAAAAAACAACAAATTTTCCAAAAATTAAATTAAATTAATTAATTCTGACAATCTAGATTCACTAAAGTTGAAAATCTACAAAAAAACAAAACTATTCAGCAGCTACTTTTAAATAAAAATGTACTAAACCTGATAAAGTTCAGATGGATTATAAGAGCTACAAAACAGCATACAGTTTCAGTTATAGGAGGAATAATAGAGGATTTCTGTTTCAATATCAAAACAAAACACCTTTTTTCCAACCAAATTAAATTTTATTTAATATTTCTAAAATATTAGTTATACTAAAAGTTTGTTTTAAAATAAACTTGAACAGAACCCCACACTGTTTACATTTATTTCCAAGAAAATACGATTTAATCCCATTTATTAAGCAGCTGCTGGGTTTTTTTGCCCGTTGTTTTGCTCTGCTGGCCTGCTGCCACTCATATCCAGTAAAAACAAAGGATCATTGAAGCGTTTTTCTGCTCCGTCTCAGTTTCCTGAATATTAACCAGCTGGAATGCAGCCGTACGAAATACAGCAAGCCAGTTTGGCATTTAATGTCCTGCTTACACTGAGGGGACAGACTGTCACCGGATTCATGCCACAAACGTCTGAAGCCTCTTTATTTCAGCTCCCTTCCACAAATATCAAACTACAAGTGGATTTTAAAATACATTTAGGAAGTTTATTGTTAGAAACTCCTTAATCTTTAATATTTAATTTGTAATAAATCATAAGGTTTGTACTGATAACAGCCTGGTCCTACAGTAAGAGTATCTTGTACAGGTTAAAAGTCCAGAGACGTCTGTTAATGAGTAGAAAATGACAGATATTATCAGCAGCTGCTGCAGCTTCAGAGAAAATAAAGATGTTTTCTCTGGGTATATATAAATAAACCTTTTAGAAATATACTACATAGAACCACAGATCCACATCAGCTGTGAAAAGATTAATGCAGCTGAGGTCAACTAAAGCAAATTTACAGAGGTTTTAGTTAGTTTAGTCGGCACCTCGGGGATTTCCTCTGTTTTTACTCACTAAACTTGTTTTAACATAGCTTGTTTCAATATATTTTTTAAAATACCCACATTTATCTTTCATCCTATTATAAAATAATAAGAAATTGTCATATTTGACTCCAATTAAAGTGCATTTTTGGAAAACCAAGGTAAAAAAAAAAAGCATTATTCCAACATTTTACTGAAAAAGACTAAATTAAAAAGCAGATGCTTTCTACTTTTGGGAACTACCAGAACACCACTCAGCATCTTCCGGGTTAAAGTTAGATGAAGAGATTTTAGTTTTACATCAGTTCTGTCTGTTCTGAGTTACTTTCAGAATGTTTTAAGTCGTCTGTCTCTTTAAATCCAAATTAACTCCCAGTCACACCCACCAACTCAAAGTGTACACTCACAGATTAAAATGGCCGCCAACAGACAAACTTACACAACTGGATATCTTTGAACACAACCAACAAGAATGCTGAAGTGTTTTCCCGGACGGTAATTCAACAACAAAACACTTGGCTTTTCCGGAACCAAAAGTGCTGGAACTCAACTTGGGTTGCTAGGTGACGGGCGGAATGCCGCTGGGGTTGCTAGGTGACGGGCGGAATGCCGCGAGGTGACGGGCGGAATGCCGCTGGGGTTGCTAGGTGACGGGCGGAATGCCACTGGGGTTGCTAGGTGACGGGCGGAATGCCGCTGGGGTTGCTAGGTGACGGGCGGAATGCCGCTGGGGTTGCTAGGTGACGGGCGGAATGCCGCTGCGGTTGCTAGGTGACGGTTAGGCTCCTGATTTGTGATGTCAAATTCTCCAAGTTTTTGAAAGGACCCCTCAGAAAGACTAAGTTTCATTTTGGACCACATTAACACTCTTAAAGGACCGGTTGTTTAAAAATGTATTGATAAAACCCATTAAAAAACTGCTAAAGTATCAATAAATAGCTGCGTATTCAATACGTTCTCCCTTAAACGGTATAGAACATTCAGGGTTTTATGATTATTTTTCAGAATCACTGATTTTCTGTTGCTTATTTAGAAAGGAGTAAAATTGTAAATAAAATTAAAAAAAGTGAAAAAATGCTTCCATCTCTAGATTTGACCTGAATTGCAGTGTTCAAGAAATCACAACAAACTGGAGGGATCGATTGATATAATTTGGCATCTGGAGAATAGTCGGCCACATAAAAGCTCTGGTAGGCCAGGTTTGGCCCCTGGGCCTCGAGTTTGACACATGTGCCATAAAACATTAACTTATTACCGAAATATGGCTGAAATAAACACTTATTTATCCGTGATGTCGTCTTACCTGGCTCTGCTCCTCTTCCTGCTCCCCCTTCAGTCTTTATGTGTCTGAGCTGGACCGACAGAGTTTCGTCCTCCGTCGTAGCGATGGTCATCGTCTCGTTTTCCGACAGACTAGGCGATGATTCGGGTGGAGTGGGCGTGGCCTCGTCATCCTCCTCCGGTTCTTTACTGCTGACGTTTTGGACTTTCGCCTCCCAGTCGGACTTATTGGTAAAAACAGAGTCGTTCGTTTCTTTGGAGCGGCTCTCCGTGTTCAGACTCGGCTCCTCTTTGCTGCGTCCAATCAGCAGGCTGTCTGGAGCGGCTGGCGGAGCGGCTGGCGGAGCGCTGGATTCTGCCATAATCAGCCAAACCGATGAAACTGGATGCAGACAGACTCGGGCTTTCACTTTCCAGGTTTTAAAGGAGAAATGAATTTATGGCTCATGAGATCAGCACATCTATCTTCAGAGTGGTTTAAGTGGAAGATGCGGCTCTGTGGGTTGTGAAGAACATCTCAATGTGACCAAATTCTGCTGAAACTCCCAGAAAAAAACTGCATTTTTCTGCCTTTGTTTCTGTAAATAAACATCTACAGAGTTCCAGGTGCCAGTCAGGCTCTCATCTTGACTTGAAGAATGAACACTGGAGAACTGAAAGAATGACTGTCCTCTTAGTTGTCGTTCCGGGGTCAGAAAAGGAAGGGAGGATTTTCTGAGTCTTCAGTCAGCAGACAGACCTGAAGAGAGAAAACAGAGATCCGTTTGTGGTCACTTTGTTATCACAGATATAATTCTGCTAAGGGCTGAAACAGTTAATCAGATTAATCTCTAATTATTTGGATGGTGATTCTGTGGGCATTGAGGATGTCCAATAGCAGTCCATCTCCCAACGAATCTGAAGAAGCCTCTGACTGAAGAATGTATGACAGTCTGATGATTGTCTCAATTTCTGGGCAGTAGAGATGATATTCCAAAGCAGCATGTACTGGATGACATAAGTTGTTAGCAAGCATTGCTAATCCACCTCATTTGCTTTGCCACCCCTCTTATACTCTCTGTCTGCCTGAAGAGAGATGTTGGAGTTGGGGATAAGAGTCTGTATAATCTGCAAAATGTTGCATAAAGTGTAATCTCATCTGCTGAGGCAGCAGCATCAGAACCGGAACTTAAAAAACCCTCAAGAACCTGATAAAGAAGGCTGGTCCTGGTTCTGTTCCGGTTCTATACCTTTGGAGAAGATGATGCGAAGGATTCTTCATAAAAATCAAGAAAACTATGCACAACCCTGAGCATCCTTTTCATGAGACTGCTTTATTACCTCACAGCAGTGTCTTCAGGCAGAAGATTCTCCAGAGCTGCTGTAAAACAGACTGCTACAGGAGATCTTCCCACCCCGCAGCATCAACAACAACCCTTTGAAGAATCTTGGACAATAGAGCTATTCTCTTTGATTATTAAGGTATTTCTGAATTGAATTTATTGAAATATATAAAGTAAAATTTGTCACAGTGTCCCATAGTTTTAATATAAAACAAAATTACTTAAATTTGCAGCTTTTGAGACTCTGCAGATGCCTTAATTATCACAAAATGATGGTGTTATTTAAAAGTTCTTTCAGTGTTTGTTTGTTTTGACTCTTTTGAAAATGTTGCTGCCCTATATGTGGTCAGGTGACCTCGCCACACCTTGCTTTGTAGCTTCTAAACAGGAAGTAAACATATGGAACTGTCTGATGTATGTTATCGTTTGGAAGTGAAAGGTAACCGAAGTGAGGGTTTTCCCTTTAAATTAACCAAATGGCTACCTTGACAACGATCATTACCCAGCAAGGCGTCTGCTTAAGTTGACCAGAATGCTTCCTAGTCAGGTAAGAAAACACAGCGTCGCTCTATTAAACACATTTTATTAGCCAAAACTTTCACCTGAAACTGTTGTTTCAAACTCCTGACAGAACGGGCTTAGCAGAGAGTTTTTAAAACTCGTCTCACCTCAAATGAAACCTGCCTCAGCCCAGAAACGCCCGTCCTGCTGATGCCTCATCATCTTAAGCAGCTTTCTGACACAACTCCCCCCGTTAGCAAACTTGCAGCTAGCTTCCCTGGGCTAACCGAGCTAACTTACCTACTAAAACAGCAACAACATACACTGATGTGGTGGAAAGTGTAAGAGAAACACGACGCCGATTGCTGCTGTCACTTTTGAGAAGAAGATATGTTTTAAACGCCTCACCTTTTCAGCATCGACTGCGCCTCGGTGATGTGCGCTGATGGTAGCTGCTGAGCAGGCATGCTAGCTGTTTACATTCCTCTCCGCTAAGCCCCGCCCACCAATTGGTAACTGACACGTCACAGCTCGAAGCGTCAGTTTAACCTCCCTACACAAAACTTGTGTTTATAAAATATGGGTTTAAGGTGGATTATTCTACAACCGTATCCGTGCGCCGGGCAGCAATAACTAACTTTTATAGAGAGAACGAGCGGCCATTTGTCAACTCATGCTGCGTTTTGTTAGCCTCGGAAAACGGAGCTTTCGTGGGGGGAATGACGTCGCTCGTGTTGCATTTTCAAAAATTCTGGGTGAAAAATCTTTAAATCAGGTGTTCATCTAATTTGGAGTTACAGATAATGTTGGGGTTTTTTTTAAATTAGATTTGTGCTAGAAATAAATACTTTCTGGTCATAAATATTTGAGGTGATAAATAGTTTTCACAGTTTTATGAGTGGCTTTCCAATTCAAGGAAATTAGATTTATATCTAATTAATGAGAAGTGTGTTGTCATTTGAACACATAAAGGTTGTAACAGTAATATGGTAACAATTTGCGGAATATTTAGTGTCCACAAGAGGCAATGAGAAGATGTAAGAAGCCCCTTTATGCCTTATTAAGAAGTCATTTGTTAGAGACAGAGCCGGCCCAAAATATAAACAAACTAAGCAGCCTCACAGACCCAAAACAATGCTTGAATTTGAACATATATCTAGAAATGTAATTTATCTTGGGCTTGACTTTCTTTACTTTAGAGCTGCCAAGGACCAAAATATTTAAATTATTAGCAAAAATAAAATTTTGCATCCAAAAAACTCAAAAGAACAGATGCAGAAAACCATGATACCAACAACCTGTAACAATTTTAAACCAACCTCCTCTTGTATGAAATTGGAATTTGTTGAGTACCCTTCTGGTGACCTTTAATTATGTAAATAATTTTTTATTTATTTTAAGGTTTATATAAAAAAAAACTAAACTAATCACTAGGCTGTAATTTTCATTAGAAAGCTATCAGGTTTCCTATGAATCCTGGACAGCTGATAAACTTTGTTTCACACAAAGACAAAGTTTGAAGAGTCTTGGAAATGACTGAGACAAAACAAACAGAAACCTCTTGTCTGTTTTGTGTCTGGAAACGGAGATAAAACAGAAGCAGATCTTCTGTCTGCACTCAAACAGACATCAGGGAATTAGTTTTTTATCAGTCCAGTTTTTAGTTAATCCAGTTAACTCAGTTAATTTAAGTTTTCCAGAAAAACATATTCATTTAGAAGACAAACACAATTCATGTCCAGAAATCTAAACAAATCATTACCGACACATTTAAATAAAATTACATATGTCCAAATTATGTGCTTCTTGTTTTACACTGCATCCACATTTATTTCACTATACTAATTATTAAAGAAATAACATCTAAGGATAATAGCGTTGCTAACTGCAGCTTTACAAAGTTATTTAAAAAACACATCAGCATAGAAATGGCTTGGTGCTAAGTAACCACAAGGTGGCGCTGTCACAGCAGTTTTTCTAGGTTTATTAGTATTTTAATGTTTTAAATGAGTTATAAACTTTACAAGTAAGAAATTTTTTCATTTATTTTTCTAAAATAGAGACACTTCAAAAGTGAAATGATGCAATAAAAGGAGAATAAACCAAATTAAAATCTTTATTTAAGAATTAACAGCTGCTTTCAACACTTATTTATTTATTTTTTTCCAGTTTACATTTTGAGCCTCCACTGCTGCCAAATGAAGGATGAGGTTTTACTGATGAGTTTCAGGTTAGTTTCACAGAAAGAGCCGAGAAAAAAAACTGAATGTAAGCAAAAACAAAAAACATTTGCAGCTGTCCACCTTTTGTAAAATTTAGCAACCAACAAAAACTGTTAAATTGATATTTGGAGCCTTTTTAATAGTTTTTAATGTGATTTAATGGTTCTTTCTTCATGGAAGTTGACTCTTCCTCGTCGCTCCACTCAGGACTGGATTGCTTCTGGAGCTGACTTCTTGTGACAGAAATCTGTAAAGGGAAATAAAAGACGAGTTATCTGGCGTTGTTGGTGGCGTCCTGGTGGTTTTGTTTACGGCGGCAGACCTGCCACTCCGTCGTAGGTGTACGGTTTGTCGTGTGGGACTCCCAGACACTCGGCCATTTTCTTGAGGTCATCGTGGTCGGCTTGGTGTTGCTTCACATCCTGGTGCGAACCCTCCCTCCCTGATTCACAGACAAAACAAGATCACGTCAACAAGACGTCCCAAATAATAAACCATGACGTAAATTACCCTTGCTGAATTTATTAATGTCAGTGAGTGTCTGTTTTACTGTAGCTAAGCAGGAAATTCATCGTTGGAGATTTGTAGGTCATCAGCAGACAGTCGTCGCAGCTCTCGTAGAATTCAACATTTCCGGTTTCGTTGAAGTTGATTTCCACTCCGTTCTTCTCCACTCCTAATAAATACACAAATCAGGCTGGTTACACCGATGCAAGCAAAGGCACAAAACACCAATTATACACCAAAAATATCAAACATATATGGTGAATATTTACAGTGCAAATATCTTTGTACACTTGAAATATGACAAAATGACTTACAAGTCACTTTTAAGCAAGAGCTAAGAGTTTGTTTTAAGTAAATATTTCCACTGGAACATTATTTCACGTTAAGGGATTTTCCCATGTCATAAATGAGGCATTATTCTCTGAAAGTCAAATGATTGTTAATTTATTCTGAAGAAGTTATGTCGTGTTTGATTTTTCACCCAGTTTCGCTTATTTCCATTGGACCTGAAACAATTAATCCGATGAATCCTGATTAATTGATTTTTAAATTAATCGTCAACTACTTAGTAATCGATTAATTAGTAATTAGTACGACTCAGAGTAGTAATTAAACCAAACTGTACAATAAATAAATACATTTTGCATTTAAGAAAAAAATAATTTTAGCCAAATTCCTCAACTGGTATAGTTTTAGTTTTACTTGCTAACTTTATTGAATTTTAAGCAATAAAAAATAATTTTCTCATTTAGAAAAGGAATATAATTATTTCTTTATTTGCATCTTCGAATACATATTTAGTGGTTAAAGTGGTCAAATAATTTTTTTTTAGAATTTTGAATTTTTGATTAGCTGGTTAATCAGCTAATCATCAGAATAATAAATAGATTAATTGATTACTAAAAATAATCATTAGTTACAACCCCAGTTTTCTTTATCTCCTGTTGCTTTGTGTTGACTTCAGACTAAGACATTAAAAAGCCGACTCACTAAAAATATTCACAATTCACATATCTGTCCTGTTTTGGGTTTATGTTTGTGTGCAACTTACTGACTGACTGAGTGGCCAGTGTGTGATGTTCGGCGTCGTCAGAGGGAATCGTCAAGTTCATAAAGTAGATGGTGCAGGAATCGCTAGAAGTCGATGACGCCGGTTAGAAACGACACCAGCAGTCTGCTGAACTTTAAACTCCCAAAAAAGATTTACTGAACCGCAGAGCCTTACCAAGAGTTTTTCATCTAGTCTCTAGTGCAAATATCCTGTTAACTTAAACTACAATTCACTTTTTAGCAAGATTTAGGAGCTTGTTTTGAGTCAATAATTTGTTAATTGTGATCTTTAAAAGTTTCACAAGAAGATTTTTTCATTTATTTCACAATAAACCAGCGCTAAGCCGTTACCAGTTTTGTCTTATTTAAGTGTTATTTGCACAAGAGACTAGACCAAAAGTACTTGGTAAGATTTTGTGTTTTTACAGTGCAGCTTTTATTTAGCTTCAGTTTCTGAGGGGTTTTACTGTTTTATTCATGTTTAAACTTACGAGAATTTGTTCCTCTCGATGTACTCGATTGTTTTGTTGTCAGCAAGGAGTTTGTACTCAACGTGGGAACTGGTTAAGTTCCCCAGTAAATATTGGCCAGTGTGAAAGTCAGTAACGGACCAGATCAGAACCCATTCGCCATAAATCTGCAGGAACACAGAAGAGAGGGAATGCTTGATGAACAGTTAGAGATCTAAGAATTATTAAAATGTTTTTAAGGAGATTGAACTGGTGATATGACTTTTAGAGTAAATCACCGCAAAAGCTGCAGGACATTTAATCAGGGCTTCAAAAAACACAAACTCTGAAGTATTTTATGTTTTGTTTCTAGAACAAATATCTTAGTGCACTTGAAATTACAGGTAGCGTTTCAGAAAAATATAGGTTTATTTTAGAATTCTGATAAAAAGTACTAGTTGTTACTAGTACAGATTATTTTATTTAAAACAAGACATATAACACTAAACAATGTTTAGTGTTATATGTGAGATAATTTGCCACTTTTTCAACAATATTAAAGAATTATTGGCTTAAAGTTCTTAAACCAAAATTAAGAAATTACTAGCTTACAACAAACTCCCATCTCTTACTAAAAAGTTACTTCTAAGTTATTTTTGTCTGCTTTCCAAGTGTACTAAGATATTTGCATTAGGAACTAGACAAAAAGTTCTTGATCAGATAAAATTTTCCTGCAGTGAAACATTTGAAAATGCCTCATCCTAGTGATCTAAGTGACCAGAACCAGACTCACCTTATGCAGGTTTTTACTGGGCAGCCGTTTGGCCAGACCCTGGCACTCCTCTGGAGCCGGTGCTGCACTGCAGCCGATCGCTGCTACCAGCAGCAACGCAATCTTTGCTGCAGCCATCCTGCTTTCAGACCCAACAGTGACACAGTCACTGAGGCCGGTCTGTTTTATAATGAGCTGGGCCTCAGCTGCTGTGGCTGCAGGGGCCCGGAGTCCAAAGATAATGTGTGTTCAGGGGGCGACTTATCTCCGACTCATCCTTTCATTCATCAGCGGAAACGTTTTTAAACTGAAGAAAAACATCTAAAATCACCAGTTTATCAAGTTTCATTTTGTCAAACCTCCAAGTGTTGGATAAACTAGTTTTTAGGTTAGCACTTAAAAACTGAAAGAAGAGAAAGACAGGAGTGGGACCTATTTCCCAGAATGCTTAGCGGCATGTTTTTGTGTCCTGAGATGGACATGAGTTACATGACTCTTGTTATGAAGGCAAATGTTTATTTTAATGTCCAGTTCACCCTAAATGTTTCTGAGCTTTCATAATGATGTTTAATAAGATTAATTATTGGGTCAGAAATTTTGCTCATACAATTTGAAACAAGAATTTAAATTATTCTGAGGTAAAATACGTAGCTATTTTAACTTGATATTGTGAATGACAATAATAGAGAAATGTGGCTCTATAACCAGGTGAGGGCAGTTTCTTTTCTGGCATATTGTGAAGTAATTATTTGTAGCATTAAGTTAAAACTCATAATTCAAGATTAATGAACTTAAAAAACAATGTTTAGACAACTTGTCTCATTAAATCAACTGTAGGATTTTCAAGTTAAACCTCCTTCAAATATTTTACAGTGCAGGTTTCTTTTTCCTTTATGTATTGTCTATGAATTATTCCTTATTTCTGTTGGCATTTTGGATCTTCTTTATGTCCGCCTTCACCGGTCTTTTGTGGGTTAACACAAAGAGTCAATATTTGTTGATCAGTTTTATTTTCTTTGCAGCTTAAAGACTACATGTTGCACAAGAAAAAACATTTTCGTCATTGTGCAAATAAGATGCAGAATGACTATAAAGAATTTGGCAAACTGATGCTCTCCTCTTCTTTGCAAAAACCTGCAGAAACAGACAAAAGAAAAGGAAAACCTCAGAACATTAGACTGTTGGAGCAGAAAAACCTCAAAGCAGTTCGCACCTTTCTCAGGCTTGTGGAGGAAGTCTGGTTCCCCAGAGAAGCCCAAGCAGCTGGCCTGCTTCTTAAAACGCTCCATGTCAGCCTCCGTCATGGCCGATTCTCTGCCTGGAAAACAAGTAATAGGAAGTAATTAATTTAATTAATTTACAGTTTGGAAGAAAAACAAGAAAATGTATCCATGTGACTGATTTCTTCTCACCTAGAAAGTAAAGGGAACGAGCGGTGATTTCGTTCTGGGCGTTTGCGTGGCTGAGTTTAAATAGCTGAAGGAGGATTTCGATGTTTTTGGCGGTGCTGTTTATCATCAAGACCAAACAGCCGTCGGAGCACGGCAGCACCTGAGTCTCAGAGGTCATGTTAAGATCTGGGAATAAACACAGAAAAAAGTGACAAAACACGAGATAATCATCTGGAAAATGTTTAAAACAACTGAAATTAAATAGAATTAATAATAATTTAGTCAAACCACGGAGTATTACGATCCATTGGATGGATCTTAATTTTCATATTTATTCATGTTTTAAGATATATATTTTTATAATGTTTTTATATTTATCTGGCAAAAATAAATATGAAAATTAAGTAATAAAATTATGAGAATAAAGTCAAAACATTGCAGGAATAGGATTGTAGTTTTACAAAAATAAAGTAATAAAATTTCAAGCATAAAGTCTTATTATTTAGAGTTAAATCTAAATAATATGAGATTAAAATAAAAATAAAATATTACAGGAATAAAATCCTTATGCAATTATGTAATTATGACTTATAATAAAAATAATTTCAATAATTTTATTTTCTTACAATGGCCCTAATACTCTTGTACATTATCTATATGATTTAAAAAGGAAATTAATAGAAATTTAGGTGAAAATCTGGAAAAAGACAATTCAAACTGAGAAAATGTGCAGTGTTCGTAAGGACAAATAGATAAAAAAAAAAAGAAAATAAACAAATGTAAAATCCAGTCCTCCAATGGTTTTTAATTGGAAGCTCTAGGCTGACCTCTCCTGCAGGATTTTGACTCTTTGTGTCAGATCACATTGGGAAACTTACATGAGGACGTTATGGTGTTGCCCTCTATCTTCATGCTCGGGGAGTTTTTCATGCAGGTTCCATTTCTAGGAAAAAGGTGAGTTCACAACCTTAAAGCTGAACTATTGAGCTTTGTTGAACAGATTAGGATAAGTCTATTGTCTCTAGAAAACATGTCCATTACCACTTTTTACACAAAATCATTCTGTGATGAGATTTTAGTCTGGTCAGTTCTTCCTGAGTATCTTCTGTTTTAGTGTCTCTGTCACTTTAAAACCAAATAAGACGCTGCTGGCCACGCCCTCAACTCAATGTTTACAACCAAGTGGGGTGTAGCAAAGGGTTTCTACATGGTGAGTCAACAATAAAACAAGTGTCTTTTCCAGCAGCCATTGTACAGTCCATTAAATGGTAACAATCTGTTCTGGATTTATACCATCAACTAATTTGCTATTGCGCTAAACCCCCCCCACTTTTTCTTTTTGTGTCACTGTAATTATAAAGATAGTACATGATTTAAAGACTGCTTCTCAAAAATAAAAATAAAATAGTACAGTTTATATATCTTATCATCTCATAAAACACGTGGTTATAATAAAAAATAAAGATTAAATAGCCTGGAGGGCACATTGATGGAGTAAATAGCTAACAATCCCATGAGTTCAATAAACAATTTTATATTGAATTATAATCTTTCAACAGAATTACAACAATTATTTTTCCTGAAGAGAACTCTAACATAGTCTAGAAAAATAGGTCCCTCTATAACAAGTAGTATTTAAATTAGTACAATTAGCTTTGTTGATTTTTAAGAATAATTTGGATTGTGCTTCCGGATCACTTTGTGCAGTGACCAAATAAAAACCCAAAGTTGAGTAAACGGACTGGAACTCAGCTTGGGTTGCTAGGTGACGTGCTGGAACTCAGCTTGGGTTGCTAGGTGACGGGCTGGAACTCAGCTTGGGTTGCTAGGTGACGGGCTGGAACTCAGCTTGGGTTGCTAGGTGACGGGCTGGAACTCAGCTTGGGTTGCTAGGTGACGGGCTGGAACTCAGCTTGGGTTGCTAGGTGACGGGCTGGAACTCAGCTTGGGTTGCTAGGTGACGTGCTGGAACTCAGCTTGGGTTGCTAGGTGACGGGCTGGAACTCATCTTGGGTTGCTAGGTGACGGACGGAGCTCCATTGGGGTTGCTAGGTCAGAGGCAGTGCCTCCTGTTTTGTTACATACTGCAGATTTTTGAAACGGCTCAAAGTCCAGACACCAAAAAACATAAATTCATTTCAAGAGCAGTTGTGTGGTTTTTCCAAACACTCGTGTCGTTTTTAGAATCGTAAAGACTCAAATGGAAGTACAAAAACATACAAAACGTGCAAAAAAAAAACATGAACTTATTGCCAAAAACTGGCTGGATATTTATTTCTCAATATATATATATAGCTTTGGGTTGTTTTTAGAATCAAATGGAGTACTCCTATTTATGTTTATTTATGTTTACTTATGTGTAATTACGTGTATTTATGTTTATTTATGTGTGAGCATGCTTTCCTTTCCTGTGCAGTTTGGCTGAATACTTTCTTTTAACAGTTTTTGGAAGTTTGTCTTTTTCAAGTTCATGTATCCAGAAGTTTCAGAATTTATTTATTTATTTATTTATTTATTTATTTATTTATTTATTTATTTATGTGTTCTAATGTCAGAAAAATAGTCAGTTACAATTAGCTTGACTGATCAGATAAAATATTCAGTGTCACCTTTACAGAGGAATGAAGTCGGTTTTTCATTTTATGGGTTTTTCGTAAAAAACTCGTAAACGGTTAAACGATTTGACACACAAACTGAAAAATACTTCCATATAACCACCAATAGAACGATGTCTTGTAATTGTATTTATGAAGAGGTACTGCCTGTTTATATAAAACAACTCAGTTATCCAACATTTTCAATTATTATGAACAAATAGCTTTCAGTTTTTTGCTTTTTTCTTCCTTTTTCTATTTACAACTCAGTAATTCTTTGATGTTGTGTTTTCCTTTTATCTCTATACATGTAGCAGATTTGTATATTTACTATTAACTCACAACTTGCTTCCTTGAACCATGACAATCTCATTGTTGCCTGCCGGCGACGCTGTAAGGTTCACCCAGGAGCTTTCGGTTAACTTCAGCATCGCATTATGAAAGTCGTGATCCGTGTAGCCTGCAAGGAAATTTTTTTTTCCATAGACCTGCAAACAAACAAGGAGCTGGTTAATGGTCAGAACATGAGACATGAAGGAATAACTGATTTTATTTTAAATGTTTGTTGTGTTTCTACTGTTTGCAGTTGGTAAAATGCTGGTTATCCAGGTTAGCTATCTGTTTAGCTACATAGCTGGTTAGCTTTGTGGCTAACTAGCCAACCAAGACACTTTACCATTTGGTTATCTGAATAACGAAATTATTATTTGATTATTTACATCCAAAGTACAATTTAGATATGAATATGTTCACTTTTTAGAGAACATCAGGTCCAAGTTTGCAGAAGAAGATTTTGACAAAGATATTCTTATTAAAATCCTGTTTAGACAAATGTTACACAAGGAGCTAATGCTCATTTTGTGACTGGATTGTATAAATGAAAAAACACAATTTCACCACAGTGTGTTTTCCAAGAAATGCAATTAAAATCATAAATTTGTTCATGCAATAAATCATTAAAAAACATGGTGCGCCATCATCCTCCATCTACTTCCTGTTGTTTTCTTCTGCCTGGTTTGCGCCGTGGCAACATCTGGTTGTTGATCGTGTGATTTGTATGATGCAATAAAAGTGTTTCCATTGCAGTTTTGTGAAATAAAACAACTTTGATTCAGCTGAAAAATGACCACATCCTAGCGATAAAAGTTATCAAAATATTTACACAACGGAAACACAAATAGAATCACAACATAAAAATTGTTTGGCGTGAAGTAGTAACGGGGTATGAATGAGAGGAAGTGTTTACCACAGACGGGTCAGCCAGAGAGACAGGTGTGACCAGAGGCTGGCATTCTTCAGGTGAGAGAGCCGAGCCAATCAGAAGCAGCGAAGCAAACAGCAGCGTGTTGAGCCACAGGTTCATGACGACAATACAGAGACAATCGGGTCAAAAAAGGATGCAAGAAGAAGGAGCTACAGTAGTAAATCCTGTGAGCTGCTTGAATTTTATACAATCTGATTAGGTAACAAATCTGTGGACTTTACAGCAGTTGTGTAAGAACAGTTTTTTTTTTCAAATTGGGATTTTCCTATGTATGGTTTGTTTGACCTGTGGGAAATTTTGCAATGATAGTGTCTCGTTTGTGTAGCAATCTTTTTTTTGTTTTTGTTTGTTTGACTGACTTTTAACATCGAGGACTTTGTGTGGATTGATCAAGATTAAGGTCAACCCACTCAAATATTGATTTCTGTGAAGTTCAGATCCACAAAAGTTCCTGGAGAATTTCCACTAGGACGCAACGCAAATGTACTGACACAAGAAAATGGTTATGATTCAGCAAGATTTGACAACTTTTATAATGAGTCCATTATTGACCCCAACGGATGTGACTTTTTGAGTAAAATTTAAGAAGCAAGTGTTTATTTGTCCTGACAGATAAAAACCCCTCCACTCTGTGTAAATTATTAGCCAACAGGGAACAAAGTTTCAGAAAACAAGGTTATCGGAAATGGGAAAAAATGGCCCAAAGGTCTAATGCAGAAATCCGACTTTTATCTGAGGGATTCTAGGAGTGAAATGGAGATAAACATCCAGGAGAGTCCAAAGTGCGGCCCAGGATCATTTGTGGTTGAAAATATGATTAAACAGAAGGGAATCATATTCTATTACATTCTATTAATCCTGTTCTGCTTCCCCTTTGAATTTCCAAAGAGCCCAAGATGAACCATGTGGTTGCCATGTTTGAAATTAATTGTAAAAATGTCCTGTTCAATGTTCTAATTTAAAAAAACATTCTGCAGACCACAATTATTAATTTTCCTGTTTATGTTAGCTGGGTCCCCTGTTGGTTTGTTTTTCAAGAAATCAAATACTTGAAACAGCTCAACATTCGCTGAGTGCCATGAAGACTCACCATTACAGAGCTTAGTTTTCCATCTGAAGCTCAAAACATGCAAGATAATTTAAACAGAAAGTTGAGAAATAATTATTTTAATAAGAAATATTTTTTAAAAATTAAAAAAGGACAAATCATAAAGAGGGAAAACTAATTAAGGTGTAAAATAAAACCAGAAAAGACCAATATTTTACTGATAGATTACAGAGACTTCAGTTCAGCAGGTCAATAATTAACATAAAAGTCCCTCATACTAGGAAGATTTAAAACACTTCCTAGTTCTATTTTAAAGATACTTTAAATGTTTTTCTTCCATGTCAACATAAAAATGCCAAGAAATGCTTTAAAGTCAGAGACTAAAGTATGAAAACAAACCTTACACTGGTTGCAGTAGCAGTAAATGAACACTAGGAGGAGGCAGAGTTCAACTAACTTGACCTGAAACTTAAACAAGAGACAAAACAACAAAACCCTCCTGAGGTGTAAATTAATCAGAACCAGAACCAGAACCAGACTGCAGATTAAAGATGTTCTCTTCACCTTCTGCTACATTTCCTATCAGAAATAAACTCCTGTACAGAAACTCTGAATGTACGGAAGAAGATTAAGGCAAAAATAGAAAATGATAATAATATTAATAAAATCAGTTTTTGCTCATAATTATGAATTCAATCTAAAAAATTTGATATTTTTCCTCACAAAATTCTTTCTCACTCTAAATTTTTGAGATTTTTTTAACATATCAGAATTTTTACTTTTTTAGGCTTCATTTCTCTGACTTCTTACTTTTTTTCTTCAGATGTTTAACTTTAACTTTCAGAATCCTTTTTTTGGTGTCCCTAATCCACTCTTTTGGGCTTAGCTTTATTTTTTAAATCCTTTCTAGTAAATTACTGCAACAGCACAAATAACATGTTTATCATAAAATGACATAACTTTTAGTTTAGATAATCTGAAATATGCTGGGCATTGGTTGTTGAAGGTCTGCAATTAGAAACAACAGTTTTCAATGTTTTCATTTTGACAGAAACATTTTGAAGAGCATTTTTAACACTGGAAAACTTTTAAAAATGTCTTAGCTTGCAGAAAACAGTTTTATTATTGCATATTGCGCAATGGTGGCATTAAGAATATAAGTATGTATTGCTGTTTCCAGGAGAAACAGCAATGTAAAACTAAAAAAAAGGTAAACCCAATGTTAAACTAATCTGCTATGAAAGCTTTAAAGGCTCAAATCCTCACAATAATGAAGCAATCATGAAAAAAAAGCTTCATGCAGAAAGAAAATTAGCAATTTTCTCCCAGTAAGAGTTAAATAAAAATATAAATAGTGTGAACATTGTTGCAGGAAGATTAGTGTAAATCACATTTTATATTTTTATTAGAATAATCAGTGAGAATAATGAGTGACAGAAAAAAGTCTGGAATCCCAGGGTTCATTTCCTGCTGTGTTGATGATGAATACAACCGACTTTATTAGAGTTAAATTACCTCATCATATTCTGTTAGATTTTTTGTCTCACAGCTGGAAGCGGTGCATCCGGAGAACAGACCGGAGGTGATTGGTTGATTTTTTTTTTTTTTTTTTGAGATCGTGCATTCATGACTTTACTTTCCTGCAAGTCGAGGAATTGCAGACCAAAGCAGTTTTTAAATGTAAAGGCATTCAGGAAGCAACAAGACAGAAATACAAGACAGATTTTGAATAATACAGAGTTTTCCTATGGATGTTTCATTGTTTATGTGCATTTTTCAGTCTGAATCATTGACTGTTTATTAGTTTTGCTGGTTCAAGAGATAAACAGACCTGAGTGAATCCTGTATGTGGTCCCAACTCTTTCCTGATAAATCACACTGCAGTCATTTGTCATGGTCAGGAGAAACACAGTGTGCATTTAGACGTTTAAATAAACAGAGACTGTGTTTTAGAGGCTTAATCCAGTAGAAAATATCTATATATCTTTATCAGACAAAAATACCCAGGGTAAATATGGAAAGCTGCTGTCAAATGATCATTTCACTTATAAAAGAAATAGTTATTTACTACTCTAAAGCTAAATATAACCTCTCTGATAACACAAAGTTGGCTAAAAGGCAGAAAAAAACAGCTTCAAAACCTCCCTGCTGTTTTTTGCAGTTAGTTCAATATTTTTTTTTTGGTGTTTGGAAAATGAGCTGTTTCAAAAAACCCAGATTGTTGTAACAAATGACTTATTCTATCCTGTTAAGGAAGCATCGTGGTGATCTACAGCAAGATCCAACGTTGACAAATGGAGAAAACATGTAAAAATGGTGAACATTCTCAGGAATGACCACAAAAGAACCAAGAACTACATCTAACCCACTGCAGATAAGTTAAGGTCAGTGTTTAACAATAAGACAGAGATGTTGTAGCTGGATGTTGAAGAAACTGAACATCAAATTTTTCCCACAGAAACATCTTGAGGGTCTTTAAGACTTCAGGGAAAAAGAGATTTTAGAGGCTGATTGGCCACTTTCATCCAATGTAACACAAAAACAAAACAAAATAAAGCAATATTGTGCTGACAGAAGGTTTTATTTTTGTTGTCATGACCACTGAAGACCAACCAATCAGAAGTTACATGGCAACATTTGAATTACTTCACTTAAATGGCTTCTGCAGACCATTTGAAATGACTAATTTTATCCTCCCTGTTTTCAGTGCAGCATTCAACTGAAGGTTGTTTTTTCCCAGGGTTTTATTAGATAAATTAAATCAATTAATTAGCAGCTGTGAGGTTAAAGCGCCTCCATACCAAAAGCTGCATTGCAACACGATGATTTGAAGCCATGCGTTGCATCGATCAGCCTCCTCGTCCGCAGTGCAAAAGACAAACTTGCTCTCTGATCCTCCCACGCCGTGTGATCCAAACGCAGCTGAGAGTCAGGACGACAGGCTGCACGCAGTCAGTGATGGCTTTTTACTTTGAGACATTCAAAGGCGCTATTTTCTACATAATTAAGCGTGGAGGTGGTTCGGCTTAACGAAAGGTCAAAGTCACCGAAGTCGGTGGAGCAAAAGAAGAGACAGGCTGCATTAAATATGAAATGATTGAAGCAGAAAGATGAATGCTAGATCAATCAGAGATCAGATTTACCTCTGTGCTAGAATAATATCCAAGGTTTTTGAGTTTTTTAGATGGAATATACTTTAATATAGTATCAGCAGTTTGTTCACTGCAAAACTCAAAATATTATCAAGTGTCTAGTTCCTACTGTAAATATCTTTTACACTTGACAAAATAGGAGCTTATTTTACATAAATGATTCTGTAATATTGGTAGAAAATTACTAGTTTCATTGTTTTCACTTATAACCAGGCATGTTTTCCATTATATATGAAACAATCAAGTATTTTTTCATTAAAACACAACCTTATAATAATGCTGAAAAGTTATTTGTAAGTTAGTTTTGTCTCATTTCATGTGTATTAAGATATTTGCACCAGAAATTAAGAATTGTTGGTAAGATTTTGTTGAATTTTACAACTTTTTTTGCTCATTAAAGTGTATTTTTACTGCAAAGACAAAATCTTACTATGTATTTTTGTTATACTGTATAATCCAAATATTCCAGTACATAAAATAATATAAAGCTAACTCAGAAGTAGCTTTTCAGCATTACATCAGAGCTTTTTTGAGTCAATAAATCCTTATAATTTATGAAAAATTATTTTACTTATAACAAAGGGAAAATGTCTTGCTATAAGTTTAATGATACATCAGAGTAACTAGAACTTTTTCATTAATATTAAGGAGTTATTGACTTAAAACAAACTCCTGTTTCTTGCTGGAAGTTAGTTTTGTCTTATTTCAAGTTCACTCAGATATTTTCTGACTAGACGAAACACGCTTGGTAAGATTTTGTATTTTTCTGAACATTTACACCCAGTCAAGCACAAATGTAAACAAATGGGTGTCATATTTAGGTTTCTATTTGTGAGCTTGAGGTATTCTGAACTCTCTTCCTACCAGAGCGATCAGCGTGCCGAGCAGAGATCCCACCTCTCCAAATCAAACCCACTGTTCTGATCAGCAACCTGCTCAGGTTTCCCTGAGTTTCATCTCCTTCATTAAAATGCTCTGCCCTCGGGCAGCTTTGTCGCTTCGCAGGCGTTTGTAAAGGTGTTAGATAAGGTAAGAGTAACACGCGCTCACCGTAATCAAGGGAAGGCAAGACGAATCGGATCAATCCAGCATGTGGGTTTCTGGTGAGCCATATTTGCAGGTTTCTGCCTCTGTAACGCCTCATGTTTTGGGTTTTGATCCATTAATTTGTGTAAATCTAAAATTTTTACTGGTTTTCTCAACTGTTCACTGTGTGATGTCTGTTATGACATTTTTGTGATTCATAATGTAAAACACTTTGAAGTGCCTTGTTTCTGAAATGTGCGACACAAAAACCTGGCTGACTGATTGATTGATTGATTGACTGATTGATTGATTGATTAACTGACTGAAGTCAGAGATTTGACCAGATTCGACCAGGATCTGACGAGTAACCACCCAGTAAATGTAAATCCTGAGGACTACACAGTAAGAAAAGGAGAAAATGAACAAACAGTGTGTTTCACAGCAAACTGGTGTAAACTGGGAAACAATTTGCCTGTAAGAAATTAAGATCCCAAAACAACAAAGAAAAATCAAATAAAAACAACAAAGCAAACAGGAAACAACCTGCAAACCACGCTGTAAATTTGGTGTGCGTATTTAAATTTGATCACTTTTCCCAACGCGTGACTTCACCGATGTTGGCGTCGTCATGCCGCTATTTCCAGTACTGGTTGCCATGGGAACCACACCTTTTGCATCCGTTTTTATTATCAACCCAGAGAGAGAAAACGTGTTTGGACTAAACCTGTTTATTTTTTCAGTATAAGTTTTTAAGCCCGCCCGTTTTTGATGTAACTTCATGAAGGTTTCCTTCTTCTTTATTTTTTATTTTTTTTAAAATTCATCGCTTGTTCGAAAACCCAAATCAGATCAATATGCCAGCTTTGCAAAACGCTGAAATCCCCCCCTTTTTTTTTTGTTAGCAGCAGCATGTTGTAATTTGTCTCCACCCATCAACCATCTGTCAGCTTTCATGTGTGATTCACACATGCAGATTATGGAAATACAGGCTAATAACATCCACAGAGAAGCAGCTTAATTTAAAAATACGACTCAAATCTCTGAAAGCAAGTTTTCTCATTCCAACAGAAAGTCTCTGGATTTCTGTGCATAAAAAAGTATTAATAAAGTGCAACTTGCAGGGAGATTTCGGAAAAGAAATACCTCAAACTGAAGGTTTAGATGGGGGTGTCCAAAGTGCGGCTCGGGGGCCATTTGTGGCCTTTGGGCTGATTTTATGTGGCCCACAAGTGTAATTAAAATAAAAAATGATACAAATTTGGCACACAGATGCAGGTGAAGACGTTTTGTTACCAACATGATTTTCCTGCACAAGAAAATAGACTTTTCTTAATCTCTGACTTTTACTGAAAAGCTGTGTCCAATTCTTTCTTAAATTTGTCTAACTGTAGCGAACGTTTTATGAGAAGGCTTTTTATTATGAGTGAAAATAAATTTAGAAATTGAAAAATAACTGAAAACATGGCTTCTTTCTGTCAATACAGCAAACATGGAAACTTAAAGTATTAATAAGTAGCAAAGTTTTGCAAAAACTCTCAGAAATTTTCTGAAAAACAAAAACATTTTAGATTAATATCAGAATTTTTCCATAATAAAGTTGGAAATTGTTTTATTTTCAAATGTCAATTTTTTTTTTTTTTAAATTGTGAGTTTTTCAGAGATTCTACTTTAGAGTCCACAATTTTGGCCCACTTGGAAAAACGTTTGCACCCATCGGATTTAAGAAGAACAAAAATCACTGGGAGCAAATTAAGACCCAACAGGAGTTTTTATTTCTTTACAAAACAGAAGTGCAGCGTCAGACAGAAACAGAAGGCAGGGAGGTAAATCTACTCCTCGGGTTTTAACGTGACGACTTGCAACCACTGGGAGAATGCACTGAAGCTCTGATCACACACTGACACACAGTCTGCACGTCACCTTCACTGTAAAAAACAGCAGATTAAAGCGACAGCTGAGAGATTACCGCATCACACAGTTATGTAAGCAAAGAAATCAAAACCGCTGGAAAGACAAAACATAAAAAAATACATTTTTTGTCATCTGCAGGCTCAGAACTGTAACATAAAAACTGAGTGTTTTACTCTGAAAACCCATTAAAACAAAATATTTAGTTATAATTTAACATAATGTTTAACAGCTACTATGCAAAATGTATTTATAACCTCATAGAAAATGTTTGCTAAACAGTATAAGATTACCTTTAAACTTTGTTTTTCTTAAAAAAGCTTAAAAGTCATCTTTAAAGCTATCTTTAAAACACAAATTTTAAAGCTACTCAGAGCTTTAAATAATTCTGTAAAAAAATAAAACAGTTGTGCATTTTTTTATCCTTAGCGTCTGACATTTATTTGCTTGTTTTTAACATAACAGTGTTGAGACCAATTACATTTCCTGTTTTGCAGAAAGTAACTTGTTTCCGTGAAGCAGCTAACTTTATTACCAAAAATGTAAATTTGAGAAAATAAAAACAAAACAAAACAAAAATGAACCAATTATTTGTTTTCTGATTTTTTTGTTGCGACTCCAAAGAGAAATTCACAGTTGTCACCAGATAGAGAAACACTGCAGAGAGCAGGACGTATAACTGGTACAAAAACCCTGAAAACACTGAGCTAAACTTTATACCAGTTTGTTCTTGTACTGTAGGTGACACCTTTTCAAAGCCACAAGACATGAAAAGACCAGAGTGAACAGTTCATTATTTAGTCATCAAAAAGCGCATTTAAAACAGGAGACTTCACAGTTTAATTCCCAACACGCGGTACTTGAAGGAAAAATGCACCTTGGTGAGCTCTGAAAAACAAAATGCTGTTTTCTTCTGACTTAAAAACAACATTGATGTTTGATGACCGCGGCCATTACAGCAGGAAGCGAAGGCTGAAGGATGTAAAAAGTTACTTTACTAAAGTATCACAATTCTTCTTTAACAACATAAAGTCTACTAGCTGTAGCAGCACAGAAATAAAAGCTGAAATTAATTATTTTCATATATTATTCCTGGTGAGTTTGGATTAGCATTGGTAGCTACCAATGCTCAAGCTAGAAGTAAACCACTAGCTAGCTTGTACCACAACTACTTTGTTGTCGTTTACACCAACTTGGTGTAAACCAGTGAACAATTAGCTAATAAGATAATGTTAAACCACTAGCTAGTTTACTAAACAAGCTAGTTCAGAACTAGCTTGTTTAGTAAACTAGATATTTGACAATTGAACTTGTAGTGGTTTACAAGCTAGCAGTAAACGATCTGTGCTGCTAACTAGAACACAGCTAGTGAGAACTTTAACAATACGGTAAGGACATGTTTAATCTGCTGAGGCAACCATTTTGGACAAATAATTATTAACCTGTTGTCATATGGTTTCCTATTGGTGCCATAGAGGCTGATGTACAAAGCAGGGTCAGCTGCTCCACTAGGTGCCATTGTTTAGGCACCTGTCTTGTCACCGATGCTGAAAAAAATGTCTAAAATATGTTTTGCATAAGTCCAAACAAGAATAAATTTAGATACTGTTAAATAAATGAAGTATGAGCTGTTCAGGGTGTCGGTGTCTTTAGAAAAGTGTTGATGGTTCTGAATATAAGAGGTTCAATAAAGATGGTTAGTTCCATTTCAAATAAACTGAAAATAAAAAGAGGACTTGTTGTCTTGGTGACTTTTCCTCTGATGGCTGTAATATTTTTTATTCATAGAAAATAGGGTCAGCTCCCATTGTTTGTCCCATTCAACATACCGGGGTAAGTGTTTTTTCATCTGTGCAGACTGAGCGTTTGCATAGTGTAGCACGAGTGTAAGCTCCTCAGTTATCAATGTAGAGTCTCTAAGGAGCAATTGATTTATTATTGGCAGTCAAAAGTAATAATCTCCCAGGGTTGTTCATCAATCAGCCCTATGCAACGATATAGATGATTGAAAGTTAGATTGTAAAGTTTTATTCTCTAACAGAGATGAATCACCTGGTGAAAGTTTTGGCTTAATGTAACCAGATTGTGAAATTTCAGATAATTACTGTCTTATAATTTATTTGTTTTTCAAGATGGCAGTTTAGTGGAGATAACCACACACACCTCTTTTAAAACGTTTTTACAAATATTTAATTTGGGGACAAAACCAACAACCTGTAAAATATTGTTCATACTGAAACATGCAATATTTTAAGCACATTTCTTTCAGACTTTTTACAGTACATTTTCTCTCATAAATCTGGAGGTGTCTGCTTCATGTACTTTTTTTTAATGAACTTTGCAGTTATTTTTCTTTGTAGAACTTGTTTCCATCTCCAGCCCCCAGACCCTCTGACACTTCCAACCTCTATGCCTTTTTGCAACAGGACCCAATTATTCTGCTATGTTTCCAGGTGGATTTTTCCTTCAAGTACGGTGTGAAAGTAAAGAGTAAACCAACAGCCTCAGGGTGAAATTCACCTACGAAGCCGCGGCCAGGCCCGAAGTTTAGCACAAACACGCACACGTTATAAACAAACACTCAGTAGAGACAGATTTCCTGTCCCGACTCCCTTAAAGGGTAAAAAACATCAGCAAGAGCACTGCTTGAGTTTCTAATCCTATGTAAACAGACTTAGTGTAAGGCAAAGAGGAAGAGGAGGACAGAGAGAGGAAGGATGCAAAGAGAGAGAGGGGATGAAGCTGCGGAGGAGAAAACAATAGTGAAGAAGGGAGAGAAAGGTGAGGATGGTTTGAAAGGCAGACGGCAGAATTAAAGGGTTTAAAGACACAAAGTTTTACCGAAGACTCGACTCCTGCAAGAAAAGTTGAACAGCTGCAGCTTGAACAGAAAAAACACAAAGAAAATGTCTTTTCTTCTCACAGCAACTGTTTGGGTCAGAGCCACTAAAAAAAGAAAATGTAACACTTTATTTGATATTTATTTGGTTGTGAATAAGACTGTCGTGACATTGTCATAAACATGTCATAACACCTGCCATGAACATGTCATAACACCTGTCATAAACATAACACCTGCCATGAACATGTCACAACACCTGTGATGAACATGTCACAACACCTGTGATGAACATGTCACAATGCCTGTCATGAACAGGAGTAAGTCTTTATCAATATTTATGACTGTTGTCATGTAAAGTGACATTCAGTAAGTTACATCAACACTTACTCGTGTTTATAACAGGTGTTATTACATGTTTATAACAGTGTTATTACATGTTTATGATGGTGTCATGACAGTCTTATTCACAACCCGTCAAATAAAATGTCACCAAAGAAATTTTTTAAACTTTTTTCTCAGAATTCCATCTTTAATTTCCCAAAATCAAAAGTCAAAATTCAGAGATTAAGAATTTTGAGATAAAAGTCAAAATTATGTAATAAAATGAAAAAAAGTTCAGATTTCTGAAATTAAAACAGAATTCTAAGGAAAAACCAAATCAGACTTCTGAGATTAAGAATTGCGACTTTACTTCCAAAATTCTTATTCTTCCAATGACTCTAATCCTTTTCTGTAGTTTTTACCCATTTATATTTTTTTAATTTTATGCATTTGAAGCCTAAAAGCAACGACTCCTTTGGTAAATGTTTCCATTTCCATGTCCTTCCATTATGAAACATGTAAATACATTAGACTGAACGTGATGTTTTTGCTATGAGCTGTAAACATTTCTTTTTGTTAATATGCAGAATGCAGTTTAGAAAAGTACAGAATCCATAAATAGATGCACAAGCCTTGGTTCATCAGACAATGTCCACTGAAAACAGTCAATATTGTAAAAAATGCATCTTTTCTGGACACCTTCATTTTTAAAGAAATGTTGACAATACCATAAAAAATTAGTTCATTTTAAATAAGTAAAGAAATTATAATTTATTCTCAGTAGCTCATAAAACAAAGTAATGATCTCATGTTGCAAATGTTAAATGAATAAATTAAATTAAATTAAATACCAATTGAAATTATGTTTAAAAAAATAAATGCTTGTCTTGAGTCTCCGAAGACCAAAGCTAAAATAATTAAGTTTATATCAAACAAAATAAGAAAAGTTGTCTCAATGTCAACTGAAACACACTGTGTGGATTTATGAATGTTTAAAAATTAAAGCATCTTAATCCAACTTCACTAACACTGCAAAAACACAAAACCTCACCAAGTAATTTTGGTCTAGTTTAAATTACTCAAAAGTAAATCTTCAGCAAAATATGAAGGCTTGTTTTAAGTAAATAATCCCTTAACATTGATGAAAAAATGCTTTTTTAAAATTAAATTATGACATGGGAAGAATGTCATGTTATAAGTTAAATAATCTGGAAATGGAACTACTTTCTTAAAATCAATATGAAGAAATTATTTACTAAAAATTAGCTTAGCTAAAGGTGCACTTAAATATTGGTGAAAAGGTTTTTCACTTATAAAAATACATTTTCCCCACAAAACAAGATAATTTTCCTGCTAATAGAAAAAACTTGTTTTTAATCAATAATAAGGAATGGTTTACTTTAAACAAGCTTCTATACAACTTGCTTCATTTTCATTTTCATTTTAATTTAGTTTGCCTTATTTCAGGTTTTCTAAGATATTAGACCAGAAATACTCGGTGAGGTTTTTGTGTTTTTGCAGTGAAAAGCCTACAGAGGTTTTTTTCTTCTTTCTTTCTGCAGCAGCTGACAGCGAAGTAATGAGAGTTTTAGCTCTTTCAAGGGGAGACAGGCGCGAGAGCAAGTGGAAAGATAAGACAGTGAGACGTCTTGGAGAATTATTTTCTTCCTTTATCACCATTTTACTCCTTTATGAGCTTTAGCAACTCAAATGTATTTACCTGTCAAGGTGGCAAAGCCAGCGGAGATTAAAAAAAATCCAATGAAAGTGGAGGGAGAGGAGAGGAGATAAAACGAGTAAAGGTATAAATCGGCAGAGAGGACGGAGGGATGGAGGAGAGGTTTAGTTTGGCAGTGAGACGCTGGGACAGTCAGCAGTAGTTTGTGCAGGGCAGCATTTCCTCCCTATGAGTGACTGTGTTTACAAGACAGGCATATGAAGTGAACTGCGTGGTTATGAGTGTCATCACACTCAGAAAATAAATGTTTCTGCTTTACAAGAGTGGGTATAAAAACCTGTACACTCCTGTTGAAATGGCAGGTTTTGTTTTGTATTTTCTATGGAAGAAGATCAGTGCTACCTACAAAAAAAAAAAATAAAAAATCTATGCATTTTTGACTTTAAATCCCAAATTTTGACTTTTATCTAAGAACTCAACTTATATTTCTAATTTTGTGTAAATTCAAATTAATAACCAAACATTCTTACGTTAGCAAATTAAAATAAATTATGAAACAAATGATTTGCAAACCTGCACTGTAAGCCTGTGCTGAATTTATTCGGTAGATTTCAGTGTTAACACCATGTTTTTTTTTTTTAAATGAGTGAGGTTTCTGAGATTAGAGTGATCATTCTGAGAAAAAGGGGATTAAAAAAAAATATTTTAAAGTAATAACTGAGTTTAATCCCAGATTGGGTTTTCAAATCTGAGAATTCTGAATTTAAAATCTGAATTTTGAGATTAAAAGTCAGATTCCAGAGAAAAACTGTGAGATTTTTTAGATTAAAATCAGAATTTTGTTATTAAAGTCTCTTTTATTGTGGCTCTAATCCTACTCTGTGGATTTGTGACCAATATATCCCACTTTAGATACACACTGAAATCTTGAAGGGGGAATAATAAATAAATAAAAATGTTGAAATTCTCTTAATTCTGTTTTCAGAATTATGCATCAACTTAAAACTCTTGCCAGTAGAAAATCAGAATCACCGTTTAAAAGGTCATTCTTCACCCCAGATGATAAAATAAAGTTATGTTTGCATCAATAAAGCTGAAATTTTAACATGGTTGTATAGATTTTTAATTACCACTATCATGTTTTCTGTGAGGCAAATAAGACGGAGTTTATCTGATACTTTTGCAGATGAAATCTTAATTATAAATAAAGATATAAAATGTAGACTTTGTTAAATACAGCAGTTGATTCATGGCTGAGAAGCTAATATTATAAATCACAAACTGCCATTAAACAGCAATTAGAGACGTTGAGTTAATGAGAGTGAAGAGACGGTGATTCCTTCTGTAATTAAATGGAAAAATGTGTTTAAGAAACCGTTGAATGGTTACAGCTTCAATCCGAAGACACCCTGATGGGAGGGCGGGAGGATGAATGAATGAATAAATGAATAAATGAATGAATGAATAGTTTTATACTCCATCTCTGTTGGAGATCTCTGTCTGGGATTGACGCGAGGCGCTCCAGAACTTAATAATAATAATAAAAAAAATAAAAAATCCTTCCTGCAACTTTTAACACAATACAATCCAGCCATAATTCAAATGGATAAGATTTCATATCCTCGATTCCTCCTGATCCTGCTGATTTCAATCAGCAGAGGCTCTGATGAACACAGGAAGAAAAGTCTCCTTCCCCCTCAGAGAGGAAATTAAAAAAAGAAAACCATCCTGTAAAACTTTATGTCGGTTCTTTGTTCCTTTCAGGTAAAGGTTCGGTCACCTTCCTTGCAGCGACGCTCCCCTCCGGAGATCTTCAGAAACCTAAAGGTTTACCAGGCGAAGAGCAGAGATTGGGTCCTGCTGAGGAGGAAGAGGAGGAGGGAGGAAGATCGCTCCAGGCTTTCTGCCCGTCTGCATGGAGAAAAAAAAAAAAAGCTAAAAGTTGGTTTCAGCACTGTAAAAACTCAAAATCTCACCAAGAATTTCTGGTCCAGTTTCTGGTGCAAATATCTGATTACACGTGAAATATGGCAAACATTTTATTTTCAGTAAATAATTCCTTAACGTTGATGAAAAGGCTCCGGTGATTGATGATGTCACTTCCCCCAGTTGCTGGTTGCTGGGAGACGAGCTGGGGTTGCTAGGTAACGTCTTTAATTTTCCTTGCTCAAACTTTTTCACCAAAACTAATGAATTATGTACTTAAAACATCTTGCTAAAAAGATACTTATAAATTAGTTTGTCTTATTTCAAGATGTTTGAACCAGAAACTAGATAAAAAATATGCTAAGATTTTGTGTTTTTACAGCAGGCTTCAGGTTTAGCACCTCTCCTCCAGAGGCCTAAAGTATCTGTCTGAACCCAGAATAAAGCAGAAATCTGCCCGTTGTGTTTAGGTTCGATGTCTTCATCCACTCAGGAAGCGAACCGTGCCACCTTCCAGCGTTCACACCTGGCCCAGAGCAGAGCAGCGCTCCCGCTTCCATCCCATTCTTTATTCCCACTCCAAGCCCTCGCTCTTCTCCGGGGGGTTTTTGACAGGAGACCTCCAACCATGAGGAGGCCCATTACAGCAGAGGGTGTGCAGGTCGCCTGAGGGGGCCCCGCTGCAAGACAGAAACAGATACACATCAGTGCCGCCGCTCTGCTGCGCCTGCAAATGCAACTCAGAATTCTGATGTACATGAAAGACGCGTGAAACCGAAGGAAAAGCTGGTCTGGGGAATGCAAAATTACATCTAACGATCCTTTCTTGCCGTTTATTCGGTTTCAGATAATAGTTGGGTTTTTATTTTAGAAAGTTACTCACTGCAAAAACACAAAATCAAGTATTTTGTGTTTAGTTTCTGGTGCAAAAGTCTTAGCAAACTTGAAATAAGACAAACTTAAAAGTAACTTTTGGGCAATAAATGGAAGCTTGTTTTGAGTAAATAACTTCTAAATATTGATGAAAAAGTATTAGTTCCACCGGCAGGTTATTGAACTTAGAACAAGACATTTTTCCCATGTTGTAAATTAATTTATCTGCCAAAAGAACAACAACTTTTTCATCAATATGAAGGAATTATTGACAGAAAACATTTAGTTGAGTGGCTTTTTTAAAAAATACATATTTTTAGCAGTATTTTTAGTACACTGTACTTTTTTCTCTTACTTGAGTAAAAATTCTAGATTTTCTCTGAATAAGAACAAACATGTTTTAACCAAAAATTCACCTGACACAGATACACACACACCTGCAGTTTTTATTAAACTTTAATAATTTTTTATAAAAAGATACTGATTTTGGATTTTGTTATTTTGACTAATATGTATTATTGTCCAAAAATCTCCAAATTTCATCTCAACTTTATATTTTGATCTGTCTGACAATTTTTAAATATTGAAGAATTAATAATGTGATGAGTACTTAAGTGGACTTTTTACCAAATATAACCTTCAGCAGTAAACAAATGAAAGCGACAGAAGAAGATTACGACCATTGGAGAAAAAAATAAAAAATTCTGGCTTTAATCTTCTCAGATCAAATTTCAAAATTTTGGACTTTTTTCCCCCAGAATTTTGAATTTTTTTAGAATTTATTCCAGAATTCTATTCTATTGATCTTAGAAGACTTAATTAAAGTAAAAATTCTGACAAAAAAAATTTTTTCAGTGAGAACTGCTTTAATTTATTGATAAGATGTTATTTAATCATACAGCGGTTGTTTTCAAGGTTTTATTTTGTCTCTCTGGGCCCCGTAAACCTTTACGGCGGGCCGTGTTTGGCCCGCGGGCCCTCAGTTCCAGCCCCGTTGCTTTGTGTTTATCTTCCTTCCTAATTTCAGTGACATCTTTGGGGACAACAAAAATCCTGAATCAAAGTAATTCCTTTAGTGCTCAGACTCACCTGTTGATGTCAGCGAGACGCCGCGCTGCCGCCGACGTCCCTTTGTGTCGCTGGGAGGAATGTGTTTGTGTTGGTCACCTGTCCCTTCAGGTCCTCTTTAATTTGGACATTTTGACTGTAGACTTTAGCTGAAAACACCAGTTACTAAGCAACTGGCAGAGAGCGGCTGGAAGCCGGCTCGTCTCATCTCTGCAGTCAAACCGATTCAACGCAGCTTTGTTCACCCTGTCGTCCAACTCTCCTGAGCCTCCTCTGCATCCTCCTCCACACTCACTGCTAAAAAAACTAAACAAACCGTCCAGGATAACTTCACTGGATGTTCCAACAAGTCCTTAAAGTCTCTTAATAAGTTCTGAAAATAAATACAAAGCAACGAAGACAAGTTCTTCTCCCATGAGAGACAGCAACCCTAGCATGTTGCCCAGCAGGCGGTTGATGAAATTCACTGCCGATGCAGCGATGCAGCGAGCGATGCAGCGATGCAGCAGAGCTCGGTGATTTCTGCAACCTTCACCATCTGACCAGAAACCAGACCGGTTCACAGAGCCTCTGCAGGTTTGGCCAAACGTGATGCAAATCTTTCTGAAAGCAACATTTATTTGACATTTGGTCAACAAAACTGGCTGCATTTGGGCAGAGTTCGGTGCTAACTAGTTACTTTTACTCAGTTACTTTTACTTGAGTAATTTTATAATGAAGTATTTTTACTCTTATTTGAATAAAACTTCTGGATTCTATCCTGATAATGTAATTTTTAAATATTAAATGACTGATAATTTGATCAGTTCCTCAGTGCTTGACTAAACTTTCTCCCAAATAGTTTTATTTGAGGGTAACGTTTGGATCCTCGCTGCCTTTACTGGTCGTTGTGTTTCTGCTCAGACGTGACGCCTGCTGGGTGAGACAACGATCACAAGAAAAGCAGCAGCAACACAAAATGCACTTTTCTCTTTGTTACGTTAAAAGTCCAGGTTTCAGATCCACATCAAAACCGCTGAAGGTAAAATGAACTGGATCGATTGATTCAAATGCAAAAACAGAAACTCTTACCAATCTTACTTGGTAGGATTTTGTGTTTTTGCAGCTGATTGTGATTCATTTTACTAACAGGTCATTACATTTTGCTCTGGTTGATTTGTGGAACAAGCAGAATCGAGAAAACGTGCGTCAGTGTTGGTGCCGCGGTTGGTCAATGTGATCGTTGCCTCAGTTTAAGCGTCGGGTTGTCAGGGTTGCTGCCTCTCAGGCTGCCTGTCAGGAAATCCGGTAATCAAACGTGTCCTTCTCCATGTAGTCCGTCCAGGTAGACGACGGCATGCTGCGGTACGGGTCCAAAAGGATCCGGAAGCAGCGGACGATCAGTAGGCCGAGGAAGATGAAGAGGATGAGGACGAAGACGAAAGCCGCCCTCTGCTCGAGCGTGAGGAAGGAGGCGGAGGAAGAGGATGAGGGGAAGTCTGATTCAGAGGCCGAGAAGGTGCTGCTGTAGAGGTCGTCCGCCATGTTCAGACGATGGTTCTGATTGGTTCAGTTCGGGATCATCCGCACCTGTCCACTGAAAACCATCTTTACAGCAGAGGAGTCAAATCGGAGATTTCTGCAAAGCAAAACAATATGTTATTTTTACTGTGAATTACAGATCACAATATAGATTGTTAATTTGTGAGCATAATGTTCCTTGAGTAAGAGAAGTGCAGAAAATTTGTGTGTTACTTAATTTAAAAACATGAAGGCCTTTTTTTTCTTTGAGTGATCAGTTGTGAGTATTTTGAATCGATTCAGACACAACATGTCGTATTTACTTGAAGTGGATTTTTACAGGCCAAATGTCAAACTGTGAGGAAATCTACTGCAACTGGTAACGTTTAGAAAGTAAGACTTTATGCTGCTTCCATTCACTACTGCTATGTTTCTACACAGATTATCAACCAAAGTTATTCTGATGACATGAAGAGTGTCTCCATTACAAAAGTGGAAAAAACGTCACACATTCACTGATGTTAATAAAACCCAATTTAGGAATTGCAATGTTTTTCATTCAGATCTACGTGCATCAGAAAATCAAATTCACATGAAAACTTACAGATTTTTACAATTTCTGTGTAGCTGACGGCTTTAATGTTGCTATTTTTGTCTCAGGATGCCATCGTGTTATTTTGGTGTTTTGCTAAATTTATTTATGCTTTCTTTTTTTTTAAACATATTTATTGACTTATGACATGAAAATAATATACAAGCCTGAAAAAAAGTACTGAAAGGAACCAATAAAAAAATGACTTGTATTGCCTTAAGAAATGACAATGAAAAAAAAGAGTATAAATTAAATAAGAATAAATCACAGATTCTGCTTTCCACATGGAAATACTTGAGTATTTTGATATAAAATACATTTCATTTAACTTCTTCCAGTTTCCGAATGTGTAAGTCTGTTGTCATACATGATGTTGATACAGTGATAATAATGCAAATGTCTGCAATCATAATTATTCAAAATGTCTCAAAGCAACAAAGAAAATGGTTTTCCTCAGTACACAGAGAGAAATGATAAAAGTAAGAAAGAAAACTACACCCCATTTACATGTAAATTGATTTTTATTCTTGTTGCAGTGAGAAGTCAACGCAGGAACTAAATGCAGGACTGAACAAGCAGGAGGTCAGTGCAGAATACTAATGAACTTCATGTCACAAAAACAAAAGCTGAGGCGCTGCCAAAGGAGCGAGCCGGCCGACAGAAAACATGCAACATGAAGTTAGACGCCTGCAGACAAACAGGGCTGTGCAGCCAGAAAGAGAGGATTTTAAAAACCGCTGAACGAGGAACCAGCAGGATAAAGGAGCGACATCGAGGAGTGGTGAAGGAAGACGCCTCACATGGGGGAAAGAAAAGAAATTCAGATAAAGAAACTGAAATCAAGAGCTAGAAACTGATCAGAGCAAAAAGAAAATCCAAACTCTTCCTGAAGACATGAAGAAAAACAGCAGAATTTCCCACTGACTTTAGAAGGCCTCTGAATAATTTATGCTAATATTTCTGTCTCAAAAAACAATTTTTTTTCTTTTTGCTTTCATTTTCACAGTTTGACTTCATGAAGTCATCCCCACTGAACGTATTAAAGCTGCAACTTTTATAAAAAAAAGAAAAGTTACCATCTCTTGTCAGTGTGTTATGAGACAGATAACTTGTGAAAAAACAAATCTCCTCCACTGCCTTTCATGCTACAAAAGCTGTTTTTTGAAAATCCCAGTCAAAAACAGCCAATCAGAGCTGGTAGGAGTGTCTTAGCGCTGTAAATTATTCTTGTGTATGCGCAGTTTCATGTGGTCATGCTCAAAAGTGAATCAAAAGAGTTGAGTCCCACTTTTTTCCTTCACGGTGCTCAGCTCTCACTCTCAGTGGCTTCGACCTGCTCAGAACTTTGTTTTGGTCTTTTGTAGAGCCGGTTCTCTTCCTGTTCCAGGAAAACTGTCCCTCATCAGTGGCCCTGCTAGCTACCCTGAGCATTCCTGGCTATCGGGGAAAAGCTGTAGCATAGCAGAGAGCAAGAGGGAGGGTGTAAGCAGCCCCTACACAAACATGATTTACACCGTTGGACTCTCCTACAGGCTCCAATTGATTCTTTCACAGATTATCCGTCTTGACAGAGTGACAATTTTATCAAATATGTAAAAGAATTTTATTTTTCAATAAAAGTTACTGCAGCTTTAAGGATTCATGTATTTTTTAATAAACTGAAGGTTTCAGTTCTTGAGGTCCTCTGGGTTGTTTCTTCACTTCCTCAGACTAAAACATTACGACCCAGGAACAGGTTTTTGTTGGTTTCATGTTGTGTTTATTGTTATTTTTCTAAATAAACTGGTTTGGTGTGCAGATTTGAACCCACCTGCTCCAGTAGGTTCTGTTAAATGAAGCCAACCTTTGTCCTCCTTCTCTGCTTTGAGCATAGCGGTTATTTTCTGCAGCAGCATGGAGTCGTTTCAGAGTCCTCAGAAAGCCAAGCTGTTTCTTTAAGTCCGTGTCTTTCAAACTTCATTTTTCCCTCACGCTGTTGTTCTCTTCCCAGCAGTCTGTGGGTGGGATTGTGGGTGTTGTTAGTTTTAAACACATCGTTTTGGCAAGAAGCTTTTTATTTCCTTCCCACATGGAGACTAAAGCCAAACTCAATTGGCTTTAAATTTTGTCATCTCTTTTTCAGGCTCGGTTTGCAGCTCCAAAATCAGAAGGTGATAAATTAAATGAACTTTAAGCTGTTTACATGCACAAACAGTTGGATTATAGGGGATTTTCTCCTCTTGAAACTCAAGTTTGTGTCTGGTATGTAAAAGGAATAAAAGCATTTTCTAGATTTTTCTGTTTGGACTCATTGTCCAACATGTCCTGCAAGGTGAACCTAAACCTCTGCAAAAATTACCATAGGTTTTTAATCTAAAATGTCATGAGATATTACTTTACATGCGTCACGTAACGCTAAACTTGATTAGTTTGAACAAGACGAGCGCAGAACGTCTGTGAAGGATTTGCTGAGTCTGTGTATTCAAACTCCCTCCTGCCATCCTCGTTAATATTTCACTGCCCATCTTTCTCTGGTTCCTCATTTTCATTCCGTTCACCTTCAAGTTTTCCAACTTGTTCAAGAACAAAACAAAGGAGAAACCCCTGGAAGACGGCTCCGACGCGTCAGAGTGGAGTTAATCCCTTAAAACTGATGTTTATCACAGCATGTGGTTATTTACACTCTGTGCTGTTTTCTGCTGATTCATCATAGCGGAGGTCAAACACACACACACACACACACACACACACACACACACACACACACACACACACACACACACACACACACACACACACACACACACACACACACACACCCCCACACACACACACACACACATTGGAGGATATAAAGTACCAGAGTCCCTCCAGGCTGCAGCTGCTGCCTCAGAAAATGCGTGAAAGCTGAAAAAAAAAGAAAGTAATTAGATTTGATGGAACAAATCATGCTGACCTCAGAAGTGTCACTCTAACCGTAAAGACTCATCGCGGCCGAGCGAAGCCCGGAGCCTTTGAAGAACCATCTGCGTAAAATCAAAGAAATGTAGAAAAGTTCTGGGAGAAGTTCAGAACCGGGCTGAGCTCGCTGTTCTTCTCCAATCTGTGTCAAACTGATCCTGAGGCTGCGGTTCTGCTGCGGTTCTGCGTGACATGATGGGCAAGTTGTGCGAATGGGGAAGTTAAAGGGCCAATCCGCTGATTTTATATGTCAAGGTCAGTTTGCTCTGCTTGCCTGGTTTAACTTGGTTTCTGGATACTTAACAAAACATTTACTTTTATAAAAAATATGTTTGTTTTTGTGGCATATTTCTGAAAAACGTGAAAGCTTGTTATGAGTCAGATAATCTGTGAAAAGATCAATCTTCTTGGTCTCCTACTATTGCCATCTGAAGAAATGAACCGCTCCCGATCAAAAACAGCCAATCAGAGCCAGGACGAGGGTCTCAGCGCTGTCAATAATCCTTGTGTACTCACTGAAAACAATTTACCGTTTATCATGAGCGGTGGCTATGCTAACTAGCCTTAGCATTCACGACAGCCTCTGCTGGCTGCAGTGCAGCAGAGAGAAAAGGGAGTGTAGAGGCGAGCATGATTGACATCGCTAAGACCCGCCTCTGGGCTCTGATTGGTGGTAAAATCTGCTTGTTTTGATTATTTACACATAAATACAGAATTAAAACAACCACCTTTTATCCAAAAATACGACAACGTCCAGTTTAAATACCTTAAGCTAATTAAGCTAGTAAATAAGTTGTTGAGTGACATAAAAAACATCAAAAACTACAACTGTGAAATGGCCTGTAAATATCAAAATAATGCAGATTTATTATTATTCAGTTTGAACAGGTTTATTTAAAAAAACACATTTAACTGAGTAAGACTGGAGCAACAGTTGGCAGGTTTTCAGTCTGTTCACAATGCAAAGCAGAAGATAAAAACATTTTAATAATATAATTTACTAAATAATGTCAATAACTGTTTGATCCTTAAAACTGCAGAAACTGATTGGAGTAATAATAATAATAATAATAATAATAATAATAATAATAATAATAATAATAATAATAATAATAATAATATAAATAATAACACACTTTGAAGAGAAATCACTGAACCATTTCTGACTGATGTTCCTCAGCAGAGATAAGAAGAGCTTCATATTTGTTTCTACAGTTTATAATATCATTGGTTGAAGATATTCAGTGCATGTCAAGGCAGCTCAAGCCTCCTGAAGCTTTTCACTGTAAAAACTGTGTGGGAGTGCAGTGGGAGTGGAGGAGTGGGAGACGAAGAGGACGTCAGTCTGTGTGGGAAACCTGCAGGAGCTCTGAGCTCAACCTGAGAAAGCTTCTTGTTTCTTACTTTAATTTAATTCACCGATGCAGGTATGATTTTTAATGTGAAGGTATTGCAAAGTGTTCAGGATTGATTCATCAATATACTGACAAATTATGTTTAATAGGAAAAGATTAGTGACCTAAATGCAACAAAAAAGCAACATACTTTTCCACATTCTTAAACTGTATCTTAACTTTTCTTTTTAAAAGACAGAGCAATGTATATTCACATCAAACTCAGATTATGCCATGGAGCCTCGGCTCTTGCTCACCACTTCCACACAAATGCAGTAAATAAAGCAGGAAACAAACTTCTGTTCACTGGATCTGGAGAAAAGAAAGATGCCCAAGCTTCAAGCAATGCAGTGTCATAAACCGCTACAGGAAAGCAATAAACTTGAGTTTACAGTCAGAAAGAGAGAGACAAAACTTAAAACACCAGACAACAGCAGAATATATAGTGGAAGGCACAAAATTCAGAGTTGAAAATAAAATACTGTCGGCTGTACGAGACGCTGCTCTGTGCTTGACTCTTGTTTGTTTCCTCACTGTCACAGTTTGCATTAGACAGACAAACAGACGTGCTATGAGCCCCAGAAAGCAAAATATTTACTTACAGTCGTATGAAACAACTACCTTTATAAGAATAAACATGATATTAAAGTCTAACGCAGTGTTTGAAGATTATTTGCACAATGAGTCACATGGTCTTTGTACTTCCATTTAGGTCTTGTTTGTGTCTTGTTATGTGTGTGTTTTAGCAGTGTTCTACTTTCTTCCATGTTTTTAAATGAAGAAAGTAAATAAAATAAATAGAGTGTGGTTGCAATGGGGGGCGTTGTTGGCCCAAGGCACCAAACAGGATAGGACCACACCTGCCCGCTGACTCTAAATCTGCTGAAAGATTTAAACTAAATCTGAGGCACAAATCTTAGGTATAACAAAGCTTTCTATGAAATCAGCTTGTGATGGAGCTGTCTGTTCTGTTCACCATCAACTGGACCGACCGACCGGTTCATCTGTCTGCAGAACTGAGGAACATGTTTCCTTTAATCTCTTACAGTTTAGTAAAAAAGAAAACACTAAACTGCGCTTGAATCTTTACAATCTCTGTGTTATTGATAAATCTGTAACCTGCAATTGTTGCACCCGTCTAGTTAATATTGGATTTTTTTTACAAACCAGCTATCACTCGTTTCAGATGCTGTAAATTTAATGAATCAATTTGCAGAAGTTTAATTTTTCATTTTAGGAAGCCGAGACAAGAGGAAGAACAATGAATAAAACTTTGGTTTATTTATTCGATCAATTTACTGCTCTGCTGTTTCTACAGTGTGTGTGTGTGTGTGTGTGTGTGTGTGTGTGTGTGTGTGTGTGTGTGTGTGTGTGTGTGTTTGTCCGGCTTTCATGCAAGACAGAATTCAATTAGAAGATGATGTAGTTTCACTGAGCCTCCAGTTTGGATTTGACGGCACAGAGATGATGGAGTTTTATTCATGCAATTAACAATTCATTTCTTACCCCCACACACACACACACACACACACACATTCAGATGTCAGTTCTGCACAGACACACCAAAGTGCGACCTGCTCCAGTGTAGAAACTAGTTATTTGTGATACCA